ATTATTTTGGACATATGGTTGAAATGAAATAATTATAAATTAATATTTCCAAATTATTGATTTTGAATGCTAATATGAAGATTCAATGTCTATTGCATATCTATATTTTATTTGAAGTGATTCAGATTTAATTTTTTTTACATGTAGTTTATGTTACAACTTAATGACTACATTATTGATTTAAACACTTAAAGGATGACTCGTATTGGTTTCCGACTATCCAAATTGCTAAAAAAAGTTAAGATTTTGAAATTGAATATTTTCAGAATCGATCGCTAAATACTTCCAAAAAAAATATCTTCAATTCCTCAATTATGTTAAAATTTGTTCTAACGATTTTTATAGACATTTATATGTCAATTTGGACAGAATTTGAAGCTTGATTCATTGATGACATGACAACAAGCTGGTAAGTGATTCTTGATCTGAAAATAATTTTCCTTATCTTGATTTTAGTGACAACTTACCTGATCAATTAACTTCCAAATGTGAAGAACAAGAAGAAAATCAAACGTAATTCCCTCTTCATCAGATTTTGAACATGAGTCCTCTCCATCAACTTTTAAGAAAAATGGTGTCCATTATATTTTTCTTGAACTTCGTGTCATAAAACTTGTGATTTATCACATCATGGAGCTGAACCATGTAATTTGTTTTTACATTTGTATAGCTATGAATTTTGAAGAAGTTTAATTTTAAATTCAACAAGATCTGCACATGATAATCAGTATTAGTCACTAAAAAGTATTTTTAGTGCAACCCTAGTATAGGGTGTTCTTGGAGGATGGATTTAGATAGAGTATAAAAAATTTTGTGTCCTTGAGATTTCTCTCTAGAGAATCAATAGAAATCAAAGATCAAAAGATATCAAGAAAAATTGAGCAATCAATTAGAACTCAAAATCAAGATATGATTGATTCAACCCCCACTTCTTGATGTTGATATGGCCTTAAATCCAACAATTTTGATTTTGTCATTTTAAGTTTACTTAAATTATTACTTTATATTCTTAGATGTCTTATGACTATAGTGTAAGATTAAGAAGTGGGGAATGAATTAATTGGATACTAAGTTTGACTTTGATTCATTACTCATAAATTCTTTGGTATCCTTTCTTTGATTGTAAATCATATGATTTTTCCAGATTTTTCTTATGAATTTAGTGTGGAATACTTTTGGTCATCAATTTAACTTGAGGTACATTTGGAAATTCAATAAAGATGATGTTGAATTAGGTTAATTTGATTTGTCCTCTTTACATGAAAGGCTATTTTATTATAAAAAACTTTAATACTTCAAGCAATTTAGGGATGGTTGTGTTTGAATCAATGTTCTCCTTAGCTTAGTGTCTTTTTTCAATTTGACCAAACATTAAAGAGCTCCACATTGAAGTTCCTTTTTAAATACAAAATGTTAGAAAAATTCTTACGATGGTCAAGAGTTTAGAGGTGGTGATTTTTAACTAATTGGTCATTGAAAAGATGCTGAATTATAAATAAATTTGATTAAAAAACCTCCCACATTTTCTGTTATTTTTAAATATTAAAATCTTAAAATTATTAGAAAATTGAATGATTAGAAATCAACACAATATTTCCTTTATGATTAGGATATTATCCAAGAGAAGAAAATATGTATAATTTTTAAACATAAAAATAAAAATGTGAAGCTTGTTCTTTTGCTACAAGTTTACTAAACATTCTCTATCACAAAAATAAGTCTTATAAGAACCAAAATAAACCTTGATAATTTTACATTTGATTTTACCACATATTGCTCTAATAAATTATAAAGAGTAGATGGGCATATTAAATAATTATCTCAAAATACACAATCATTACATTGGTGACTTATGATATTTTAAGATCATTTTTAATTAATATTCTTCAAGATTATAAGAATCTTGAGCAATTATGAAAAAAGTTCAGATTTAATTGATTATTTTGATATCAAGAATAATTAAAAGTAATGATTTCACATCATGCACATCTAGTATAATGAAGAAATTTCAAACCCATATAGTGCCACACAATTCTCATTAATTCTAATGTGATATCTAATGAACTCGAATTAGAAGTTAAATATGTCATCGTGATGCAACTAAGTTCATGCAAATAATATTTATAAAACCTCACTCTTCTATTTAAGATAAGTAAGGGCTGATCCTTAGGGAGCATGGGTAATGAGAGTAAGAATTCTACCTATTTTATTTCTTATATATATATATACTTGTAATTGTGAAGAATGGAACTAAATGTAAAAAAAGTGAAGATAAATTCTGAAAAATGTGGAAAAAGAGAGAATGAATCTAATGCAATTGAATGATAAAATAAATAATAAAACTAGTTCAAATTAAAAATTAATTTATCCATAGAGAGGATTACAAAGAGACCTCAAATGTGGATCTTGTACAAACCCCATTGTGCACCAATCCTTAGACAAGTGATACTCAATCTGTGACGATCTTGATGCACTCCAGATAATCTCTTCTCCACAATGATCTTAGGCACGAAAATACCATTGACTAGGTCTTGATTTTCCTCCTATTTCTTTTAACTAGCCACTACTAGAGAGAGAGAGCCAAAAAGCACCCTCTAAGAGGGGGGACGAGATCCTTTAATCCTTTCACAAGTTAGGCCCCTCCAATAGACGATTATAGTTAATAACCGTCTCTCTTAGTAGATGGCCTAGATCATTATGAGAGCAGCATACTAATTCTTTTCTTAATCTCATCTTAAGACACCCTAAGATAGATGACCTAAATCTCATCTCTTGATAGCCCTTTAAGTCCAAATAAAGTAGGCCAAGATGACACCCTCTCTTGGGCCCATAAACATATTAGGTCGGCCATTTCCATAAGACTTAAGCTTTTCCTTAAGTTGAAAACTTGAACTTTTTCTATTACTTCTAACTTATAATAAGAGCTCACTTAAGTCTTTGCAAACAAATAATTATCAAGAAAATGTGAGAGAATTATCACTTAACTTCATAAAAGTTGTGGGGCTAATCTCATAATATAAATAAAATAATAAAATAATATACATCAAGATTTAAATAATAAAACATTATGAATATCATAATGAGTCGATAACATGTATAATTATATTCTCTACCTATTGATTAACATCTATATATAAGATATTAATACATAGATGAAACTAGTAATTTATAATTATCAATATCCCTTATCTTTTATCAGGGGAAATTTCTATAAATATTATCTTTTTCCACAATAATAATAAAAGTAATAATTTTGATCAGTAAATCATTTAAAATTTGGAATCCAGAACCATAAGATTCCAATACATTTCTTGAATTCCCAATAGAATATTTCATGTAATTACAATAAATTTTCTTGAATTTTTTCTCAATTAATTTCATGCTCATGTGAAAAAAATGTGTATTTCATGCATAATGAGTGAGTAGTATAATTTGTTCTATTGATTGAGCTTTTGTGTATTTTTAACAATCAAAGTATTATTTAATTAATGCTCCAATAATGTAGTCAATAGAATCATTGTAAATCACTATTTAAGAATTGAATTGAAAAAAGATCTCATACACTTTTTAATGGGAAATCTTGAAACATTGTCCTTAGAGAGTAAGAAATAAGTCAAGTATAATGATCCACAATAAATTTCTTATGTGATAACATTCAAAAAACGATTAAGAAATTCATAGTCATTGTGAAACAAATCAATTCAGGACTCTTTAGGTTCCTCGTATTGCCTCTAGTTCCTCATGAATCAGCATTATGCACATCAAATTTTCCATAAGTTTTCTTCATTTTAAAGTTATTCATGAAGATTTTGATAGTGTTGGCCATTAACTTTGTTCTCACCATTATGATATTTATATGGATATAGGTTCCTCTTTCTCTAGACTTCAAATGGCCAAACTATCATCCCTAATCATTTCAATACCAAAATATTCACAAATGTAGATAGTTGGTGATGTTATATAACCTTGTCTTCTAGTCTATTTTTTGTTATGATGACTACTTCACGTGGGCTGGATTTATCCCTTGATTAACCATTATTGTATAATGTGCATGAATGAAATAATTTCTAATGGAACCCCAAGTGTGATCAAACTCTTCTAAAGATTAGTAATAAAAAATGTAACACAAATATAGTGAAAAATAGTAGTATGACGCTTAAGAATGACTATTTCAAACTATTAATGTAGATTTTAAATAGTAAAACAATATATTATCTCAAAGTGAGTAAGACATTTCATGGCCCCTTACAAGCACGATTACAAATGGGATGATCTAGTATTTTTGACAAGCATATTATGGAATTTTTTCTAACATTTTAAATTTTTATTCATAATACTATCAAATTACATTAACGTCTTAAAAATGAGAATTATTTCATGAGAGGCTCTAGTTATGTTATTAGGAGCTCTTCTTGAATCCATCAACTTAATATCTCTGTTAAATGAGAATTAATTTCATCTAGAAGGTGATTTTGAGGAAATCATGAGTTTATATTAGTAATTAAATGCGATTTTTCCATGAGAGGCTCAACAACTATGTTACTAGTGCTGCTTCTAAGTTTGCTCATATTTATAAAATTCAAAAAGATTTTATCTTCCCATGGAATCTATTAAGATGACATGACAATTCTAAGGCGTGTAACAAAATTATTTCGTTTAACTAATGCATAATTATTGTTAGCAATAATGTCATTTTATTCAAAAAACTTATTAATGACTAATAAATGAGAAGGAGTTGATTAAAACTGTAAAATTTATTTGAAATCTATAAAATCCAAATATCCCTCAACAAACAAACATGAGCTGCTAAGGATTATTCATTGTCTATTCCCAGCCTAATCTAATTACATGATAAAATAAATTCAATTCACAATGTTTTTGGTGTTAGAAGCATGAATCAATTTATACATCAAAAATTTCTTAATAATGCTATGATACAATTTTTTGGTAGAAGTATAAAATGCAACTTATAAACAAACACCCTAAAACACTCATTTAACATGCTTTTAAATATATACAGAAACTTTATCATTTCTTCTTATGGGTTTTGTCTTCCTTGTTTACATCCATTTCAAGATTGTTTAAAATTAGAAGTGATATGAAGCATAATGCTATTTACATTAAATGAGTTTTATTGTTCATTCAAGTATTTTGATTCAGAAATAAATTTTCATTATAAAAATAGTTAATTTACTACTTAATAATGAAATTTAGTTGACACAATGCTCATTTTAAAATTCCATTAGCATCTCTTTAGAAAATTCTTGACAAATATTTTCATCTGCTTGTTAAATGTGTTGATTTTTTACATTTAAAACCTTATTTGTAGCATCAATTATGTCATTAGCAAGTTTTAAATCTTCATTGAAGCTAACAGTTCAACATTTTCCTTAACTGCCATTATTTCTATAATTGGTTATACATTGGGGTAGGACAACTCAAAGCTGAAAATCTCGTCTAGACTAGAATCCGAGTAACAATTTTTTCCACAAAAGGACTGTCCCGGAGCCACTAACGCAGAAGGTAAAGTCTCCTTCCTCTCTCTCTCTTTCTGTGCGTCTCTTCAAGAATTTCCTGTAGAGTTTCAGGATGGTTTCTCTGTAGGTCATAAGCCGAACTTTTGCTTCGGGTTAGCTCTTTAGCTCTCTATAAGATGTCACGTCCAACGTCGATATGCCACACCTGTCCCCTAGTTAAAATATCGTCTGGGCTTGAAGCATTATGGTCCAGAAGTATAGAAAAAGCCCCGAACAATTTTGCTGCGCAAGAACATATCTTGTCGTGATAGATTCTCGGACACGGCTCTTATTCCAACCGCAATATCCACAGTATCGATCAACACAAAATATTCCCCGGTTAGGGTCTTTGGTGGGATGAATGAAATGGTGCCTTTGTCTTGGCTCATCACTGGCAATCCTAAAGTTGATCGTCTCGATCAGCTCCGCCATTCGGCTCCCCATGTGGGGATTGGAGTCAAGATGAACTTGCTGAGGTAGAAGAACCGGCCCACCCCTGGGCTACTCTGCTACCCCCACCTCCTTCCCCTCCGCCTTCACGGCCTGACATACTCCGTCGCAGAGTCCCTGATCAGGTCCCACTCCGCCACCACAACCATCATAGGCAGGATCCGCAGCCCCGCCTAAAAAGCAGTCGTTGACAGCGGCGATGAAGCGGTGTCGGAGGCCGAGGCTAGGCGTTCGTAGAGCTGTTACCAGCTGGGGCGGCTAGTGTAGAAGCGATTCCCGTGGAAGTGTCGAAAAACGGGGAAGCGCAGTCCAACTTCAGAGCCGGCTGGGAGACAGACCCTGACGGCTAGAGGCGAGGAGGTGTCGGAGGCGGAGGCGGAGGGGAAATAAAGAATTTCGAGGAACTGGACTTCTAGGGGTCCGGTCCAGGTTTGGTCCACCGTGCCGTCAGAGAAAACCCAGAGCCAGTCGGAGACTTCGTTGACGAAGAACTGTTCTCTGCCTTACCTTCCATTATTGTCTGGTCCTCCAGCAGAGTGACCGGAATAACATCTTCTGCAGGATCGCCGAAGACGTTCATGTGTGTCTCCAAATGGGGAGGGAGAGAGAACGAAAGATGTCCTCCGATGATTCTCCATGGATTCCGTCGTGAAGAGTCACAGAAGTAAGAAGCTAGATGGTGCAGTCTGGTCGAACTAGGGGCATCACGCGCCTCTCCCGAAAGATGTCACATCACAACGTAAAGTTTTAATGGCTACGAGAATCTGTTGTACTTGCATGACTCTTCTAGAAGAGATTGTGGCCATGCCTGCTCTCATAGCCTACACTAATCTCATGCCTATAGCAGACATAAGAGGTCGTCAAGACTACTGTAGCGAGGAGAAACAGCACTCGCACCGCTTCTCTCTCCCCTTCTCTGTCTGTCTGTCTGTGTCTCTCTCCCTCCCTAACTCTCCCGCAGACATGGAAGTGAAGGGGAAGTAGCCGATTCCCGGCGGTGACCGCGAATGTGGTACACTTCGAGACGAATCTCGCAGCCGACGAAGGGTCAAAAGGCTGTGACCACGTGTTTCTCCGGCGGTGTACCAGCAAGCCCACCCACGTCGGTGCAAAGAGGAGGAAAGAATGGAGGAGATGAGAGCGAGGACTGCAACAGCAGGTCAAACAAGCATCCAAGGCCGCGTAAAGACCGGAATCGGCCCTCTTTCTCGACCCCCTTCTCGGTGCCATCTGCGCACTCGACATCACTACGCTTATTCTTCAGACCTATGCCGACCGAAAGGGAAGAAAGAAGCATAACAGTAAATAAAAGTATAAAGTATAAAAGTTAAAACAGCTATCGTTTGGTTAGAAAACTGAGAGCCATGCTACTGATGAATTAAATATATATCCACCCAAAATTAACTCACTCAGCTCTGGGCTAGCCCATTTTCTTCAGACCTTTGTTGTAGATGATTTCTGATATTTCGCATTAGCAGTAAGTTTTCAAGTTAAACTAACCGGTCATAAACGACTAACTAAGACATTCATTTAGTCAATTTACAGATGCATCCCTTGTCTTCTATTAAAGTTAGCTTCTACTAAAGTTCCTATATTCCTTTTCTTCTAACATAAAGCAGAAATCAATCAAAAAAAAAAAAATTGTGACAAAGTGTGAAAAAGAATTCAGATTCAATTTAAAAAAGTGTTGATACCATGAGGAAGAACATTGCTACAACTATGGTGCTTTCACATCCACTCAACATCCTTAGAAACCTGAAGGTATCTCTTTTGTCACTTGTATGAACTTTTGCTTTCATTCTTGTATAGATTCTTATTAGTAGATAAATATGAGCAAGTGTAGGGGGGACTTGGGGAATTTTCAGCATTATGATTCTAGAGTGAAGAGCCAGTTGCATGTCTAGTGGCTATGAAACATAAATAAATATAAATGTAGATTCCAAAGGGTGATTTAAATGTCTAGAAAAGTTATACAGATTCATAAATCAAGAAACATGAACTAACACCTTGCGTTTAGTATATTGACCTAGCTAGAGGCAAGAATCTCAAGCGTCACCCCTTCATGTTTAGCACATGTACTCTTTGATAGAGTTTGTGGAACTTAGGCATAAATCGCTAAGAAGAGTGGGGTTGACTTGGGAGTCAAATCATGTTTTTAAAAAACCAAATTCGCTTTTGTACTAATGAAATCAATCAGCCCACTTTAGCTACAAACCATCTAACCCACTGTGAGTCTTGAAAGTTCACTTGAAATGACTATTCAACCTCCTCATCCTACTTATACTTTTTTTTATGATCTATTTTACTTCCAAGGAAAATATTGAACTTTTGATGATCTCTAATATCCAAGAGTGGATACTTCAAATGTAATAACTTGTAACATAGACTCAAGGTTTTTTTCTAGAGATATGTGCTTGTATAAGCTAGCACAATATGCTAAAAATTTATTGGAGTCATCATAAAGGTTTTATTTTGAAAATTTTATAACAATATCAAAAATTTTAAATCATTATAATTGACCTCTGCATTTTCCAAGACCTACCTTATGACAATTAACTTGTATTTGAGTGATATTGTAGTAGGTTCATTCCATAAGTCTATAACCAAGTTTTAGTTTGTGTGTCTTTGCCAACTTATGCCCATTTATTAAGAGATTATTTTACAGCATTTGAAACCAAAATGAACATATTTATTAACTTCCAAAGATTTTAAAATCTAGAAAGTATTATGAATTAACATATTTTCTATAAAAGAGAGAAAGAGAAACTTTATTGACAAGTAATCAATATCTCTCAACATGTGACCCAATGTACCTTTTTAATATTTCTTTTTTAAAATATTTATAGTATAATATAAAGGGACATGAGTAGGATAAGGGAATGGCTATGGTCCATGGTATTGCTTAACAATTCAAATCCTTTTTCGTATCTAAGTGGATTTGTAGTGGTACCTTGATAGGTTTGAGTTTATTGTTTCGATTAGAGGATGGATAATTTCCAATTCAACAATCCCATTAAAAATAAAACAAAATGGTCACCTTTGGAGAGTAAAACAAATGAAAATTATTTCATATTATTTACAAGTATGTTTCAACTATATTTGTTACCAGGGATATGATATGTTAATTGGTTTGACCTAAATCAACTTATTTTCAGCCAACTATGTAATATGGGAATAATAATTTTGAATTTAAAAAATTAAAATATTGAATAAAAAAACATGAACCTATTTTCCTTATTATGAAAAGTGGACAGGTGCATGTGTTTTGTCCTAATGATAAATATTGTTGAAATGTGAGCCACAAGTCAAAATGAAAATACTAATGTAGAAAAGTCGTTGGATAAAAGAGTGTGTACCATACTTGTATTGGATTCAAACATATGTAGTGTACATGGGTTTTATCCTTAACCATAAACCTATGATTTAGAAATGATTTCATCCTCTAAAAATGATCATGGGAAGGAGTTCAAAAACATAAAGTACAAATAATACCAACCTCTTTAGTCATAGTTGCTGATACCTAGTGTAAGTATTAAACAACATGTGCTGACCTTGTACTTAAGATGTCAACTTAAAAGTCATACCAGTTAACCTTCACTCAACGCACTTTTTTTCCCATTTGTTTAGAACCATGTGGTTTACATATAATAAATAGTGCATATATTTTTCTTTAATTTTGCAAACATAACAAGTATCATGGTTTTTAGTGACTTCTTACATATATCAAGTGCTAATGGTATCGTGCTTTCACTAACAAGTTACAATTTTTTGACAAAAGATAAGTTAATTTACGTCATTTTTTTCCATTTAGAAAATATTTATTTTGAAAATATTTTCCACATTAAATAATTAAAATATTATATTTTATACAAATCATTATAATTAATAGAGTATTTATTTCCAGAGGTGAAACTACATGAGAAAATTACTAAAGATATTTCTTAAAAGACTATACCCATCATATATATTCAAGTTTGTATAATTGCCTTTCTAGAGAGGGTTGGTGAAAGCCACTTTAGGATTTCACATTTTTCAAAAAATATTTATTTTAACATCAGTTGCTGTATACATGCCTCCTAAGATGAATATAATAATATGATGCTAGAGGTTGGTATTGTGGCCTAATACTTTGCTTAGGACTCATATTTTTCCAAATTAAGCAAAGTAAGATTCAATACAATCTGTGTCTCATTTTAGGTTTACACAACAATGAACATTGGATCAAGCACATATATATAGACTTACCAAGATAAGTATGTCAAAGAAATATTTTTAAGATTATGAATGATATGATGAAATCGTCCTAAAAAATGACGATAATGCATTGAACTAAGGAAAGGCGTGTTGAACACTAGTTCTGTTTGAGTGATTCCAAAAGAGAAAACCAAATCACGTTCAGGAGAGGCAAAATGTTAATAAATGATTTTTGGATAAAAAATAGATAAATGTTAATATTGTGTACTGAAGTTCACAATTCATTAGAGCTTGTAGAATTTCAAAGCAACATCAAGAACATAAATACATAAAAAGATGTAAAATGAACATTCTCTCTGTGGTGACTAACTATGCCAATTTCTATTGCTCATTAGTTATCTTACTCTTTGGATTCAATTAATATTTTTATTAAGGATCACACTAGTTTTCTTGTCATTGCCTGCCAAAAGGTTTGCTCATGGCTATTATATCAAAGATATAATCATTTTTCGTTAAATTAACTCAAACCAACAATAGATGTACACCTCTATCTGGCCTACCACTTGTATACACTGCATTCTATGATAGTACGGCTATAAGTATATCCTCTACAACAGTAAAGCAAGTTGGACATGGGAATTAATCCTTAGAATGGTCATATTTTTAATATTTCAGCAAATTTGATTTTTCTTGTAATAGTTAGTTTTTAGTCAATGCCCGCCACACTCCTTAGAATATATAAAAACTTTTGACTTTATTTTAATAGCTACCATCAAAAATATGAAATTCACATGGTCAGAAGTTTATGGAAATTGAGGTACTTAACATGTAAATTTAAAATTTTGTAAACATATGTCATTTTAAAACACTTGAAACTTTTATTGTCATTGAAAAAGACAATGAATAAATCTTTAACCAGATGTACAAATATACATTTAAAGTTTCTTATTTTTTATGCTCTAATAATCTGTTAGCAACTTAGAACTACTTTCAGATCAAGAGTTTCAATGAATCTATTCAACTAAATAAGAACCTTAGTGATAAAAAAACTAATAGGTGTAAAAGAATGAATGGTACCTCCCATCACATGCCATCTATGCTGAGCAAAACTCACTAATTACATATGTTTGTTTTAAGCACTAATCTAATTTTTTTTATCATTGTTCGTAATGTTGAAGTAAATTAAATGCAATATATAGTTCTAATAGCTCTCAAGATCCCATATGAAAATGGAGGATTTAATACTTGGAATATGATTTCTATATGTTTCAAGAAAAGTCATCAATCCAATATGATGCACTACTTTGACAAAGAAACGAAACATGTCAGTACATTACCTCAAATGTTGTTCTTCAGCATCCTCATGGGTATTAGAATGGATATGAATGACTGCTCTTCTTACCATTTCAGAATTATAACAACAGTGGAATGAAACTCCTTTAAATGGCTCAGCATGGTCATTCGTCTAGTAGTGCTCTCAGTTTCAACATTGGTTCTAGAGCCCAAGAGAGTACCCTTTTAGTATCTAAAGTTAGCATGTCCTTCCTAACCTTCCAATTCAACCTAGACTAGAGAAAGGTCAATACTTTAGTGCAGTTCTGTTTTTGTTATAGCACCAAACTCAGGTTTGTTAGAAATAATGAAAACTGTTTTCCCCATCTTCCCCTCATTTGGCATTCTAGTTTATAGTTACAGGTGGACTATCTTGTTAGGACGTACATTTTAACCAAACATGTATTGTGGAAACCTTGCATAGATAACGTTGACTATAAGATAAAAGAAAAACCACCTCATCCATTAATAGGTTACTTAAAATTCAATTTAGAAGTTGATTCTTTGTTTCATTTGTTTGTTGTATGCTTAGGTGCAAGCCTTACATAAGATACCCAAGCTCAACATAATAATATTAATGTGCCAGCATGTTACTAACAAAAAGTGGCAGCATTTGGAGTATTTAATGCTTTGCTTGGTAAACATAAATATGAAGTAAGATAATCATCATACTAGAATGATGGCCTCATTCAAAATCATGCATTTTTACACTAGCCAGTGCATAGTACTATAATGGAAATTCAAAATGGGATCCTTATCTAAATAGATAACTTATGCTTATAACATATGATAGCATACGCAAGATTATGACAATCATGTTCTTAAAACAAAGGTTTGAGCTTCATTTCAAATCCAAAGTATAAAGTGATCATATGAATGAAAAAAGTTTTGAGCTTCATTTACAACCTAAAGAAGTGAAGCAACCAGTCCAAATAGATAACTTATGCTTATAACATATGGTAGCATATGCAAGATTATGACAATCATGTTCTTAAAACAAAGGTTTGAGCTTCATTTTCAAATCCAAAGTATAAAATAATCATATGAATGAAAAAGGTTTTGAACTTCATTTACAACCTGAAGAAGCGAAGCAACCAGTCCAAAAGGATGAGGTGATCCTATAGCTGAAATAGCACTAAAAGTTTATAGGTTCTCTAAAGCACTTACTCAACATCAAGTAGAGAAAGCAGTGTTCTATGGTTTAAAGCCTTAAAATGTGAGTCCCACACCAATATGTTAAAGTGTTTGATTTTTAAGATCATTTCATTTACATTTATTGAAAGGGTTCCTCATGGTGGGTGACAATAATTATAGGAAACTATTGGAGCAAGAATATCAGTTGCTATCTCCAAATCCAAAACCCATGAATTTTTTTTTTCCCTTTGTGTTGAGATCTCTTTACAAGACTTGGACCCTAAAGGTGAGACCAACAATGAAGTAAAGGACTTGAATAATATGACATTAGATGAACTTATAAGATCATTGATAACATATGATGGTCCAAGTGAGACTCTCAACTAGTAATTAGAAAAATGAAAAATAATTTGATCAACGAGCATGTGCCAGTTGTAACATTTATGTTTCACCTTTATGATGAAGATTATGTTTATGTTTTGAGTAAAAAGAAAGGAACATGCTTGAGGAAAGCTAAATAAAATCTCAGAGAAAGCCCTTCATCCTAAATTGGGATAATTAAAGATGAAGTAATATATTTTGAGGGGGGTAACAATCTAGTGTATTTATGGACTAATAATCCAATAATGCCCCATATAGGAAAGTTCCTATATGGGGCATTGTATATTGCCAAAACTCAAGTTCAGAAAGTGAAGATCATGCTTGCCACTGTCCCATTATGTAGGACAATGAGTTAACTTAGTCCACCTACTAGACTATCTATTGAAGAAATCTTACAAGTATTCAATGAAATATTTATCTCCAAAATACAGAGTGAAGAATTGAAAATCTTCATGATCTACATGGTTTTGTTTTGCTAGAACTAATAACCTGAAATAGGAGTCTACTAAATCAGGTATTTTACATAAATAAGGAAAAATCATATTGTTAGAATTGCATTGCAAAATTTTGATTTGCACAATTCATTGAGTAATTTGTTTGAATTGAGCAAAGATTAAGTTATAGTTATACCAAAAGATTTCAAGTATTTCTATTAGGTTAATTACTTAATGCTATGATTGATGTTTTTAGTACGCTCGATGCAAATTTAAATAGTTTTAATGCCATACATATAACTATATTGTATTGGTCAATTAAAAAACAATCTCATCATTTGGAAAATCTATCACAAAGTAGAACCTAACCTATATATGTTTATCAACTTATAATACAATCATTTTTTGAAATGGTTTTTCTAGTGCTATCATGTGATAGAAGAATTATGTTTGAGCTAGTATCCTGGGTAGATAAACAATAATATATATTTCTGACTTTAGAGGTCAAGTAGGTTAAAAAAAAACTTTTGTTAGAGCTAGTAAGTAAAAAAAATATTTAAAAACCACAAATTTCAACATTTAGTATGAGATAAACATAAAAGGCCATTTTTTGTTCTATTTACTTCTGACTCAATTAGAAAAAAAATCAGAAATTAGTTTCAATCCACAATCTTAGGTATGAAAAATCAATAGTTATATAAGATAAATAGTGGATCACATTAACATATACTACAGGTAAAATAAACCAAAAAAAATCAAGTACAGTAGTAAAGCATCGTATTCCCTTAGCTCCATTTTGAAATCATTTAAAATCACAGCCCAATCCAATCTATAAACTTTGCGTCATAACCCTCTTTACAATTCTTTTCAAGTATTTCATTGAAAAAGAATGATTCATCATCAAATTGTTAACTTAAAATCCAGAAATAAATTTAATTTACCTCTAAAGCTTGTTTCAAACTCATTTTGGAAAAAAATAAATGCTATCCATATGAATATTTTAGATTAGGACATATAAAACCTTATTGATTAACCTAAAGCATGGTCATTAAAAAATTTATAGATGTGACCATTAGGAGGATAAAACCCATAACTCAGCATCTTCAATATTAATTATTTCTTGAATTATATCAACAATTAGGCATGTAAATTCTTTAAGATTAACCTGAAACATAATCATTAAAAAATTTAACGACTTTACCATTAGTAGCATAAAGCTAAAAATTCTATCTCTAACTCTCTCTCAATAAAATACGTGCCCTTCTCAGATGGTGCAAATAAAGGATCGAGACTATGGTCGAAAGTTATCTTGACCAGCAGCTAGATCCCTCCCTCTCTCCCCCTCTCTCCGTCTCTCCCGATGACTATATGTGGCGTATGTATAGATTTTTGAGATCTGTCCATTAAAGGCTCTGAGACAACACTAGGCTAAAATTGTGTCTAGATCAACTGCTAGGCACCGCCCCCTTTCCCTCTTCCTCTCTCCTCTCTATAAGTATCCCTCTTCGATCAGTGCATATGGAGTGATAGGTTGGGTTTTGCGTTTGTCCAATTCAGAGACATGGGTAGTTTTCTTTTCAATACATTGCTTTTGACCTCTGTATAAACCTATGATAGAGAGAGAGAGAGAGAGAGAGAGAGAGATAGTAGGAAGATCGGGCATTCCATATTTGCTCCCATGACTTGAAACTAATTCATTATTGTCGTGAAATATTAGAAACATCACCGAAACTCTTAAAAGATAAAACAGTCGTAGAAAAAGATAGATACAGAGAGCGAGAGAAACTATCTCCTGTCATGGTCGATCGTCGGTACGGCTCTTATTGCAAGCACTAGATATCAGTGGCGACAAAAAGTTTCCGAACGAACTGATCAGTGGCGGTTGACGAAGTCCTTGATGGACTCGATTAGCGCCGCCGTCTGGCTTCCAACGTGGGGATCAAAGTCAACGGCGAGCTTGTTGAGATAGAAGCTGTGGCCCACCCCGGACTCCTCCACCACCTCCACCTCCTTCCCGGCCGCCTTCATGGCCTCGCAATACTCCATTTCGGTGTCCCTGATCAGGTCCCGCTCCGCCACAACCACCATCACCGGCGGCATCCGCAGACCCGCCATCTCCGGCGCCTGCGGTCCCATGGGGCAGGTGATCGGGTGATCCTTGGTGGCGCCCTCCGGCAGCGCTAGATAGAGAAACTTGTCCAGCATGTCCAAAGTAAGGAAGGGAGTCTCAAGACTGCAGTCCATCTCCGACCGGCTCCGAGTTGATCGCACAAATCCCGGGTGGATCGGCACCGCGCCGGCGAGACGCAGCGGCGCCCAGAAGTCGTCCTCTTGCCTTCCGGCGAGCGCCGCCACCTCGTGTACCAGGTTCCCCCCGGAGCTTTCTCCGATGAGGAACACGCGAGAAAAGTCCCCGCGGCGGCGGAGGGCGGCGACGGCAGGGTGATCGCCGGAGGAGGAGGCGGCGGCGGCGGGGGGGGGGGGAGACTGCGCGAGGGAACGGAGCCACAGGAGGCCGGCGAAGCAGTCGTCCACGGCGGCGGGGAGGCGGTGCTCTGGGGCGGGCCGAGTGTAGACTGACACCACGGCTGCGCCTGTCGCGGCGGCGAGGCGCGCGTAGAACTGGTAGTACATGTGCCAGCTGGGGCGGCTAATGCAGAAGCCCCCCCCGTGGAAGTGTAGGAGAACGGGGAAGTGCTCCCCTACTTCAGCTTCAGAACCGGCGGGGAGGTAGACGCGGAGGGCCAGACCAGAGAAGGTATCGACGGTGAGGTCGTGGACGGTGACGCCGTCGGCGGCAGCGTTGGCGGAGGAGGGGAAATATGGGGTAGCAAGGAACTGGACTTCCGGGGGTCCGGTCCAGGTTCTGTCCACCGTTCCGTCGGAGAACACCCGGAGCCAGCCGGAGACCTCGTCGACGACAAACTTCTCTGTGTTACCCTCGATCAAAGTCTTCTTCTCGTCCAGCGGAGTTGCCGGAACCTGCACACACACTGAGTCATCAAGGGCCGACATTCTGTCTCTACAGCGAGGAGTCAGAATAAGAGAGAGAGAGAGAGAGAGAGAGAGAGAGAGAGAGAGAGAGATTGTCTTCCGCACTGCTTCTTGGTGGATTTCCATGTGGAACTTATAGAAGGGGCTTGATAGTGCAAGTCCATGATCCAGTCGGTAGTTTATTGGGTCGTCATCTAGACTACCCTGAATTGCTTCAGCGTCTCCGCCTCACACCTTAATTGTCCAGTAACTTCGAGCCTTCAGGACGACACCGACCGTTGGTTGACCAAAAAATTTCTCACGATCCCCGCCTTTTCTCCCGACTTGTGCAGAAGTTGCTGCTCGTCGTGACCACCGTAGAAAGATAAAACGGCGGCACCTATCCCTTGCTATCTTGCGCAGAACTTTCTCCCGCCTCTCTTTCTCTCACACACATACCAATAAGGAAAAGAGCAAACCGTTGCTATCTTGTGGGGGCATGCTGATAGGAACCTAAGATCCATTGACCCTCCTAGAGTCTCCCTTGTCCAGGAAGCGAGAATAACTCCTCGAATAAGCATGTGTATCGTGATACTGGAGAGATAGGATAGGTTCCGCGATAGGAGATTAGGATAGTGGATACTAGTGGGAGAAGAAGAGAAGGACAGCTCCGGAAGCGGGACGCTCGCGCGATGACTCGCGAATATTGACAAGGAAAAGGATGTGGCAGAGACTCTAGAGATCGAGAGAGAGACAATCAGAGACCAATCTCCTGTGAAGGCACGCAGCGGCTTTCGACTTCAGACGATTGACTTCCCTCCCTTCCTCCTTCCCTGTTTAAATAAGTGATAATATGAAACGGCTACCCACCCTCCGTAATACCGTGTCCAGCAAAAGTAGACGAGCTTGGAGGAAAATATAAACTGCGTGAAGAAGATGTTCCTCTCCGTTCTCCCTCTCTCTCTCTCTCTCTCGCTCGCTCGCTCGCTCGCTCATTCGCTGCGAATGAGGAAGTTCCGAGCGGTGGCGGAGAAAGTTCAAGGGGAAGCACACGATTGATGGTGGCGACCGCAAAAATGCCCACCGCCGCCGTGGTGGGTCTTCCTCGATATGTCCCCACGGGAGGTCCTCCTCCAGCGCAAAAGCCAGGGAAAGAACGGAGGAGATGGAACGAAAGTGCACTACGGCTGCCCAGAACCAATGCTCGCGTCTACCCTTAGAAAATATTATTTTAGGAAGATTGACAACTACTGTATCTTTGTCGTGTTGACCCCCAACCGACCCCACCCCCCCGCCAATAGAAATCAACGTTAGACCAACCGTGGCTTCCCCACAATTCCTTAAGTGCCCCGTGTTGACTTTTTCCCAAGGTAGCCCGAAACTTTCAGAAACATTTCCTCTACATAGCAAGATGGCTTACAGGTGATTTAAAATGCACGATTTGTTCGGGATTCAGCCGAAGATAATTCCTTGCGTGTTGGGTAACTCAGCGAAGTGACTTGTGGCCATTTAAGAAGCATGGTCGGTTTAGGACTTAACCATTTTTCCTGAGGCCAGCTAAAAACAGAATGAAAATACCTTAAACCTACTGAAGTACCAATGGCTTTGGGGTTATCTAGCCTAAGAGACAATGACAAATCAAATCTCATATAATCATCTTATTGTTTCTCATCTCGTCGCATAGTGCTTTGCTCATGCAGATAATATGGTAATAGAATAAGTCGTATGATCCTCATTGGTAGTAGAGACTTTTTCTACATTTATTTCCATCCAAAATCATCACGAGTATATGATCTAAGACTAGGGATATTGAACAAGAATATATGAGTTTGTTTTAAGGTACGTGACAATATAGATATAAGATAAAATATTCTTGTGAGTATTATCCAAAAACTAAAAGGGAGGAATATTAGTTCACAAATGATGAAATCCTATGGTGATTAATATACGCACATAAAAGCATTTATCCTCTTGATGGCCTGATCAAGATACGATATTTGATCTTTATTCATTAAATTTGAATTGTCCTTTGTTATTATCAGAAGATATTCGGCGTTGGTTTAACACATTTTCGATTGATTTCTAGACTTTATTGTCGGTTGACTGAATTGGTTATTAAATCGCTTTGAGTTGATTGGTTATGATTCTTGAGTTGAGTTTATTGACGTTCATCGCATTTCACCAAGTTAGTCAACGAACATTGTAGGGGTGAATTTAGAGGATAAGGTCAATGAGCATCCGAGTTGCTTCCAACTTCCCGGTTTAAACAGTTACAAATCACCCACCGCATAGATGAGAGCAACGGTAGACGAGATCAAAGCCAGAGTGATCTCTCAAGCTGAGCGACGTATTCCAAGAAGCTATTAGTTCTATAAAAATTAAGAACCTGTACTTAAGAGTGTGTTGGGAAGGGAAATGATTTCCTCTTTGAGGCCGAACATGGGAAGTTGACCTTTCCTCGTAAGCAGCAAGTGGGGTGGGTCCTCCCGTTGACCCACAGTGAATTTACAGCCGCCACAAATTAAAGTGACTCATAGATGCTTTGCTCTCCAGTCTACTGCGAAAGTCTCCTCTTCATCGGTGGAGGATTCGTCGCTGGACTCGTGGCGCATGAAAGCAGGCCTCTTCTGACCTCTGGCATTCTGCACAGCCTTGGCCTCCATGAGCCTCTTCTTCACCATTTCCACTCTCTCTCTATATTCCCTGTGAGGAATCAAGAGGATAAATGGGGGGCGCTCTACCAGGGGACCATACAGAGATAGAACAAAATATATGGAAAGCTGGGGGAGGAGGCACCACCTCTGCTCCACGCGCTCAAATTCCTGTCTCATCTCGGCAGCATCAATCTGCAGGAGGGGTGTGGATGGATGGTATCAGTACAAAAACAGATAGACACTTGGAAAATATGCAAGCAATGTACAGTTGAAGAACAGGCAGTGATGAGCATTCCACCTCCTCTTCTTCGAGGCGATCGTCCACCTCTAGCAAGTCGTCCTGAATTTCCTTCTCAAACTCCTTGTACGCATCACTGAGTTTGGGAGGAACAAGGTTTTAGAGTTTGAGATGTTGGGTCCCTAGAACCATCAAGTTATGGAGCAGCAGAGAACAAAAAGCAATATAAACCATCTTCAGATCACTATTAATCTGACCCAACAGTATGCTGAAGTAGAAGTCTTCTCAAATCCCAATGCGAACAAGAAACAGTCTGTCCCTTATGAATTACTTGTATATTGGGATTCCTACTATTCTGGAAATATTTTTCTAAATCCTCATGGTCTATTAAGGAAATAATAATAATAATTATTATTATTATTATTATTATTGCGTCATATTCATCATCCGAATTCCAATCCAATCCAAGAACCCTGTTGGTAGTACTAGGAAACAACCTAAAGACCCTTTCATGCCACCACTATGTATGTAAGATCGACCATGGAAACGGAAAGATAGCTAGCTTAAAGTTTTCCTATTTGGAATGAATAGAACAATGAAATCTGCTAGTTTCCAGAGCTTCCCAGCAAAGTACACATATTTCTTAATGCTCTAGAGTGAGGGAGCGGCTTCGAGTCTTTGTAGCAAGAAGATTCTTCGAACTTGAGTGGATTTTTTTGGAAGTCCTAAGATTCTACATTAATGGGGTGCGGCGCAGACAACCAAAAAAAAAAATTAAAAATAGTATGAACCGTCTCTGTGAGGGATCATAGACAACAACGAAAAAAGATACTTACCTGATGTCAACCTTAACTGGTTGGATGCCACGTGCACGGAGATCTGCATCTTTATTATCAAAAAATCCTTCAGGAAGAGCTCCTTTCGCTTGCTTCACCTCAGAGACATCTGTCACTGTTGATGGTTGACTGGGCTGCCAAGAGATGTTCTCATTCATTGCATTGCCGTCATCGAAGAAACCCTCAGGTAGAACACCCTTGACTTTTCTTGCTGTTGGGGCGTCTACCCTTTTGAATGGCTGAGCCATGGGTTCAGACTGCTCACTTGCACTTATTTCCTTGTCGAAGAAGCCATCAGGAAGGGACCCTTTTGCTTGCTTGCTTTCTGAACTACCAACTTTCCTTGATTCCTGATTGGTCGAAGATGATGCCTCGATCTGTGATCTAGTCACGGCGAATTCAACGGTTGAACTTTCTTCTCCACCTTAATGAACAAAAGAAACCGCATCAGATGGTGCAACAGAAGAGCAGATACCCAGATATGCAATGAACGATTGAGATTTCTGTGAAGAAAGTAGTTTGAAGCCTCTGTAATGAGGATCATGCAGGGACATACAAGTGGCATACATATTAAAAAATACCACATTTCAGATGACTCAAGATAAAGTATTCTACAATGTGACATTCAGTCTTGGGCATGGTGCATTGTATCAATCTTGGGTGTTGATATAATTATTTGCATTTAAAATTGGGTACTAAGAATCCAATAATCTGCAGCGAACCAAAGGTCTGGAATTTCTGTTTATAAGATGTTTCTTTTGATCAGGGATTATCTTCCTCTGTTCTAATTAAATTCCCTACCTCCATTGAACTTATCTAAAGGAGTAACTTAGGTAAATGCCACTGGTGACTTTCCATCTTGTGAAATCCTGGTACACTCTTCTTGATTGGAGAAGAGGTCGCCAGGAACTTTGAGAATAGATGTGCCTGAGAGTGAACTATTATGGCCTACAAAAGTAGGTTTAGAAGAAATTAGATAGTAAAGTTGGTTGAGGAAATATAAAATTCACCAAAGATTTACAATTTCACAGGGGGTACTGAATATTGCAAGCCGTCCCATGGATGAAGGGTCCCAACAATCTAGGCTCCCTTCGTGCAGCAAGGAATAGGGATGCAATGGGCAGCAGACCAGACAAAGGAAGCCCTAAGGGGGTAGAGAAGAGAGTAACAGTTGCAGCTTTCCTAATCCGCCAATAAGGGATGAAAAGTCTTGAAAATCCCCTTGATATCTCCAACGCAAGCCTAATGACATGCTCATCTTTCTGGAAAATCTCACCCCTCTTCAAAGAAGATGCACACATGGCTGTTCAAAACGGAGCCCACGTAGCCACCCTATCCAACTTAAAAGAGGTTCACATACCATACAGATGGCGGTTCCTATTCTTTCCAAGGAGGATGCGGTGAGGAGATACCAAGGAGAGAAAGATGAAAACTCATGAAACACCAAGACAAAGACATGGGAGAGATAGCCAAATATTGCATTAAAGTATTCTTTTTCTTCGGTACAACTGAAATGATAATCTTCACGTAAACAAATGTATCTAAACTGTTTTCCATAGAGAACTTGTGACAGTAGCAGTGCAATCGCACTACCATTCAGACTCTTTTGTAATCTCTTGCTAATCAAATTTCAGATGTATAGAAAGGCTCTTTAGGGAAGAAATGTCACTTTGAGTTGGGAAATGGTTACTGAAAGGGCCGAAAAACTATGCTGAATAAACTCAGAAGATGAGCTCAGAAGTGAAGCAACAGATCAGTTAAACTTGAGACGATTCGAAGTGAAGCAAATAAGCTCAGAAAATGAGCACGGAATCGATACTAACAAAACCCTGGAAAATAGATAAGCACTACCTGGAAATGTCATAGCAACAGAAAAACCCTCGTACATCCATACTAACAAAAAAATAAAAATAAAAACTGGAGAAGCATTTTTTTTCACAATTGCTCCACTTACCTATCTTTTGTCTTTTTATCTCAGGTTTATCAAAAAATTCTGAAGCCACTTTAGATGATGGCTGAGGTTTCTCCAAGTCTTTTTGTCGATCTGACTTTACATTATGGTGGTCTCGTGCTGTAGCAAGGGCTTTCACATTCTCAATGGCCTGTAATAATGCACAAACCGCAATGCATGAGCGACCGAATTTCAACAAGGGTCCAATTTTTTTCTACGACAAGCATTGACAAACTGTGTAACCCTATTGACTTCAGAATGACGACATACTTAACAATAAAATAGAAGAATTTCATAGAAAGGAAAACGAAAATTGAATAGAAACAGAATGTCCCACGAGAAACATTGCCAATCTGAGGTGAAAACATATGGAAGAGCTCAATAGCAGTTAAATACACAATTGGAATCCCCGAAAGATTAAAACTAAAATTTTGAATATTAATCACCATTATATAAATGGAGCTCAGACGCCTCAGTTTACTTGTGATTTTTAATACTGTAGAAACTCAACAAAAAAATATGCTCAGAAACAAAATGTATTACCCTTCCCATATATTTTGGGTCAGGTAGGAAGCCAAATCTGATACATTCATTGCTCCTTTCTCTTAACTTTTTATAACCATATATGTAGCATTGGTTTGAAGTTTATGATTACATATAAGTTGATAAAAGGAAACAAAAAATAGTGAAGTATCACACAAGTACTGGATTCCTTCAAGCGATCTCTACTCAACAATGAACCATGCAGCTATTCAAATCGATATCCTTCATACAGCCAAGGAACACTGTAGCACTAACCTTTACCAAATAGAGTTCAAACATGTTAAGATGCACTGACACAACAAACCAGTCATCAAATGTTCAAACGAATAATAGCTAAATAGTTCGTGAACATCAGTTTCAAAACTTAAGTCTGTGGTGACATGAACCATCATCATCAAGGGCCAGCTTCAAGGCCTGAGCGAAAGTAATTATTCAGATCTCCCTTCCAATCTGCTTTTCAACATGACTCCCATATAACTGAACTCCATATGACTCCTCATTACATTCTCCTTATCCAATGTATGACTCCGGAAAAAACAACTGATCTAGCATAATATCTCTATCCATCATATGTCACAAAAACTTTCTCTAACCCAATCAGAGAAGAAGAAATCCTCGAAACCCCAGACACCTGAACAGAGAAATTGGTTCATCTGGCTTTTCTTGCATTTGGTGATTATTAATAACGTCTGTACGGTACAAAGTTGGGTAAGAAAGATAATGGATCCTGAGTAGAGTAAGGCTGATACACTTACGAAATGATTTTATGATGTCAACATCTATTGACACGTGATTATTATGATGGCTAATCTTCATGCAACATGAACTAATAATGCATTTAAGAACCCATCTCATCTTAGCATGCAGCATTGCGGGCAGTTTTATAAATACATGCTTAGCATGCCAAAGCTATTCTTTTGATGAATGTGTCAACCTTAGAGAATGTACAGGAGTTATGCTACCTCCCATCCTCACAGTAAAGACAATTCCATTTTTATGTTCGGGAACTTTAAGAAACTTAGCGTATTCATAACATTTTTATCAGAAACAGTGCTGAAAAGTAAAGAAAATGCGCATAACCAATTATTTTAAATAAAAACATAGCCTAATACTTAAAGATTATTTTATAACATACATACTGCTCAAATAAATAAATAAATTTATTCACTAAAAAGGGAAAAGGTTCCACCTCACGATGCTTCCTGGAAACTTGATGTGCTGGCCAAAGCGATTCAGACTTCAATGTAACATTGCAAACCTTGCAAACTGGTTGATCATATTCATTATACCTGCAATAAGAAGGTCCAGACAGCCATATCTAAGGAAAATCGTCTCCTCATTTGCGAATAAATTTATTATCCATCTAGGAGGATATATCAAAAGGAAAAATGAGAAAAACAAAATTATGTCGATTAAGACCCAGCGGCCGCTCAAACAAGTCTGGCTTTATTCACTTCTATATCAATGCACCTATGAAATACTTCATCACCGAATTTCAACACCATCACTCATTAAGTTGTGATAAATAATAATAACGCATGAATAACATAATCTCTTTCCCCAAAAGAAGCACCTTATACAACGAGAAAGAAGAATGTTCATAGTGAGTGTTTTATACATTTCCCTCACAATTACAGTTAGTGTTTTGACACATTTGTAATCGACTTTCTAGATTTAGAAGTGCAATGCTCAAACATAGTTTCTTCGCCTTTTAAGCAGCTGTAATGCCACAGTAATCACACCAACAGTGATCCTGAGAAAACAAAGACAAACTAGAAGTCTACTTTATTTCCACGCTTGGATTCCGTTTTAAGATGTCACCATTACAAATGTGCCAAAATCATCAGAAACGTGGTGACTCGTTCAGCGCTCGGACTGTAAACCTAGTAAAGAGTATAATTGAGACATCACATCTAAAAAAATTTGATCAAGAATAAATTTCTCCTTCTTCTTAAGATATAATCAGAAAAGGGGAAATTATAGGTTTGGATGCCGTGGTAGAAAGGAAAATGCAATCAGAAATAAACCCCAGAGTCTGAAACACGGCATTCCAGAGAGATCACTGTTTCGGAAGAAGAACAGATTACTACTTCTCGTTAAAAATCATGAGCGCCACCAATAATACGCACACATTGTCTGTTAAATTAGGCATAGGAATTTGAATGAAAAAGAAACTAAAAATACTGAACTTTTTAGTAAAAGCTATGCAAGAAAGTATCACGCCAGAAATTAAATACTAACGGAACCCACAGCTCTCGGCAGGACAAGAAAGGAATGTAAACAGATAGAGCACCTCACAAGAGGAGAATCGATGCGTTTCTCCCGCTTCTGCGCCGCCTCCCTCAGCTTCGCCCGGAACAACGCCTTCTTCGCGTCCATCCCCCCGCACTCCAACACACACCCCCTCCTCTCCAACTCCTCTCTCCGCTGCACCACCACGAGACGTTCCCAGTCGCCTCCTCTCTCTGTCTCTCTCTCCCTCTCTCTCCCTCTCGGGAGCGCTCTGGGAAACGGGCTGGGCCGGTCTATGCTTTCTACAGCCGGGCCAAGGACTCTCTAGCAGTAGAGAGTGCTCCATAACCAATTTTAAAACTTTTTGGATTAAAAGTAAAAATGTTTGATTCGCTAATAAAAATATCATAAACTGAAAAATTCCAATTAAAATATTTCCTCTCTTTGATTCCAACTCCCGCTTCTCCCTCCATCCTATTTTTCCTTGACCCATTGCATTAACCCTATTATTATGATTTATTTTATTTGAGAAAATAGTATTTTTTCACACATTTTCATGACACGTTCAGATTTCTACAACCATATGGGTACATCCTCTCTCTCTCTCTCTCTCTCTCTCTCTCTCTCTCTCTCTCTCTCTCTCTCTCTCTCTCTCTCTCTCTCTCTCTCTCTCTCTCTCTCTCTCTATCTCTCTCTATGTTTCTTATATCTTTGATTTCAATTCCCACTTCTCTCTCCATCCTTTTCTTTCCTTTATTTGTCGCATTAACCCTAGTATTATTATTTATTTTATTTGAGAAAATAATATATTTTCTCATGTTTGCATAATACGTCCAGATTACTAAGCCCATATGGGTAGCTTCTCTCTCTCTCTCTCTCTCTCTAATTTCAATTCACACTTCTCTCTCCAACCTTTTTTTTCCTTGATCCCCTAGTTAACCCTATTATTATGATTTATTTTATTTGAGAAAATAATAGTTTTTAACACATGTTCATAACACGTTCAGATTTCTACAGCCATATGGATACCCCCCTCTCTCTCTCTCTCTCTCTCTCTCTCTCTCTCTCTCTCTCTCTCTCTCTCTCTCTCTCTCTCTCTCATGGGCTTCATAAGAATCTATCCAAAAGCCAATCTTCAAGCTCAAATTGGTTAAGTCCAGCTCAACCAATTGGTGACGATCTCAATTGTGCACATTTTTCAAAGGATTTCACTCACTATTTATGGCCAAGGTGGGTCCCCATTCGAGCCTTTCCAAGAATTATTGTAAAATTAAATTGAGTCAAAGAGTATTCAATGGACGTCTAATTGTTATTGTTCATGACCATGGGTTGCTTCAATTTATGCACTCTTTTCACCTTGATTTTCAAACCAAAAGTTTGAATTTTTTTCCATCATAAGTTTATCCCTCCCTAATATATTTATAGATATCAAAAGTATATCTTATAGGCTTTCCAATGCAACATTTATCTCACAAAATCTATCAAAAGTTTTGATTAATAAGTTTATTTACCTAATCATTAATTTAGGTAAATAAACTTATTCAAGTCTCCTAAAAATAGTGTCAGAAATTTTGTGAAATTTGAAGGAAAAAAGATAGGCTAGAAGAAAGTCTAGATGCTGAGTGAACAAGCTTATCTCCATGATGGCAAGATTGAAATTTCCATATTTTCTTGTATCTGGCCTACACCCACCACTCTAGGAGCTATCATCCTTATGTTTTCACTAATCCTCACAAAGATTGAACCTTTCTTTTTATGTATTTAGCTCTATATAACTAACTATTAATAGTATCACACTTCTCTAACACTACTAAGGCTAGCTCAAAAATAGTCTTAATCTGCCACACTGTTTCTTCGATTTGACCCACCTAATAGTTCATCTATTGACTTTGTGAATCTAATAAAATGAAGCATAAATGCACCAATAAAGTGAAGTCAAATAGAGCAAGTGGAAGAAGCTTTCATGGTTTTGAGGTAGACTACTTTTGACCTAGTTGATTAAAAAAAATGGCTCATTTGAGTAATGGATAATTCTTCATGTCTCCTATGGATGAGAATACTAACACCTAAAAATCTAGAAAATAATTGTAAATAAACAAATGGAAATGTATGGGTTAAATGACAGAAGCTTTTCTTCTAAATAGGATGAAAATGTACAATCTGAGCAACTCTCAAGTAGTTTAGTAAGCTTATGCTTACTATGGAGCACTCTCTCTCCCCTCTAGCTTGTTTTATGTTACATCCAATAGGCCAATCATGAAAGTGACATGAAAATAACTAGATTCTACTAGTACCTTCATGTCAATGAGTGTAGAAGATCAATCAATCTATGATTTGGTGATCAGTTCATAGAAAACTAATGAAAAAATTATGTTTTTACAATAAAATCATTTAGTCTAAAATTATTTAAAAAATTATAGAAACCATCCATTTTTTCAAACATATTACTATTTTAATATTGCCATCATCAAAACCTAGAGTAAAACCAAGTCAAAAGAAAGTAGCTGGTGGCATTAAATGCCACAAGGCCCATCACAACTCATATAGTGACCTCTCTTAATAGGACATAGTCCACAATGGATCTTGATTTTATTTATTAATTAAAACTTAATCTTATCCATACAATGAGAGAGGAGATGGGCTTATGAGGATAACATATTCTATTCTTCTTATTTATGAAGTTACTCATCCTAGTCTTGGATATAAATCTAGGAAATTGACACATTATTGTCCCATTGACAAAGGAGGTTATCCATGTCATAAATCTCTTGAAAGCCCAAGCCAAGCCTGAAAAGAACATGTCAAGTTGGCTAAATTGGACTACCATACTTATTTGACACATCTACTTGTCAAATTACAATGCCCATATCATTTTGGTAAAATATCCTCAACTTTTAATATATAGCATCATAAAAAAAAATTAAAAAATAAAATAATTATTTTTTAAAAAATAGATTTAGATGCCCTTTTCACATCCTAATGGATATTGACATAGGATGAAGGAAGATTTGAACCATGGCTTGCCTTGGTATATACAACTATTTCTCTATAATAACAACCCTTTTCATTTTTAATCCATGCAAAGGAGCCCTAAATCATAAACATAGCCAACATACTCTCAAACCGTCAACTCCACTTTTCTCTCTCTAACCCCTGCCTTCTTTTACCAGTTTGATAAATAAAATAAGAATTTAAAATTAATTTTATTTAAAAATATTTATAAAAAATAAAATTAATCTAATATATTAACACTAATCCAACATAATCTAATAAGCCTCAAAATCCCACCAAATATAACAGTTTTACCTCCAAATTGAGAATAACATTTGGAACCTATTGGATTCATATGAGGCCCTGACTGAGGGACCAAAAACAAATAGGTTCAGGTAGTTTTGAGGGATTCAAAGGCATTATTAATAGAGGCTTCAAGCTTTAAAATTAATTAAACATTTCTACGAGGCCTAAATTATAATAATACCTGGTCACTTCAATGGGCCCGGGTCCAATCATTCCAACAACCCGGCCCCCACAACGCCGAGCTCATCCTGACCGTCAAAACGGATCCGATCCCTGGATCGTACGGAGATCCTTCCATCAGATTCAGCCAATGGGGACCCCACACGCATGTGGCAAGAGTCGGCACTCTGGCTTCTGGAAGCATCTCTATATTTCCACCTGTTTCTCTCTGGTTCTTCCTCTTCCTCATCAGGGCTGCCCTGGTCGATCCCGTCCCCTGAGGTTGATCCAATTCCCGATCTCTCCGGCCACCTTCCTGCTGGCCATGGGAGCCTCCCCCCTGGCCGGTATCAAGGTCCTCCGTCTTGTGGGAGCAGGTATGCGGCCGATGATCTCTGAAGCTTCGCTTCTGTCCGTAAATGCGTCGGTGACTTCATCCTTCACGAAACTTCGCTGTAATCTGTGATGCTTTAGCGTTGGATTTCGAGTCGGCCTTGTGGAGATTGTCGTTGTTGTTGTTGTTGTTGTTGATGATGGTGATGGTGCTCTTGAGATTTGTCTACTTTTTTAACTTTTTACGGTTCGGTTCTTCTTTTTGCGCTGCGCTCGTTAGACTGCCGTGAACTGTCGACGCTTGCTCCCTCCTCCGCCTCCTCGCCCGCACCATTCTCGCGTTGTATTCAACTCAGGTCAGATTTCACCGTCGTTGGGAAGTTCTCTCTGGGATTTCAATTTCTTCCTCGTCTGTGTTCAGATTTTACCCTTCTGAATTTGAAATCTGAAATCAATCTTTTCTGCCTGTTATTCTACTGTTCGATCGATCAAGGATAGCATCTGAAAGATTATCCTCAGGCCAGTGGCTGATCTGAAGCATCGGGGACTCAACCTTCGACTCTGCCTTCTCGAGCCCCTCCAGCCTTCACAGGAGAGGAGATCATGCCAGGCGGAGAGACCGCTCACTGGTGCTACCAGTGCCGACAGACCTTCAGGCTCCGACATGGGAGGGAGCTGGTCTGCCCCCGCTGCCATGGTGGCTTCGTCCAGGAGCTCGATGACATGGAGGGCCGCGGCAGCCCCCTGAGCTTTATCGGCTACCACTCAGGCCAGGAGGACGAGCCCCGGCTGGGGATGGTGGACGCCATCTCCGCCATGATGTCAAACCTGATGGGGACGACCAGAGGCAGCTCCCGAGGGAGGGCAGAGCAGGGGATGGGGCTCGGCCCTCCGCCATGGCTGTGGTTCCAGGGCCAGCTCCCCTCGCGCTTTCCACCCGGCGGCGGCGGCGGAATAGAGGTAGTCTTCCCCGGCGACGGCGTCGGCTTCGGTCTCAGGCGGGGGAACGTGGAGAACTACTTCGTCGGGCCCGGAGTAGACGAGCTCCTCTTCGAGCGGCTAGGCAGGGGTAGCGACCAGCGAGGGCCGCCGCCGGCGCCGCGGGCGGCGATCGACGCCCTGCCCACCGTGAAGATCAAGCAGCGCCACCTCCGCGGCGACTCCGCCTGCCCCGTCTGCAAGGACAAGTTCGAGCTAGGCGCAGGGGCGCGGGAGCTGCCCTGCAAGCACCTGTATCACTCCGACTGCATCGTCCCCTGGTTGCAGCTCCACAACTCCTGCCCCGTCTGCCGCCAGGAGCTCCCCTCCAGCAGCAGCCCCGCCGCCGCCGCCGACCGCGGCGGCGGAGGGGAGCCGCATGGGAGGAGGAACCCCTTGTCCTTCCTGTGGCCCTTCCGCGCCGCTGCCCCGAGCTCCAACAGCAGGTACCACCGGAGCGAGTCCGGGGGAGGAAGCATTGTCCCCGGGGTCCACGACCAGATCAACCACATTAGTTACTCCGATCGCCCCTTTGACTGACGGGGACGACAAGAACTGGTTCAGATCATAGCGAAGAATCACCATCCTCCTCACCGGCAAGCACTTCCGCAAATAGTAAGTAGTGGGTCGTCAGTGTGCAGTGGGTCGCCAATTGTTTCTCTCATAGTTGTGCTTCTCCCCTCATTTCATCTGAAGACTAGTTTATAAAGAGCAAGGTCGGCGCTTTCAGAGGCTTCCCCCCCCCCCTTCTCATTCCTTTTATCTGCTCATCACCAGGTCTGTAGATGAACAACTGTAGAGAGAGAGAGAGAGAAACCAAGAATGGATGGATATAATAGCAGGTGATATGGAAGCGTAAGTCAACAGAGAACAGGAGGGAAGTCAACGAGAAACCATTGTCGCCAAAATCTCACATTATTGGCAAGAAAAAATGGCACAACGGCGAGATCTCCAGAGTCTCCAATTCTGATGAGTTTGCTCAACTGAGCGCCTGCACCTGCCTTCCCCAAGGCTTTACTCATCCCTGCGGAAGATCCCAACAATCAGCATCACGGTTCAACGAGGAGAGAGAGAGAGGGAGAGAGAGAGAGGGAGAGAGAGAGAGAGAGAGAAAGATGAGCTCACGATGGGTTATCCGGCAGTGGGGGCTTCAGGGGGAGCCGGGTCTTGTAGGAGAAGACGATCTCATACTGGGCACCGAGTATCCGCTGGCGCTTCAACCAGAAGAACTTCTTCTGCAGGTCCTCCGACCGGGTCTTGACCACCATGTACAGCTTGTTGATCCTCATCTCGAATTGCTCCCTTGACTTCTTGTCGATGTGTGGCGACCGAAGAACACAGAATTTGACTATCGATCGGGGGAGCGCCACCCTGCTCGTCGTCTCCGAGTCAACTCCCAGAGCGAACCCGAATGACGGGGACCGTCCGATCGCGATGCTGTCAGGCTCCTGACAGCCCATGCACTTCTGATGGATGGCCCCATTCACTGACCCACACCTAAATTAGAACATGGGCATTATAATCTAGGGGGTTGACCTTCCAATTCAAAAAAATCGGGCGGCGGGGTGATAACTTAGGTGAGAAAAAAGATGTTTACTTGGGGCACGTCCAAGTCGATTTCTTCCTCCCGAGGTCGTTGACTTTTGCCCTGATAAGCATGTCTTGTCTGCTTCCCATCCATCGAACATTTTGGGAAAAGCTTGAGCCTCTGCTCCTGTAAAACATTTGACTTCAGGCATGAATGAGTTTATAATCTTCTTCTTCTTCTTCTTCTTCTTCTTCTTCTTTCCTACTACTAGGAGCATTATATGATTCTGATAAGGTAAATAATGCAGAGATTCTAGGAAAAAAGGGCTAAAATGGCTTTAATCACCATAAGTTTGCAACTTAGAACACCATCATCATCAACGGCCAGTTAGTTTAAAAGAATTACGAAAGAAAAAAAAAAGGGAATCAAAAAGCTTGTCACCCGATTGAATGGAAGGGCGGGTTCCTGCAATGAATGAGCGTTGAGAATCAAAGCAAAACGCGAAATTTACTAAATGTGTGTAATATTTTTTAATAGGGTTCATGTTTGCACCTCAAGTCAACTTTTTTCTTGAACTATAAATAAGGATTATAGCATGAAGAGGAACCAAAAAAATTAAACAAAATAATAAAAATAAAAACAAATGGGCATCACCCAGAGGAAGAAACATTAGAAGGATGTAAGAGGAGGATGATCCAAAATAAAAGGCACTCTCACAGAAATACAAAAAATAATACGATTGAATATAAAGAAATTACTATTTTATTCACTCGCCTACCTGATTTTTCATAAAAAAAATATCACATATTGAACTAAAATGGATGCATTTCCTCTTAAACTAAAATACCACGTAATAAATAAAATAGAAATGGGTTGTACGAATCAACACAAAAAATGGTAATAAATTCAGAAAATCTGACCATTTTGTTTCCTCTTTGCTAACTTCTATTCTGTATAACCCTGTACACTCGTTTTATTTGAAGGCTTATTACTGAAAGAGTCAAAGCAATATCCTAAAAGTTAAAGCAATCATTCATCTCGCCCAATCTAAACCTCAAAAGCATCGATGAATCCGAGGCTTTTCATTCGTTCAGATCAGTTTAATGAATAAAATAATGGGAAGCTCATTGTTCGGACTACTTGGATTGAATCAGACGCTATAACAGGGCAAAAACTTACATAGAAGCTCCTTGTGAACAATCTAAAACTCTTTTTTAAGAAAACTGCAACCCAACATTATCTTTGCAATCAAGAAAGCACCCAGACATTCAAATGTTCATATGGATTCCATTCAGATCATACATGGAAATGGACTCTGCACAGTAATCTGAGTCATATACAATAAATCTTCCAGACTATCGGGAAAATCAGAATTTTTGAATATTTTATTTAAAATATAGAATGTAATTAGTAAAATCGTAAACATAAGATAGAATTCATTAATGGGAATTAACCCACCCTTTCTCGGCCGCCAAACTTAGAAGAGAAGCAGAACCACAACTCCTAGCTCCATCTTATGTTCTTAAAGACACAGCGATATGGCAAGAGATTCTTCCACTGCTTTTATTTTCCCCCTCACAATTACTCCCATTTGAAGAAAAAATCAGAAATTTACACCAATTAGGTAACTAATTCCAAGAATAATCTCCTGGTTGTGGCATCTGCAAGATTTTCTTAGAAATAAACAGGATTTCTTTCGACCAATTTCCACCGATTTGAAGACCCGATGAAATCCAAAATAATATAGAAACGTTGGATCTGTCTCCCAAAAGTGTATCAGTCCAGCAAGAAGCAAGGTCTCTTCTGGGTTCCAGAAGACCCAGATCACTCTCGGAGCTCTAGCGCAACAGAACAGTTCATCTCTATTGTTGCATTCGTAAACGAGATAGAAAAAAAAACAAGGAATGAGCGAATGATGTCCGGTGATTCGTTCCAACCTGGTACCCTCCGAGACGGGGAAGTGAGTGCCGCGTGGGGAAACTTCAGCAGCAGCACTGACGAGTAGTGCCCTTCGGTGAAGGGGGGCGAGATCGGACATGGCAGAAGACGACAGCTCCCTCTGCATCGTCCGGTAGATCGACGAGGACCAACCACGTTCACAGCTCGACTTCAACAGCGCCCGAGCTGCCATGTCTTCCTCTCCCCACCCACCCCCACTCCCTTTCAGAGCTGAAAAATGAATGCTTCCGCATACTCAGACCCAGTAGCAGAGAACGAGGCGACGGAGGAACAAAAGAGACCAAGAAGCAGACCTGGAGGCGGCTGAAAGCTGATACAATGTGTCGCCGCCGAGCTTCAACGCGTCCTTCTTAGCGCCGCCGGACAGAGGCCGGGGTGAAAGGGGGCCGCGGCGAGCTCCGACGGCGCCGGGGACTACTATGGAAGCTCAGGGTTTCACAAACCCACGATGATCATGGGTCAGTGATGTACTCACAACCGTTGGATCTTGATCATAGTCAACGGAAACTGATCCGGTTCTAGAGGAGGAGATCTGAAACGATCAAGTCAACTCCAAGGTCGCTGTTTAAATATTGCTAGATAGATTACCAAGTATCAAAATCAACCCACATTCCTTTCTACTCCCCCACCCCCAAATCAAGAACGCCGAAAATCTGTTGACTTACACTAGTTTATTCAATAAAATTCCTATAAAAATTTGATCGCATATTTCACATGATTTTACAATGTACTAACTTTATACTAAGTAAATAATAGGATACAATTTAGTAACGTCTGGTCCTTTTTTTTATCCTCGTTCGCATGAATTGAAGTAGTCTGCATACTTTTCCATAGTTCTAGTGATAGACGGACTCAGTTGACTTTTGGAAACAAAGGGCTTGGTGGTAAGGTCCAAAACCCAGATAAATACAAAGTGGAAATATATTTGACCTCGTGAATTAGTCAACGCTATTTACTATCTCAAAAATGATTCATCATCTTATCTACCCTTCTTAGCCTGTTCTTTTAAATGCAAAACTAGGGGAAAAAAAAGAAGTTTACTCGGCAAGCATTAATGTACTTATCCTGCAAATATGGTCGGCATCGGTCAACTCTACGTTGACTTGCATCATCTAATCCACCGAGTCAATGCCCACATCAACAACACGAGAAGCTTGACACAAAATTTTTCATTGATTGTAGAACAGATGATAATGGCCGGTCAACCCATTTACAAATAGCAAGAACAGATCAGGAACGAAACAAAGAAAAACAAGCAATAAATTCCTAATCTTTTCTGGGAACGGAAGGGCTGATGGGCGCTGTCCGATCATGGCTGGCCGAGCAGAGACGGCCTGTAGAAGGAATGACTCTGGGCGATCTCAATGCGATCGCGTGGATCGTTCATGGTTTCATCTCTCAATGCTTGGAGAATCGCCTGAGACGTGTATTCCCTGTTGAAACCCAATAAATATATGAATATATATATATATATATATACATATAAATATATGGGTAATGTTTTTCGAGATGATGCTACTTAAAAAAAAAGAAGAAATTCAAGCCAATCAAGGTACTCAGCTGCGCAGGGTAGATGGCACCAAAAAAAAAAAAAGAAAAAGAAAAAGAAAAGGAGGAATCAAGAGAGAGGATCACCTCTGGATATGAACATGCAACTATTTTTTTTTTCCTGTTTATCCCTTCGAGATATTCTAATTTGATGAATTAGTCAAGTTTCATTCTTTCTTGATGGGTCTTTGAAGCAATTTAAGAAACCCATAAATACGAATATAAACACATATGTATATATATACTCATATGCATACCTTGTAATCAGTATCTTGTATAATGTCTTGAGGATGGGGCAGACCTCAACTGGAGCGACCGGCTTTTTCTCTTCAGAGTGAATCACATTCAAGCTAGATTGACTCAGCAGCTCGTAAAATGCGCCGACAGCAGAGACACCCTGAAAGGGGAGAAAAAGAGGGGGGGGGGTGGGTGCAGAAAATTATGAGCAAATTGTTAAAAAGACTATATATATATATATATATATAATCCTAGCTTCCAGACTCAGGATTTCATATTAACCCTAAAGACCCAAGTTCATGGCATATAAGGAGATGATCTATATATATATATATAGTTCTAGCATCCAGGCTCAGGATTTCATATCAACCCAAAAGAGCCAAGTCCATGGGATATGAGGAGATGATCTCGAGAGACTGTGAACACCATGAAGATGAGAGAAGTGGACCTGAATCATCCCCTTGCCCTTGATGCTATCACCCATGTCAGGGCTCAGCTCCCCCTTAGCAAGCATCTGCCCATACCACGCATTGCGGCCCTTCAACAGGGTCACGTATGTGTCAGCGAGCAAGGGGCCCGCAAGCTTCTCTGGCTGCTCAGTCAAGAGGTGAGTGATGAAGATCATCTCCGATGTGCAGTGTGCAAAGTACACGGATTTACTGGTGGCACTCTCGTTTGTCAGCGCTGCCACCATTCCTGAATTTTTTTTGATAAAAGGATAATCATCAATATTGGATGAGCCATCTCAAATTATAAATTTTGAGAATGATATTTAAATTAATTTTCTCAAGCATGAATGGCTCAAGATACGGAAGCGTAGGCAATAATAAAATAAATTACAATGCATAATTCGCCTGCTTATACATAATCCTTAGAGAAGAAGAAGAAAAATATAACTCTGCAGAACCCCTTTTTCAATTCCCAAAATCAAATTTTAATTTGCAGGCTCTGATTTCTTTTAACTGGGTGAACCTCATTCGAGATCAAGCAAAACAGATAACAAACTGTTCAAATTAGTGGCCGATTTGGCTGATAATTCGAACCAAGAGAAGGCTTCTTGATGATTTCAGAGGAGGCATGGCGGCACTTTGATGATTTCAAAGTGCCCGAATCCCAATATCGTGAGCACCGATAAGGGAGGGCTAGGCAGCATTGAATACTAGGCAATCATACTAAACCATCATCTAAAATCCAGAAGAGATTACTGCTGCAAGATAAACTGTGGATTCCACAGCAAATGATTTTTTTAAAACAATGGAAATAATAATAATAATAATAATAATAATAATAATAATAATAATAAGATGATAATAACAGCTTCTGCTCAGAAGTCATTCAAACCTTAACCAAAGAGTAGGCATACATTGCAGTCACAATTTTCTTCGCTTCAAAGGATTTCAAAACATGCACCTTGACGTTATACTCTTTGTGTTTAGTGTAAGTTATGCTGGGTCCACTTGCAACATAAATAATATACGAGGAACAGGGGTGAGGATTAATAAAGGAATATTGTAGATTAATTGTGGATATAAATATGCTTTTAGTCACCAGTCAGATGAGAATAAGTTAACACTGCCCCAAGTTTCTTTTGCTTCATCCCCCCTAACATGCTGCGAAAGCTTAACTTATCACAGCTGGAGAATCTCTCCATACCCAAGCAGCTCTTTAAAATCATCTGTGGCCATCAGCCAGTCTAATCTGGATCTTTTCTAGTTTTGGCATCTTCCTCAGAAAGTCAACTCTGACCACCCGCAGAGAGATCCACTGGCAGAAAAATAGCGCCATCAAAGTTCATACCACTTTTAGCAGTTAAAAGAATAAGAGGATCTCACTGTTTCTTTATCTTTCAAAACTGAAGAAACCTCGTAAGAAATAATGCTTCAAATGTCCATCATTAAGACTCGCATGAGATATCTTCCACTTCAATCAAAATAAAAACTTGATTTATTAGAAGAAGTAGCCTTACTTTAAATCTAAAGTTAAGCAACCAGCCAAAAAAGATAAAGATCATTATGAAAGAGAATCTTGATTCATAAGAAAGAAGCAGCCTTGGTACGCTAAATTTGGTATAATTATTTTTTAAAAATAATTTACAATATTAATGAAGAAGGATTGAAGATTTCGATTAAAGGGGATCTTGATTCACAGGAATCCGATGCAATTCTTGTCTCAAATCCTCCAATTAAGACTACTGCTACCCGAGAAAGATTGAGATTGAGACAAGCAAAGAGCAGCGGCTCGTACCAGCACCGATTGCATAGACGTTCTTCAGCCCGCCCATCACTTCATGCGTGACAAGGTCGCTGTTGTCCCACACGATGAAATGAGGCTGCCTCAAGAACCTCGCGAGCGGCTTCCTCCACTTCTCTGCTCCGCATATTCGAGCGTTGGCATACTCTTTGTTATAAATCTCTGAAGCAATGTTGGGCCCTCCCAGATAGAGGATGTTCTCTATTGGGACTCCAGCTGCCATGCAGGTGTAATAATAAAATAAATAAATAAATAAATAAAAATGATATGTTAGAAGGGGGATTGAGTGGGGAGGCAGATGAGCTTCATATGTCATAAAAAGCTCTCCCAGCATGGTAAATTAAACCGCATAATGGATAATATTGAGTTAATTGATGCTGCACTGGAGGTACAATTCTTCACTATGATTACTGTGTGAAGGAAACATCTACATGGGCTACTCAGAGATCGCCCTGGTCAAGCAAAGGAGGTCAAAGGATTGAACAAGTTTTTTTTTTTCTCTTTTTTTTTTTGGTTATGTGACTAAATGTTAAGAGGCAAAACCGTATTTATTGATGCATAAAAAACAAGGAAAAAGGGGATTCATAGCAGACTGAGGAATCATGCAGGCAATCTGACATTTTTATTTTTTTTTCCTATTTTAAGACTTTAGCTCCCCCAGCATTCTACTGGGATAGAGAGTCGTATCCGAAAGTGGCAGGCTCACCCGTTTCCTACAAACATATCATGGCAACATTTTCTACCCTCACCACAGTGAATTTTCAAAAAATGATCACAAAAAAAAATCCATTTAAGGTTTCTTCAATGGTGGCGGAAACTGATTGAATGAATGACGAGGAAATGTGGCAAAATGATCACAAAGACGGACGAACTGTAGATTTTCGACAAAGAACAGGTTAGAGCCGCCGAAGAACAGAAAAAATTGATTTCGAAATGATGGAAATTTCAAATCAGAGAGGAAAAAAGCCTCACTTGCGCGATTAATCATCTGGGTGGGCGTGATTATGCGCGGCGTAGGCTCTAGCTCCGTCTCTATTCCCTTGGCGAGAGAGATGATGATGGGCACGGTGATCCTCTCTTTCCAGTACCTGCTGATTTCCTGGAACACAACGTGGGTCTCCGTGGAGGGCAGGCCGTTGACCACGATATCCGCGTCCCACACCGCCTCCTGCAGATTGGTCACCACTTTCATCGGGCACAGCGGCGTGTCGATCATGTTCAGGCAGAACCCGTCCTTCAAGATCTCGTCGGCGAAGAGGGTCCTGTCCCCGAGCCGCCCTTCGACGTATTTCAAGTACGCGCAGCGGCGGATGAGGCGGCGGAGGACGTCCTCGCGGGAGTTGATGACCTCGAAGAGGTGCTCTGCGGTGGACCTGTCTACGGACCTCCCCGCGCGCCGCCATATCCTAATCTGGACTTTGTCGCGGAAGCTACCGTAGGCATCCTGAAGGAGGGCGACGAAAACGCTGCCCCAGGCGCCGGCGCCGACGCCGACGATCTTTAGGGGGTCGCCGTCGGACTTGCCCAGGAGGCGGCGGAGCTCGTCGACCTTCTCCTCGACGGCGCTGCCGCCGGCGGCGTTCAGATGGGTCCCGTTGGAGTGGGCCGGCTCGTGGTTCCTGTCCACGCTGCCCACCATCTTCCAAAGAGAGAAAAGCTCTGGTTTTCCCCGGCGGCGGGTAGAACAAGCGGGAGGAAGCTCACCAAAATGCTTCCTTCCGCTGACGGAAACCCCTTCCCCTTCGAGGATCGGAGACCCAAGTCGTAGATATAGATAGATAGAAAGTAGAGAGAGAGAGAGGGCTCCTTCCAATCCGGGCTTCAAATGCAGGGGGGTTGCCGGAAAGATCCCGCCGCCGTCTGAGACGGGCTTCGTCTACGATTCAAACCGAATGGGCGGCGGCTGTCGGGTATTGGGTCAGCTGCCCCTCCAACCGGGGATTTTAAAAGGCTGAAAGGGACGGCGGGAGGAAGAAGAAGAAGAAGAAGAATAATCAGAAGAGACAGGTTTGCCTCGTCTGGGAGCACTGCTAAGCCTGGTTATGGATATATCTTCCCCCTCTGGTCGAGGATTTCGCCTCCCCTCCTCGTTTCCGAAGGAGATCAGGGGCGGTGCGCATGAAAAGGAGAGAGATTGGCAGCGGAGGGGAGACGGGTAGTTGGCCTTTTGCAAGTCCGGCGGATGAAGAGGGCGAACCGCCAGCGGAAGAGGCTGCTAGGTTCCGACGGCAGGGCTGTTCAGACCGTGAAGGACGGCACGGGACCTGCATGCGATCCCGAAGCAGGAGAAGGGTGATGAATCACTGTAGGTCCAGAGAGAGAGAGAGAGAGAGAGAGAGAGAAAGGCGGAGGGGGATAAGGCCGGGGGGGAGGTCTCTCTCGGGGGTATCGGAAGCGTGTGGGGCGACGGGGGTTGGGTGGGCTGCATTAAAACGTCACCGGCATGGCCACCACCTTCTCCTTCCTCCCTCCCCCCTCCTCTCTCTCGTCCTCACCTTCGGCCCATAAATGACGGGCTGCTGCCAGCGAGCTCACTCCGCCGCCCTCTCATCTGGCGCCACCTCCATCGATGTAGCAGAGCGTCCGCTCTTCACCTTCCTCCCCATTTCTCCCCCCGGCCCCCCAAAGATTTCGTCGGCAGCCACAACTCCTCGATCCAAACCGTAAATTTTCATCCTTGGAATTTTACTCAGATCTCCTCCAGTAACCAACCCAGATTTTTCAGACCCTGGAGAGGGCAGATGATGCAAGGGGGATGGGGTTGAGAGAGAGAGAGAGAGAGCTCTGCGAGAAGACGTTGAAAAGTCAACCTTCTGAATGTGGCATATAATTTCCTAAAGGTTGTGTTGACCTTCGACGAGTTAAGTATTGTTATATGAATGAGGCTAAATCTCTTATCATATGGGTTGACCACATCCGCACCCTCACTGAAGTGGAGAAGTCGGGTTTCTTCATCTCACCTCTGTCACCAATTCTACTCGCAAAACGCGGGTGAATACCACTTTCTTTTGGAATGGGTCAAACTTTGTCAAGTCAGCTTTTGATGTCTAGCATAAACCTTCCTCCTCGAGCACATTGCACTCCTATTTTGGCGGATGTCTCCCAATCAAGTCAACCCGGCTTTATGAGGATTGCTTCGGGTAGGTGCTCAATCTTACTTGGGGTTGACTTTCTCCCCATACATATAGAAATGACGGTTAGATTACATCACCCATCGGCAGGTCAACCATCAAATAGAGAAATGGCCCCCACTTCAACACGTGCGGGTTCTGTAGAGGGGTGGGCCCCGCACTTCCTAGACGTTGGCCTGACTCAGCGACTTGCATAACAACAAAAAATATAAAATAAATAATAAAAACATGTGGTTGTATTGGTGGGGGAACGTACTCTCTTAGGTTAATTGACTACAGAGGGGGGTAGGCCAGATGGGTCCAACCACTGACCGGACCAGCTGGGCCGATTTGGTCAACTGCGGTTCTGTCTGGTCTAGTCAGCGAGCTTATCCCCCCTTTTGATTCCTGATGGGGATGGATTGGTGGCGACGGCAATACGAGAAACGTGGACTTTTTAAGCTGGAAAGGATATCCCGGAAAACATCCTAGTGATTTTGGGTGTTTAATAAATTTCACATCAAAAATCTTTCCGGAGATTCCTCGCTGACGTCATTGATATTTTGACATAAAACCCATTAGAATAGTGGGTCAGCTGAAAAGGTCCAATTTACACGGTGACCTCATCCCCTCCGGGTCATACCGGAACAAGCTTGGGACTTACTTCTCAGAATTTGTATCAATCTAAATAATAATAGTAATAATTTTTAATAATGATGGCTTGAATTTCCCAAATTTTTATATGGGTTGAGATCTCTTTTTTTAATAATAATAATGCTTGAATTTATCCTAGAAATAAATTTATGCTTGAATTTTGACTTCCCAAAAAATACTAAAACTTTCATTTTTCTTTGTGCTGGAATATTTTTGGTGAAAGAATATCAATCAATTAAACCTAGATGATTGTTATATTGTTTAGCTTTACTTTGAATAATCCCCTGAAATTTAGTCATATTTAGGCCTTGGAATTTTATGGGAATCATCCAAGGCTAATTAAAATGTCAATTTAGTGTTATAATGCTTCAAACAAAATTTTTGACTCTTAAGCGATAATACTCACTCCTAGTCAGCTCAAATCCCTACGATTTGGAGCTTTTTGTGTGGAAGCATGCACCATGGTTGTAGTTAGACAATGGCTAGTTAGTTGCCAAATATTGCAATTATTTGTGTTTCATTGATGGTTTAGATCTTATAAATTTGTGAATTTGAGCTCTTCAATGTTTATCAAAGTCAAAATAAGAATTAAATTGGCCCTTCTATGATTATTATTTTTCAGTCCAAATAAGAAAATATTGTTGAAAGACCAACGTCCCCGAAAGCACTTGACCTTCAACTCCATTGATGCCCCCAAGTTGGCTTCTACCCTAAACATGAAGACTATATGTGGAGTAGATACGTAGTAGGTTGGAGCCATGAAACGCCCCCAACTCCATTGATTTTAAAATGACCTACAAACTATATAGTGGAGACATGAAGTTTTGTTTTTATTTTAAGGGAAAATATGGATCTGTACTCGTGAATAAATCAGGTTAATCATCATATCATTCATTTGTGATGATAGGTATCTCTTGTGAAGAAAAAATTAAACCACTAAATTTAGTCAAATAATTATCCTAGATTGTTCTTTTACCATAGGATATGTCCCTATGTTCTTGATTAGACCCCTAACAATAGACAATCTCCATTGTCATGAAGTATAAGATATGATAATATAAGTGAATCTAGATGTTGGTATATTAATGTGTTCAACTTTTATCACCTACACTCTCTAGTTTGATTTTTCATATAAATTTTCTTGAATAAATAAATATCTTTGTGGTGAACATCCCAAAATCATTAACATATGTCCAGTCACTATAAGATTTAATTAAAATCTAACCAATATGTTAGTCTCCTAAACTTAAACCCTTTTATGATTAGAAAACATTTTGAAAAAAAAATCATGCAATGATTGATTACATATGGTATTATGCATGTTATTGAAAGATTACTGAATTATTTTCAAAACATATGATCCATCATTTGTGAGAAAACTAAAATTCGAAATTTCTTATGTTCATAAATTTAGTCTAAAATAATTTTGAGTTATTTATGACTGTTTCTAGATTAATTTTATGTGATAAATGATAGCTTAGGTTAATGAATGAGTGATGAATTAATTTTAAATCACATGATCTGTGACAAACTATTAGACCAGAAAAACAAAAACCAGAAAAATAGAGTGATGAGGTGAATTGTAGAAATAAAAAGGGGGAGGAGAAAAATTTAGAGGGAATTCAGGACCCACATTTAAAGCCTCATGGACAATGACTGATGATCATATGTTAAGGGATATTTTGATGGGGAATAGAAAGTATAGATTCCCAACCCAAAAATTTATTCTATTTAAACCTGAATTTTAGGCTTCACCCAATTTCAAATCCATCTAACGTAATTCATCATAACCTTCAAATGATAAGAGAAATGATTTGAATTCTTTGTGATGAAATTTCAACCTTCGGTATCATCTACCTTAGTGACACTAGCTCCAAACCATAGATTTCATATCCCACTCTTTAATGGTTATAATCTCTCATTAATTTCAACATGAGCTGCCATCAATTTTTAATTAATTAAGTTCCAACTGAGTTGACAACTTTCTTCTATAAAAATTTGATGTGAGTCATCTCACTTTAACTAATTTTCTTTTCTAGAACTCGAGCTATCTCTAGGAGTCGTCTCTTGTCAAAGTATATACCTGAAATTTTATACGAGATCTATGTTTTACCATGAAAACAGTCCTTAGCTCATGTTACTATAGTGATCCATCTTTTTCCAAGAACTCCATGTGATCTTAATTTTTAATCTCATTCTCCCCTTGTTCTAGCATTATGGCTAGCTCATCAAATTTTAACCGCTCTCTTTGTTGCTCATCAAGAGAGAGAAATAACCAATTAATAAATTTTAGACTAAAATGATAATCTACCCCAAAGTAGATCATCATTACTTATTCAGATGAAGAAACCTAGCTAACATAATATTATTTTTCATATGAAATCCTTGAAAATCCCTTTTCTGAGAATCCTGAAATTATTGAAAATCAACTACCTATCAATGATAGCAATACTTCAGAACTACCAATCACTTATTACTTGCTTGAATCTGACTTCCAGACCCACAATTTAGTTGGTAAATCTGTCTTATATCTAATTACAGGACTGAATGGTTACCAATCATTACCACAAGGTGTCAAATCTATCCAACTCTAGTTAATGAATTCTTACAAAACTTCTATATCTTGAATGACCTACTCATTACTTACCTTTGAGATAATACTTATTCAATCATCTCTTAAATTGTCAGTGAGGCATTAGGAATTTCAAATGATATACTTTCATACACCTCTGAAAACAAAGAATACATTATAACTTGACCTCAAAACCATGAATAAGAAAGAGGATTTATAGGATTTATACCAAATGATATCTCCATGAAATGGTACATCCTTGAGTTTTAAAAAATAGTTTTCTAACTTCTATTTTCTTTTTTCTATAGTTTTATCTTTGTCGTCAGATTTTTCAACATTGTTTTCTTTCTTTAGCTTTCTTAATTCAACTTTTGAATGAACGCTTTCATTAGATAGTTCCACTATCTTGTAATTTCATATTTCCATGTATTTATAATTTGTGTCTAGATGTTCAGACATGATTTTCATTTATTCCTTCAATTTTGTGATCTCATTTCTAGATTTTCTATGACTTGCTTTCTTTTTTGTTAAATCATGAAGTTCATAAAGTAAATCTATTAATTATACTTTAGATATTTTTTCATCATCTGAATTATTTACCTCTAGCTTGTGAGTAGCAAAACATATATTTTCTTTTGAATTCTTCTTTGCATTTAGATGAAAGAGCTATCTTCATCACTCTATGTTACTATCATTACTTTCTTCTTTCTCTTTGATAGTATAATCAAAATAAATTTCCAATTTTCATAATATTTTATATTCAAAGAAAATCTTCTATGTTTTGGATTTTTCATTTGTAGTAGGAAATTTTTAGAATTTACTTAATATTTTTCTATTTCCTAGCTTAGTGAAATTTTCCTCAATTTTTTTTGTCAATATTGCAATATATACTTCATCTTCCTCCTCTCCTAATTCTCCAAAGTCATTTAAAATTTCAGTTGACATTAGAGAAACAACATTTTTTATGGATTTTTGTATTCCAACTTCATCTTTTCTTAACCTGTTTCATAAGTTATTAATGATCCTAGTAAATCATCTAGGGATAGTTTAACTAGATCCCTAGACTCATCAATAGTAGTGACTTTGGTTCTTCAACAATGAAATAGTGATGCCAAAAAAAAATTATTCATGTCTTTTACTAGAAAGGTTATTTCTAAGTTTTTTAGAGCGTTTATAATGTTAGTAAACTTGGCATACATCTCCAATATAGTTTCATTCTCATTCATTGTGAATATTTTATATTTTCAGACCAGCTGATAATTTTTTATCACTTCACCTATGTGTCTCTCTCATGAGTCTTTATTTAACTCTAGTGATTCTGCCATAATAAGCTTTCAAAAGTGATAATCTATCCCTTGGAAAAAAACATCATGTCCTTCCAAAATTCATATCTCAATCTATTAAATAAAGGTGGTCTATGGACTGAGCTCCCTTTTAAGATAAATTTCTCAAATATTTTTTTCTAAGATGTGCTGACCATTCGATCTATTTCTCAAATAAATTTATTTCTTATGTATAGATGTTGCTTTGATACCACTTGTTGGATTTTAGCCCTCACTTGGATCAAGAAGGGGGGTTGAATTGATTAACTTCTATTTTATTTAGATGTAAATTCTAGTGATGAGGCATAATGGTATTCTCCTTCTAATCTTTGGTTCTTTAAATCTTAAGATGAAAAAATATGATTTGACCTCTTGTCTAATGATTTTATTTAGATGTAAATTCTAGTGATGAAACATTTTTATAATGATTTGACCTCTTGTCTAAGTCTACTCTTTAGGAACAATCTTTGTTCTTTGGTTTCAAAAATATTAAGAGTTTAATCACACCTGCTATATACATGGTTCAGCTCCTAAAAGTTTCTTCTAGACTTATGACTCTGTGAAATAAACAACTATTTAATGGAACAATTCTCACAAATTATTAAATAAAATTTTAATCTCACATTATGTTTAACCGTCATAATAAATATGAGATGATTTCACTATGGGTTGATATTGCTAGGATGATTTCTTAAAAGCTTCCAAAAGGATTTCCTTGATAAAGGGAGAAAAGCTTGATAGCTTGATTAAGTTGGCATCTTCTCATTAGATTGCTGGCTGTTGATGGAAGTCTCTTTAAATTTTGAACAAGTCAAGGTGGGTCCTTGTTTGAGTAATACTCCTCAATTTAATACTTTCAAACAACTTGACTTGTTAGCACGATCCTCATGATTTCTCACTTTGTTTTTCTACACATAAAACTTAATGTAAAGTTGGAGGTTGTTGAGAAGATAAGGATAATCAATCTCTATTAATATGGATAAAGAAAATAGTTGTATTTATAGGTAATAGTGTATGTAATTATTTTCATATTTTTGTGATTTTTCAACATCTATTTTCTCTAAAATAAACTAAATTCAAATAGTTTAGAGGCCAATACGTATCCATTTAAATAGTCTGGATATCCTAAAGTGAAACCTATATATGATCTTTTAACTTATTATTTTTCATATCTGAATTATGCTAGTTCATATCAATCCACTAAGGATTTGATATCATGAGCCTAGAATAGATAAAATATTTCTAATAAAATATAAAAAATAATCAAAACTAATCTGAATCACCTCAAATAAAATGCGATGTCCAAAAACACATATTATCAATGATATCAATATTTTTAATCACAATTTGGGTGATCGAAATAATTAAAAATATTTTTGATATATATATATATATTTGATAACGTCTAGAAAATCCTCTTTGACAAAAATGAATAATTTGAATACACTATTAATTTGACGTCCAAATATTTTGAAAACTAATAGTGTAAAAATATGGGTTCATAGATGGCTGAGTGAGCTTTAATAATCATATTTTACTTCACAAAATGTCATTGATTTGAGTGCCTGAATCACTTCATTTCTTATTGTTAAAGTTTATGTAAATATGTCATTTTCACAATAATATACAAAATAATCATTTCATATGATGAAATCAATCAATTAAATTTTTTTAGCACCAGGGATAATGAATATACTAAATGAATTATCATCTGAATATTTAATTATATTATTTTGGGTTATATTTGAATACTTTCATGTTTAGCCTCATTTGATATATATTCAAAACTAAGCATAATTCGATATTTTTATTTGATCATATATTTATTTTTCATTATCAAAACAATCACGTATTTAATACTACAATATTATGAACATTTAAGTGGTAACAATTACATATTAATTTCTTTCTCTTGGTCCTCAATCTTCTTGTTGTGGATGCATGAAATATAGGCATTGCATCTCAAAAGAGTACATGTGGAAGGTCATGTAGGTTCCCACTAAAGAGGTTATCTATTTCTTAGCCAAAACATGTTATTGGATAAAATATTTTTGAATAATTTTTTTTAGGGAATAAACATGCACATATTCCATACATAGTTGGACCCTTCTTTTAAATAAATAAATATAGTATAAAATATATTAACCTATTTTTAGATTTTTAATCACACTAAGGATACCTTGAATTGATATACTCATTATTATTTTTTTATTTAGAAATAAAGCCTTGTAAAACAAAACCCACATTGTGGAGCATGCCATTTATCCAATATACTCAAATAAAGTGTATAAAAACTATCCTAATCAGCAATAAATTGAATTGGCTTGAACATACATTTCTGAACATTGTCAGGGTTTCATGGTTGACATAAAGCCATGAGATGATGTGATCCTATCATTAAAGTCAAGGCTTAAAGCTCACATAAAGCCATGTGAGACCCATAGTTGAGATGGGCGGAGGTAACAACACCCAATTTAATGGGCGTTGACCAAATTGTGGCTGGCTAGAGGGGCGCCCTAATTGGCCAATTAATGCCATAACTAAAAGGTTGGGAAAGGTGGAAAAGGGGGTGATTTTAAGCTTGGGTTTTGGCTAGGCCTTGGTTGAGAATGGTCTGAGCTTGACTACCCTATTTATGGGCTCCGGGTTCGACCTTGTCCATTGAACCTGGTCTTTATGGGCTTTTAGGTGGGCTGGCTTGGCTGGAAGGGAATGTGAATGTGAGAGTGAGTGAGAGAGAGAGAGAGAGAGAAGAGAGAGAGAAGAGAGAGAAGAGAGAGAAGAGAGAGAGAGAGAGAGAGAGAGAGAGAGAGAGAGAGAAGAGAGAGAAGAGAGAGAAGAGAGAGAAGAGAGAGAGAGAGAGAAGAGAGAGAGAAGAGAGAGAAGAGAGAGAGAAGAGAGAGAAGAGAGAGAAGAGAGAGAGAAGAGAGAGAGAAGAGAGAGAGAAGAGAGAGAAGAGAGAGCTGAGAGCGTGTGGGTCGTCCAGCTCGTCTAAAGGCGTGGTGCCAGAACGTGCTGGTTTTAAGGCCTTGAAGGGAGCCAAGATCTCTCTCTCTCTCTCACTACATCTGAAATTGTTACGTACAGATCATCTCCTTTCTCTCTCTCTCCCTGTCCAACGCCCTGAATGGTACTGAGATCTTTTTCTCTCAAACGACCATCCTTCTCTCTCTCCCTCTCTCCATTACCTTGTAACGTGCTGAGACTTGCTCCTTCCCGGTCCTCTCTCTCTCTCTCTATCCCCCAGTCCAACGCCTTGAAAGGTACTGAGATCTATTTCTCTCAAACGAGCATCCTTCTCTCTCTCCCTCTCTCCAATGACCTTGTAACGTGCTGAGACTTGCTCCTTCAGGGTCCTCTCTCCCTCTCTCTCTCTCTCTCCCACACACACACGCTGCTTCTTCGTCGGAGCGGGCGGGCATTGCAGAGGAGGAAGAGGGAGCGTGGGCAAGATGGTCTTGAGAAGCTTATGGACGATTATAGATCACCCGGAGGACTTGATGCCTCTGGTTAGGCTGAAGATGGCGGTGGCGCGGATTGAGAAAGAGATCCCTGCGGAGCCTCACTGGGCCTTCTGCTACGGCATGCTCACGAAGGTCTCTCGCAGCTTCGCCCTTGTCATACAGCAGCTCTGCACCGAACTCCGGAACGCTGTAAGACCTCCCGTATCCACTTCCTCTTCGTAATCCTCTTGTGTGGAAGGACAATCAGAGCCTATTTTGAAACATCCCATTAGGGGGATGCTGGTCTACCATTTTTAGTTAGAACTTCGAGAGGTAGAGCATGCCAGCGAGCCACTGGAGTACCAGACGATCAAACTTTTATTTAGAACGTCGTGAACTGTTAAAAATGCATATGGATTAAGGGGATCGATCATCTTTGGAAGAGGTGCTTATCAATTTTTTGATCATATTGAGCCCCACTTTTAACCTGGCTGTCTGGAGCTTATCCTTTTATGATATGTAGGTAGCCTTCGCCTTGGTAACCTAGCTCTTACAATACTATACTTGCGCTGGGCATTTTTGAGATTAATCCGTGAAGGTTCTGGCTCTGGCAAAGTAGATTCCAGGCTTTTGAAAAGGTCGGACGGATTTCTTGGGGATATCTCTGTGGTTTTTTTTTCATTGTACTTGTGTTTGTATGAGTGAAGATTTGGAGATTCCTAAATCGGAACTGGCTCATAAGAGTTGAACTGAGGCAGCACATGTTGCACTAGGAGAGGACTAGAGTCTCACAGCGTCTCAAGGTTATCCATTTATTTGATTAATCATACACATTATGAAGTGCTTCCAAAGAAATATGGGATAGATGATTACAGGGTTTTCAACTTTTGGGAAATTGAACTTAAACAATGAGCATCAAATATGAATATGTTGTCACGTCCAAGAAAGATTTACTATGGATACTCTTCTAGGAACGATCTTATATGTTCTGTTTGTGGTGTTTCACTAGCTATTGACTGTCATTTTTTTGAGGAACTGACACTTTCTTATGAATTCTCAGTTCATATTGGCTACATCATACATGTGATTTTAAGTGAATTACATTGTACTTTTAAAGTTCAGCCTTTTATGTTAATTATTCTTTTTATGCTTATTTATTTTGTACTGCGTTATAATCAATTTGATCTAGCTCCTGAAATTTTACAGGTTTGCATTTTTTATCTAGTTCTCAGAGCACTGGATACCGTCGGTATGTTACCAAAATTCTTTGAGCATTGCTTCTATTTATTACAGTGACCTATTTTTTTTGCTTCTGTCTTGATGATATGCTAACTTCATCAAAAAAGTGGCACTCTATAATGCATCAAGAAAATGGGTTTCATTTATTTCGACCTTTAATTCCTAAAATGTGTAATTGAATTTATTTAAACTCATGCAACTTTTTGACCAAAATATTTTCTGATAAATAACTTTTTATTTGTTATTGTCTTGATAATATGTGCTTGATTCTAAATGTTCCTGAGCACAGCATTTATTGTGGATAGCATTCTTCATTGTCTAAATGTCTTATACAGTTTCCATTTGGACGGACATTCTTAGTGAGTGGTATCTGCAAGGAGTCGGGGAAGTTTAGCTTCGATCCTCCTATATTGCAATGTGAGACTAATCATAGAGGATATTCAAGGATCATGAAAAGAAAACATAGGGTAGAAAAAGTAGTATTGGATGCAGTTAAGTCAGGGGCAACAATGCATAAGTTGAACTACCAAAACTCAGTGCGCGAACTTCTTTCAAAACAAGAGAGTAAAGTAACAGGACGAATGGCCTTCACAACAGGGTAACCAGAGAGTTGAGAAATGGGAAAACGATATACTTAATAGCACAGGAACAAGAAAGGTATTATAAGAGTAGTTTTATTCCTTGATTTCTGTGGGTTCTTCATCCACTCATATTTAACTATTCACCCAAACACCAGATTGTAAATTGAATCGGGATTCGTCCCGACATGGTCTTGAAAAATTGTCAGACTCTTTCATATTTGCTTGATAAAATCAAAGAGCTTCTATTTCGTATTTTTCAATTATACCTTATCAATTTAAATATGGAGGTTCGTACCAGTGCAGTGTTTTTAAGTCTGGTGGATAGAAAGGGCAAGAGCACCATATGGAGTTGGCAATAGGAAATACGAAGCTAAAACTGGAAAGTGGGCCTGATCATGTGACGACATTTCCATTGTAGTGAAAAGCTGCTGACCTTAAACAACCTACAACGGCTAGGAGCAGCTTACGAGAACATTGATAGTGTGTCATGGTTTGATCTGGTTTGATCTAATATTGTGTGGTTGTTTGACATTATAGTTTAATTAGCTGCAAGGAGACTAATTAACTTTTCTGGTTAATGTCACTTTTTACTTTCGCCTATATAATCTTGAAGATTGAGCTTTTTTATCTTTTTTCTTTTGATATTTTTTTCAGAGGATGATACAAGTGTACCTTCTGATATTAAAGTGCCTATCCTTCAGTTATTTCATCAACATATATATGATAAGAACTGGCATTTCTCGTGTAAGGACTCTTCTATTTATTTTTGTTTTCTATTCCGCGTGATTTATTAAGGCATGTTTACGTTGATGAATGCCTTCTAGCCCGCTTTCATTTTGAAGCTAAACATTTTAAAATGTTACTTGAATCTTTTGGCCTTTCTTTTACTTTCCTTTCTGGAGCCTAGTCTGACACAATCTGTATATAAATGACATTGTGAATTTTATGGCTCGTGACATTTCCTGTTACTAAAATAAAATCGTGGTTATTTAAATAAAAAAATAATTTAGTTTGAGAGGTCAGTAGGAAGTCAGATTAAACGATGACTATACCTTGAGTATTTGTATGTTCATGATAAGCATTCAAATATTAATGGATTGACCCAGTCTTTATCCAAGTCTTTCATTTATGAATAAAGAGCAGCCATTATTGGCATTTTCTATGAAAGAAAGTTACTAATGTACGACTGAGAGGAAAAGGATGAATAAGCGAACCGTTCACATATTTCTTTAGACTTTATATGAATTTTTATGATGATTTTTGATGAGTTGTAAGTGGATTTCGTTCTGTAAAGGAATGATGGAGAAAACGGATGTTGACGGTATAGTGGGTCTGATTAATTTTTAAGCTAAACATGGGTGTTGTAACTGATGAGAAACGTTTGTTTTCGAATATATTGATGAAGGATCAAATCTCCTGATTGACTGAGATTTAATTTCTGATGTTTTTGAGAGTGCATTATGGAGATGTGGCTTCTTGGGAATAAAGTCTATCCCATAAAGAGATTTTTCAGAGTTTCATGGTTTGTTCTCAATGCTATCTTTAAATTGTGGCGTTGTTAGCTTCATTATGTTTTCTCTCTATTTCCTTCGGGCAAAGCCCACCACGTACTCAGGTGTCAGTGCTGTTTTTCGTAAAAATACTCCAATTCCTGACATGATGGCTGTTCTCATTGGTAATATTCATTTCCAATTGTATGGAAGCCATTTTTCTGAGATATATTCCTGGTTTTCTTTAAGGAAAAATCTGCCTCTTGCTACTGAAGGACAATTGCTCTGTTTAAAATGTATATCTCTTACACTAATATATGCCATATTGCCTGATGCCCCTGATTTTTTGCTTACATTCTAGGTGGCACAAAAGACTACAAAGTTCTGATGGATAAGTTTGATTTGGTTTCAACAGCCTTTCTAGAGCTTGATAGAAGGTTGTTTCTGTTGTATTCGTTCATTTCTGGTCATGTGTAGAATGGTTACTTTCTTTGACACTATACTGTCTTTGTTCTGAAGTTCATGCCATTTAAATCTTGGTAGATGTCATTTAGTTATAATTTATTTTACTTCCTTCAATAAGCATTCAAGAGTGTCAGTCTCTGTAATGTCATCTGTTGCCTTTCTAGAAACAAATGCCTATTAGTGTCAATTTTCATTCCCTCTTCCTTTAATAGAATTAATTTCCTATTAGAGTTAATATTTATTCTAAAATTTTGTCTTTCCCTAATCTAAAGATATACTTCGTTCTATAAAATATATCTTCAAGTAAATGATGTCAAGACTGTGTGGATTACTACTAACTCATTTTTAATATCAGAATGTAGTTTCCTAAAACTTTAAATCTCAAAATATTAATGAAACTCCAGGAATTTACGCGAATCATATTCATCTTATGAACCGTTTTAGTCTAACTTTTGGAATTAATGCGTCAATTCTCTAGTTGTTTTATAAATTTGTCTTTTAGGTTTTCTTCAATTTTCAAATCGAAGGGCACCATCTTCATCCCCTTCACCGATGTTTGTAAATAATTGGAAGTCATTTCAAACTGTTTCAAATCATCTGTGGCATTAAGTGATGCAAAATATTTATATTTTTCTAAATTGGAGAATACAGCTACTTTTGCAAATATGATTTTTCATCAAGCAACTCTTTTTCGTTACATTGAAAAAACCATGAAGAATTTTCTAGTTGAACCACCAAAATAGATTATTCTCTAATTCATCTGGAATGATGGAAAAGAGTTCGAAGATTGCTTGTGGATTTTTACACATTTACAGATGAATAGCAACTGTCCCCATTTGTAAGCATAACCCAAGACAGAGTTACATGACTCTGACTGGCTCACATTTATTGCAACGGTTTTTGTGCTACAGCACTGGTTATAGGTGATTTGGGCCTATTCGTTTGTTAATGAGCTCAAATAGTTTCCAAGCCCTTTGACTTGATCCCTTCTTTTACCCACATGGCTGATTCCTAGATGCTTACAGACTTGGGATGCCCAAGCTGAGTTAGCCCTTGTTGAGAATGAGCCGGCAAGTCTTATTTCAAGCATAATCTCATAGACGAGGATTATTGCTCATCTGTACTACTGGTTGCTTTCCAGTATCTATTGCATTTTGCATTGTTGATTATGTTCAATCTTCCTGGTTGTTATTGTAACCTGGCTCATGGGTTGATTTTCAGCTACCAAGAAGTGATTGAGGACATTACCAGACGAATGGGTGCAGGAATGGCGAAGTTCATTTGCAAGGAGGTGACCCTATAAGTTTAGATATAAAGGAAATTGATCATATCAATGAAGTCGCTGAAAAGTTTATTATAGGATGGTTTTCACCTGGGATATAGTCAAGGAGAAACTTTCATTTATAGCATCATATCATAGTCTTAACTCCAAAAATTTACGATTGAAATATAAATATTAACATATGTTATATTGTATATTTTCATCGTGCTTCAGAGTTTTCTTTTAATGCGTCTTTGTTGATATTTTTGTGAGAAAAATCTACATAGGTTTTGGGGCATCATCATGTGGCTCAGGAAAATTCAATACTCATTTTTCTCCAGTTCGCATGTGATTCACCCTTGGATGCCTTGATCCATCAAAAAATAGCCAGTCCTTGGCTGATCTAAGCTGAACTGGGTGATTTTTGGATGCGCCATCATGAGTGAAATTCCAGGATGAGTCACCTCTTGAATTGGGTTAATCCAGGAAAATCAGTCTTGTAGATCAAAATAGGATGGGGAAACTCCATATGAAAATCAGTCATAGAAATCTGTTTATTGCAAATCCTTATTTCACCATGGTTCTTCTTGTTGGACGAAATTCACTGCTTATAGATATTGCTCACAAGAATGATGTCTAACAAAGTAGCAATTCAAGTGATTAGTATAACATTATTTAATTTCCTGAATCCACATTTGCAGTCCAATGAACCTTATATTTATTTTCTACAATGATTATTTTTCACGAAATTTATCAGATCTATGCTGAGATTCATACACTCAACTTCTCTTGTTAGCTCCCCAGTTTATCAAACCAATGCGGAGAGTTGAGCATAGAGAACAGTGGGGAGGTGTACAGGTTTGTGTAACATGTTAGCTAGGGGAAACTTTCTCATGCTGATCCTTCAGAAAAAAAATTAGAAAACAAGAAATTTGCATAAGCTGCGTCAAGTAATGATTCTTGCTGGTAATATCCAAGGCATTCAATTTATTACCTTTATTAAAATGAATGAATCCTTGGGCATGAGACAAGGACTGTATTATTATGTTGTACCTTTTCGGTTTTGATGAAATATTTATAATATAACATTCAAAATTCTAGGTGCATATTATCAGGATTTCTCCCTTGAATCAGTCAGATGTATTGCAATGACTGGGACGTCTCATGGATCTCATGTGAGTTGGGGTTGATTTAAGCTACATCATCCTCAACGTGAGCAATGGTTCATTTGAGCCAACGTTTTGAGAATTATGATGTGCTGGTGCTTTTTGTTTCCTCTTCAGTTTTAGATGCAATTTTTGCTTCTTGAGGGTTGAATGGGATTGGTTGCCTTCTAAGTCTTTCTCTCACTCTGTTATAAATACTTATTCTTTCTATGTAGGTGGAAACTGTGGAAGATTATGATGAGTATTGCCACTATGTTGCTGGTCTAGTTGGCTTAGGATTGTCAAAGCTCTTTCATGCCTCTGGATTGGAAGACCTTGCATCCGATTCCCTGTCCAATTCGATGGGTTTATTTCTTCAGGTGTTGCTATAATTCATGAAGCCATCTGATTTCATGTGAATAAATGTTTTTGTAGTTTCTTCTTCTTTGCATTTGCATATTTTTCATTGTCAAATTAATGCACTATTGCTATCTGAAGAAAACAAATATCATTCGTGACTATCTGGAAGACATAAATGAGATACCAAAATCAAGAATGTTCTGGCCGCGACAAATTTGGAGCAAATATGCAAACAAACTTGAGGTGCATTGCTGTTCTCTGTGTCATTCTATCTGTGGTTTCATAATTTTTCTACTGAAGGTGCTGTAGTTTTCACGTTGGTCCAGTGTGCCTTCATATAAATTACAGTACAGTTCTGGCCTTCAATACTTGGGCTTACTTCCTTTTCCTATTTGTTCACTTCAGGACCTCAAATTTGAGGAGAATTCCATAAATGCGGTGCAATGCTTGAATGACATGGTCACCAATGCTTTGATGCATGGAGAGGATTGTCTACAGTACATGTCCAATTTGCGCAGCCCTGCCATCTTCCGCTTTTGTGCCATCCCACAGGTAGAAAATGATTCTCAGCCATTATGATGGATGATCCTATTATGTTTTGTGGTTGAAGTCCACTAGATCCCCTCCCCAACTCAATGAATGTGGAATCTGATTGCTATGCTTGACTTGCCCATGCCAGTCTGATCGAGATCGGGAATGGATCCAATGAAGTGGATTTGAAAGGGTAAAAAAGATATAAGATCAATTTCATCAAGTGGCATTATATCACACGTTTATTTGAGGATACAACTAAAATACTTTTAGAAAAGTAGCTTTATTAAATAGTTCTTTTACATGATCAATGAGCTCCTTCTGCCTGTTGCATGTGTGGGGATGACAAATGGAATGGTAGCACGCTGGCTGCTACAACCGGCAATGATCAGTGAGTTTGGCAGGTCGACCACTGCCAAATACAGTGGTACTGCAATGGATGACTGGTATTGGGTCACCCGTTTTGGTTAGGGATTGGAATCACTCAACAAAATTGAATTCGTTACTTCCCAAAAACTCTTGATTGTAACTTAACTTTCTGGAACTTTAATATGTAGCTATTAACATATTAGAAAACAAAGGAACTTTGGATTTGCCTTTTCTCTGAGGTCCCAATACAGTCTCAATGTGTACTTGCTACTTTTATTTCTGTTATCCGCGGGTTGTGAGAATGATATATACATTGCAATAGGTAATATCGTTGCTATTTCAATGAAGAATAGAGATTGGCTGTATTATCGGTTTAAGTTTTCTACTTAGCAACTAATTTGACATTCGAATTAAAATCAGTGTTCGTTGTGCTCTAAGGTAAAAAAAATTAGAAAGACATCTAGATGGTTTTCACTTGGAAACTATGAAGATGCTCCATTGGTTTTCTAAACTTGGAAATTTTCTCTCCCTCTCCAATAAGAGGTGCATAATTTGCGTAACTTGTTTTATCATTCGTTAGTTTTTCCTGGACGAAGAATGGAAGTCCAGTCATCTTAACCTTCATGTTCATATTATTGGTGGGCAGCATTTTCGTTCGGAGATTTACTGTTGGGTTCTGAGGAGGGCTATGCATCTGACAGACCGCACCGTAGTTTTAAGCTTTTAGGATGTTAACCCATGTCTGCATTGTCCTTAAAAGAGCCACCGAATAAGGGTTGACTTCATGATGTTTTATGGCCCACGTTAAATGTTTGGTATGCCAAATCCTGTGATGGATCATCATGCCATCTGCAATCTTATTTTCGGGGTTTTGTGATGGGAAATGCCAGTGGCTTTTTCTTTTTTTAAGCGGTGACTATGTTCCCCACTTTATTGTCCAGAAAAGTTGGGATATCTAGGGTTGAATGGACCTGAAATGAGCCAATTGTGGAGCAATTGGCTGATTTTGTGGTCTATCTGATAACTCTTGGACTATAGAGATTTCAGTGGAAGTGCCATTCTTGGTGGAAGAGTATAGAAGTGCAGCTGTCTGACAGAAGTGGATAAGTCACTGAATCTGCTGACGAGTGTGTTCACCTCTGCTGCTGTTTGCTGCTGGCAATATCATCCTTGGTTTGTCCACAGCCTTTGTGCTGAATAGTAAAAGAAACTCCAAGCTAATTTACATTGACAAAAGAAATGGAAGCTGATCATTCCTGTGGACTTTAAAATGGAATATGGTTGGAAAGAAATAGAGAGAGATAAGGGAAATGCTTTGAACTTCAAGATACTTAAGATACCAGTAAAAGTTTACTTTTTGGCTTTCCTTTGATATTACTTGTTCCCTTGTAAGCGTACCAATGGAGAGGCTTTTTTTGTTGTCTTTTTCTCCATTTCCTTTTTCACAAATAGGTGGAATTATGGTATGTTTTTTTTTAATTTGTAATTTCCTCATTAGCTGGAATCTGAATCTGTGTGCCCTGCCCTTATCATGTTTTGCTCTGATGCTACATGACATTTGTTCCCTTTGTCAGATCATGGCTATAGGAACTCTAGCTTTATGCTATAACAACATTGAGGTATTCAGAGGTGTGGTGAAGATGAGACGTGGTAAGAAAAATGTCCTTGAAAAGTCTTTCTTTTTCAAATGCACAAGGATTCGTCAATACTCTTCAAGTGTGTTTGGATCCGTTGACTTGATAAATTTTGGTTGGATGTGTTGGCCTTTTAATCTTAATGTAACTTTTGATTGCTTCTATTATCCTCAAATGGTTATTTGCTAGTTTGGAACACACAAGTTACTTGCGTCAGTGGAATCAGTTTTAGATGTGTTATGTGAGTGCCTTTTATGCAACATCAAAGATACACAGATACGATCCTGACTTCCAATTCATATTATCACACTATTAACGAATTGGAGATCAACTCAGAAATTTTAGTCATCAACGTTCTTCCCTAAGAAGTTGCAAAATTAATTCAACCTCATTTACCAGAGAGCCAAAGTTGAGAACATATCTCACCCTGCCATCACTCTTTCAAACATTAGTTAAAGTAATCCATAGGGATGGTGCCCTGCCTGTAAGCCAACATTTGAACGAGAGAAGAAAATGATTATGTAGGAGTGCGATTCACCTAGAGCCAACAGTCTCTAGGTGGATTCATGAATGGCGTGGGGTAGCTTTATGCTAGAACGAAGCCAAGACAGTTTATTCGAAAAGGTGCCCTAGAGACTGTTTTCTAGATAAATTGCTTTTGACCCCTTTCATATGATCCTTCAATATTATATTACATTCACTCCCTTTAACGTCCTGTTTGGTAAAAGCTGTTCATATTCCTTGAAAAAATTAGAATTGACCACAAAATATTAAAAAGATGAGGCATAAGCAGACTGATACTCATGACTTCTCATTTTCTAAAATAGCTTTTAGCTTTGATCATAAAATAGTGGTACGATAGAACAACCATTATGTGACCTCCCTTTGAATCGAAAATGAATACTCATTATCTACTATAGGTTAAACATCTGTCGACCATCCAAGTTAACTCATTTCGGTTCAGTGAATTGGCTTTTAAGCTTAAGAGAATGCCCAGGAACACGCCCTTAAGTCGCAGTGTCTTCCTTTTGATTAATGATGTACGAAATATGGCTGTTAATCCCAACCTCTGAGAGGAGGATCCACTAGACGGAACTAACATCTAAATAAATGAATCTAAAATCGTCGTTTTTTAATGGCAGTCTTGTCGCTGCCATTATGCTGTCATATGGTATTTGATTAACTTGACGTTTCTGCATATTCTTTGTATACATCTGTTTGTCCTCTCTGAAGTTTACAATAATCATCTTACGACTTTTTGATGTCTCTCTGCTACTGTTGTCATGCTTTTTCTTTAATGATTGCTAAAATTTAAGGGCGTAGAGCACCTTGCTAAAATTCTTTAATTTTGTAATTTTGTAATTGCTAAAATTCACAACATTGCATACTTCATTGAAAATGATTCCAAGTAGGTCACGAGATTGTGTAATGTGGCAAGTCTCCAATGGTACTGGTAATCTTCTTATATTGACATGGTATTCAAGACCACCTATCATATGTTTAGAATGTGTTAGATGCTTATGGAGTCAAGACCCAAATTTAAGGAACCTCCCCCCTTAACGTGTGAACATATTTTACTTTAGTAGTATATATTGCCATTCAGAACTGTCAGAAATGTAGTACATATAAAAGTGACAGGTGAATATTTCCAGTTAGAAAAATTGATATTATAATATTTTTTCCATGCTTGAAAACATTAGGGTTTCCTTTTTACATATTTTGCCAACTATGAACAAGGTATAAGCGTTCCCGTAATGAGGTCACATGCCTTAATATATTCATTCATGGGCTATAGTACACTGTGAATGTCTTACGACTCTGCTACCCTATCTTGTGACAGGTCTTACAGCCCAGATAAGTGAACAAACTAGCGACATGCCTGATGTTTACTGTGCTTTCTATGAGTTTTCAAGCATGTTGAAAGACAAGGTAGGCAAAATTTATTTCCAACATTCATAGCTTCTTTCCCATGTGAGGGTTTTTCTTGATCTTGTTAATTAAAAGTTCCTAATGGTGTCATAATTCATACAAATCGGTATGAAACTTGATAATCATCATGTCTGTTTGATTGTGGGAACCTTAATGCTCTACCAACTGATGGGAGTGATAAGAATATATTAATATTAATTTTGAAAGGCTTGTTCTTCCTCAGAACATGAATGAGATGCATTGTGCTGTCTACTAAAGCACATGATTGGCTGTATCAGGTTGAGGAGAATGATCCAAATGCTGCACTTGCTTTGAAGTATGTGGAAACTATACAGCAGGCTTGTATTAAATCTGGCACGCTTAACAAACGGTCTGTATAGCCCCCTTTTCCTCTCTCATTGTTTTTTTTTTTTTTTTTTTGGATCGTCCGGATGATACCTGATTTACTTCTGAATACTTTGGCGTTGGACAGGAGATACTATGTGGGGAAGAGCAGAAGGTTCCTGATGGTGCTGGTGAGTTCTCAACATATCCAAATATGGCTGATTATGTCAGCTGCTCAACTAATTGGATCATTTCATTGCAGATAACCGTTCTCTTTGCCCTGGTTTCGATTCTATTTGCTAGATTCTTGAAGAAATGAGCAGTTCCATTTTGGTAAAATACCATTTGATGAAGATTATACTTTTGAGTTTACTTAATCTCATTGCAATGATTATTATCCATGAATATACCTAATGGTTTTGAAACCATCTGGCAATTCTCTAATTGGCGCCACTATGGTTCACACAGGATTCTCCATAAAGTTTTGTGGTTGGCTCTTGCTTCGAGTAGGTTCACACGCCAGAGGATCATTCACTTAATGGTGTCTGAATGATTCAAGCATCTCAATTTCTTTGTGGAAAATTGTTTGGGATTCTTAGTATTTTTGAAGTGTTACTAATGTATTTGAAATTTTTCAATGCATTGAATAAAGAAATCAAAGATTATTGCTCATGATATCGACTAATTTATTCATGTGGATCATCATAAAATATTCCACCTGTACACAACCTTGCACTCTTTTAGTTTTTACTAGGCGAATATTTCTTGTTTGTGCATGAGGTCATTATTAGTTAGATGATTGCATAATTTGCAGGGTGTCAATGATGCAAAAAAAACATGGCTTTTATTTAATCATTATGTTGTCGTATTATGCTTATTACTATCTTTTCAGAGTGTTAATCCTTTATGCATATTGTTTTTTCATGATTATTAGAGTGTGCAATACTTTAAAGATATTATTTAAGAAAAAATAGTGTTTGCAATGGGTCATATGATATGATACTAGTAAAAGCAACTAAGGCAATGGAGCCCTCCTAGATATAATTATGTAAAGTTTCTCTCATTTTTGGTAAGATTTCACAAGACTCTGACATTATTTTGAAGTGTTTTTGTGTATTTTTCTATGATTATGAAGGGAGTGGACTTATTTGAGTAATACTTATTGGGCAAGGTGTTGTATAAGGGTAAAGTGGTAATTTAATATCGTTGTCATACTTGTGAGTAATAATCCATTATTAACATATTATAAAAATACAATTTGTGAACAGAAATAATCAAACCAGGGCAACAAAATGCAGGTACTATGTAGTTGCTTCCAAGCAAAAGTGTTAAAGATTTGTTGTAAAATTTTATTTTCACTTTCTTACAAAATGTTGGCACCATGTGTCTGCTTTAAAGCCGAAGTTTCAAGATTTGACTCATTGGTATGAAAATTATTAACTTGTGGTTAATCCTAGCACTAGTAAATGAAAAGTTGAAAGAGACAACTACTACAACATCTATCATCTAATTGTAGAACAATTTGTGAGTAATTATTGGATTGGTCAAAGCTTATGGGTTTCATATCAATAACTTGGTCTAACAGCTTTATTTATTCTAACCTATGAAAAATCAGATGATGACAAAGTTTTGGGGTAAATATTAGACACCAAGACATAGTAAGAGTTAGATCATCTAATAATAATGACGATTAGCTTCTGGCTGTTTTTCTTAACATGTTAATTGGACAACTAGACGAAGGTTACATAGTTTGTTAATAGTCTTTATTTCACATTACTTTCAAGGCAGACTTTCGAATAGCTTATCTAATGATGACAATTAGATAAAGAGATTGATTTCAAGGTTATTTCTCCTTGCCTTGTGTAGGTGGTTATATCCAACAAGGGCCCTCATTGGCCTCACTAGGCTCGTGGACTTGGTGAAGCTTTGCTTATGGAAACTAGATGGTCCTTGTTCTACCTAGGTTTTTCTATTTGAAGGTCCCATAGGGTTTTGATCCCAAACATATACAAAAGAAAAAAGGTCCATGTAATTTTAAATTTATTTGCCAATGAAGTGAGTGATTCCCAAACTTAAACTAGGTCTTGGTGAGAAAACCAAAGTCATTTGTACAATAGCATATCCAATTGTTCTCTTGATGCTTTGGTGCAAATAATATATTATTATTTTAAAAATAATGGGAGGAGAGAGAGAGAGAGAGAGAGAGAGAGAGAGAGAGAGAGAGAGATTTGGCTGAAGTAAAGATGTTTTAGAATAAAGGAATGTATCACATTAATTAACTTGTTATAGTTATACCTCCCCTAGTTATATATTCAAGCCCCCTTCTACATGGATGGCTTCTATCTACATGAAATTGGATTCACCTTTGCATTAGGTACCCTTGGCATTACCATTTCCTAAGGATACTTCTGCCCTCAATTTATGAATCTCCCGAATAAAGAGGTTCCAAAAGATTCCTTGCAGCCTTTAACTTTGTCATTTTATTCTTACCCAAAATGACTAATAATTGGCTGGTGGGGGGAACTTTCTAAGATGATGTTAGCTTTCCCTCTAACCAAATGATAAAAGTTTATTTCTCTTTCCATATATTATCTCTTGTTTGTTCTCCTTCTTATGCCAACAATATCATTCTCCTTCATCTTCTCTTTTCTCTTCCACTGGGGCAATGATACTGGGCTTCTAACAAACTTCTTATATGCATTTTTGGTGTTATGATAGTCTTCTACAAGTGGGCAGTTATTCCAATTACAACATTTATCACTTAGATCTTTCTAGTGTAGCAGGAGGAGAGGGGCTAGTCATGTTCTTTGCCAACAACTCTTTTTCATCATGTTGATTAGAGAGTACACTTATATGATAGTAGAAGTAAAGGAACTTTGGAAAAACCCTAGCATCATCTTGGTGAGAGATCCAATGATTCTATATTCCTCACACATGCACTTCAAGATTAAAAAGTCTATTATGAGCTAGTTGTGAACTCTACAACAAAAACAAATATTGAAGAAACAAAATTGAAGTTTTTGAAGATTTTCAGCATGAAAATCCAATAGACTTGAGGGGATGATAATAGCATCACTACAAAGGGCATCTTCTGTTTGACTTGCAGCAATTGTTTTGTCTCACTATGCCTGGCTTGTCATCTTTGTTTTTTCATTTATCTTTCATAAGAGCCCATTGGAATACTTGTTTCCTTATTTTTTGGAGAAAATGTTATATTACAAGAATTGGACAACCCATGCTTACGTACCTTAAAATGATGAATATAATTGAGATTAGTTAATTTTCATCAATCTGATCCACTCATGTTCCCTTTTCAAGATGTACGAATCCAATTGATGCAAATCTCTACCACAAGTGATAAGGAATTTAATTATCAAAAGAGTGAGCTTAGCTACAATATTTCTTCTAAAAAAATATCACAATTATTACTCTATAAGTGGTCATCTAACTCTGTCCTTCTATTAGCTACATAACTATGTGTAACTAGCTGTCTAATGGAGATAGAGAGTTTGACTCCCAAATGAACTTTAAGTTATGGTTTTTTTAGTAACAATGTGCTAATTTTAAAAATATGTTGTAATATATTTATTCTTGGTTTCTTGTAAGCTAAATTATGCACCAAGAGGAGGGGAGTGAGTTGGATTTTTATTAGGTTTTACTACTTTTAAGTGATTTTAGATAGTTGATATAATTTAAAATATACTAGACTATAGTTTGACATACTAATGATTAGATGGGTCGCCACCATAAACTTTAGCATGTGTTAAATCTAAATATTTATATCAGTTTGGCCTTTCCTTAACCTATATCCACTTTCTAATAATCTTTACTCATGGTTTCTACTATTCTCCTTTAACAAAATATGATTGAATTTCATAATATCAAAAAAACCCTTACACAATATAGTTAATGAGTCTATCACCTTAGACACCAAGACACCAAGACACTAGCTTGCCCTTTTGCATGTTTTTTCTTTGTTGTTGTGAATAATTTGAGTCCCAGAAAGAGCTTGCACATATTATATTGCAATAGACTTTGTTAGATAGACTTTGAGATGTGTAGAAAGAGATGATTGATCATTTTGGCACTAGTTGAAAACTCTTTTATGTGGTTATTTATGGAGTCCAAAATCTTGACCTTTAGAGGTCAAATCCTTGAAACATGATTGGTCAAAATTTTCTTAGCCTCACACATGAGTCAACCTAATGCCAAACTTTGCATTCAAACTACAATTAGGTTGTCAATTGAACCAACTTTTGATCATGTTAGTTTATATACCTATTCATGAAATATTCTCTCATACATCTTTGATATTTTGCATTGTTAGGATATGATACATCTGTTAGAGATCCTTTGTCATGAGTCAAATTATTTGATGTGCAATTCATGTTAGATTTCATAGGGAAAATCCCCTTTCTCTCTCTTGATATTTAATCTAATTTGATTGGGTCGACCAATGGGTTGACATAATTTTCCTCACCATACCATGATAGGTTGACATACACTTCTTTTGTGAGTTGACACATTTTCTTTCCTAAGATGGGTCAACACACTTTCTCTTGCCTCTTATTTTTCTTCTACATCAATTTCTTTTGCTCTCATTTGATTTAGCTTGATGTTTATTTATTTATTGACATCTACTTCCTTATATGAGGCTTAAAAATATATGTTTATTTATTTAATTGGCATCTACTTCCCATCCTTTGTTTGTTGTCACCATAATTAATATTTTATCGATCCATAGCAGACAATTAATTTCAGAAGATAAGTAGGTTTTTGAACAGTTCATCTCTACTCATTCATGATCGTTGTTCTGAAATTTCTGATCTATATTTCTCATTTCCCCCCATCAATCTGTAGTCTAGGACTATCCACATAATTATTTTGGATTATTTCATACTATAGCATTGAAATGAGTGGCAAATCTTTAATAAACTAGACACTGGCTTCATTAGGTGTTCCACATCAAGTCCTTCACACATTCAAAATAAAAATGTTATTTTTTTAATAAATATGGCCATTTTTCACAACACTACCAAACCAATTAAGTTAAAACAAAGGTTTTAAAGGCATATTGCAACAATCTAATTTCAATAATGTCTTCTTCACCTTTGTCTATCTTAGTCAATAGATAGATCCTAAATTTTTATGATTAGATATATTCAAGAGATGATTCGATCAGCCTTATTCACCAAGAGAATATTATGTAAATTATTTTGCAAATCATTATATTGAGGATTGTTCACAAGATTCATGACAACTGTAGGCTCCTCACAATTGGGTCAAACTATCAAACATGAAGCATTACCTTTGTCTATCTCACATAGTGGATCCTACATTTTTAGGATTAAATCTACTTGAGAGATGATTCAATCAGCCTTATTCACAAAGAAAATAATAGGCACATTCTTTTGCAAATCATTATAATATTGACTATTCACAAGATTCGTGACAATCATAGGGTTAGTTCCTCACAATAAGGTCAAACTATCTCACAGAAAGTACCACATCATGTTTGATATCCCACCAAGCATGAGGCTTACATGCCATCAAATGGATCAGCTAGTAGGCATAATGTCTTTGCTTATACCTTAATTTTTTGTCAGCTAATAAGCGGGCTAAGTGGGGTTGGACAAGGACATTTTTTATAAATAACCCCAGCTTTCCCCATTTATCCAACTTTGACCAAACCTCCAGCTTTTGTCCAATCCTTGCCTCCTAACTCAGCCCACGTAGGCATTGACTTTGGAGACGACACATGTTTATGGAAGCTTATGAAACGGTCACTAACTTTGGGCCGCCCACCGCGCACAAGCTCTCTCTTCATTTCCACTCCTCCCTCTTAGAAACACAAATGAGGACCCAAACTCTGTAAAATGACGTTCATACCCACCCGCGTTGACCAAACCGTACTGGCGAGAGAGAGAGGGGGAGGCGGAAGTTCAATTTTTTAGCTCCTGCCCAAGTTAAAAACTTCCCTAAATGGTAAATATGCCGATCAGTATTGAGACCATGACCTTACATATCTGGAAAAAAAAATGGCATTCAAAGGGATTGGATTAGATTGACCACCTTCAGCTGTCTGCCTATATCTGGATAAGATTGATCTCGATCTGATCGATCTGACGGCCCGAATCAAACGGGGGCAGCGTGTTACGGCGCTTCATTACTTGGGCCAACGGGTTCGTTGATCTAACGTGACCGCTTCCGTGGGCCGCCGCTGAATTATTGCTCCCAAAAGGTCCACGTGCCTACCCGTCAACCCCTGTGCGGAGGTCGAATATCTGGGCCGTTGATTTTTTGGGTCCCGGATCGAACGGCATCGGTGTCCGATGATCCTCGACGAGGGGGAAGACGAGTTGCCCTTGGCAGATGAGAGAATGTGTTTGAACACGGCAGACCTCGTTGACTTCAATTTAACTCGCCAACACGTGGCATACACGTTTCCGCTGACCAAATTATAGCAAAACACGTTCCCCAGTGGGCCCTCACCAGGTTCGTCGAAATCCTTTACACCGCCTGCCGAAGCTATAAAATTATCACCCAACTCTCATTTCGAGGTCTATTGATCTTCTCTCTCTTTCTCTCTCTCTCTCTCTCTCTTCCTCTCTATCTATCTATTTCTCTCTCTCTAAAGATCTTCCAAGGTTTGATCTGCTTCGATCCTCGAGGGATCATCATCTCCGTGCTCTGATCCAGCAGAATGGCGGGTTACCCCCACGGTTCCGGCTACCCGCCCTACGGGGCGCCGCCGGCCAACCCCTACGGCGCGCCACCGGCGAATCCCTACGCGTCCGTTCCGGCGCCGTACGGGGCGGCGCCGCCGCCGTCCGCGCCATACGCTCCTGGCGGCGCCGCACCGGGGCCGGTGAAGCCGGGGAAGGATCACGGCCATCAAGGCGGCTTCCACGGAGGCCCGCCGGTGGCGCAGCCGTACGCGGCGGCAGGGGGCTACCCGCCGGTGGGGCCAATGCCGGCGTTCACCCCGTTCGCAGCGCTGGTGCCGTCGCAGTTTCCCCCGGGGACGGATCCGAGCTTGGTGGCGTGCTTCCAGGCAGCGGACCAGGACGGGAGCGGGCTGATCGACGACAAGGAGTTGCAGAGGGCGCTGTCGTCGTACAACCAGAGCTTCAGCATCCGCACTGTTCACCTTCTCATGTACCTCTTCACCGGCACCAACGTCCACAAGATCGGTGAGTCTTAGCGACCTACTTACCTGACCCCGGCCACCGCGGTCCTCGTCTCCTCCCAGAATTAGGGTTTCCTGTGGACGCCATCTCGGGATTCTGTCCTCTATTAGGGTTTCTCCCTCCTCTGATGTGAGGTTTTTCAAATCCTCTGCAGGTCCCAAGGAGTTCACCTCCGTCTTCTACAGCCTTCAGAACTGGAGGGTACTGCTATTCCTCTCTTCTTCCCCCCTGATTATTTTTAGTTCTTCTCGTACTCTTTGTTCTTCTCCCCTTCTGCTCAGCCATTATTCGCTGAACATCCAAAAATTCCTTCGTTCCTCAGGCCATCTTCGAGCGATTCGACCGTGATCGGAGCGGCAGGATCGACGCCAACGAGCTGAGGGACGCCCTGCTCAGCCTCGGCTTCTCGGTCTCCCCGATCGTCCTCGACCTGCTCGTCTCCAAGTTCGACAAGACCGGCGGCAAGAACAGGGCCATCGAGTACGATAACTTCATCGAGTAAGCACCTCCTCCTTTTACGTCCTCTCTCTCTCTCTCTCCGAACCTTGGGCGTTTCATCTGACTGTTTCTTCCTCTCCTCCCTGCCATGGGCGACCTCTATGGACTCTCTCCTTGCAGATGCTGCCTCTCCGTCAAGGTAACCATCATCTCCATCTCCCATCCCCATTTACAGGATTTCTAACGCTCCTCTCTCTCTCTCTCTCTCTCTCAACCTGACCCTGAGCTCGAATCTGAAACCTGTCGCAGGGGCTGACGGAGAAGTTCAAGGAGAGGGACACCAGCTACTCCGGGATGGCCAACTTCTCCTACGAGAACTTCATGCTTACGGTCCTGCCCTTCCTCATAGCCTAGCTGCAGCCCTTCTCCCATGCCTGCCGGATCGCGAGGACCTTCGTCTCTGATCTTTGCTTCCTGTAAGCATCCGCCTGTGTAATTTCTTTGTCACTCGGACTGGAATAAATTTCTCTCATCTGTGGCTGTTCTCATCAACCCCTCATGGGCGGATCACTCTCTTCTGAATTATAGAGGCCAATACAAGGCATGAAACCCAGTCTGATCGAAAAAAAGAAAAGAACCTCTATTGATATCCAGGTATGTTCTATAGGTTGCTCAGAAAAAGAAAAAGTCAAATGTGTGGTGAAAAGGTCAAATGGGCTGAGAGAGGAAATATTTTTTTCCCACGTTCATGACATCATTGCATGGTTGCTCAAATATATTGGACTTGGATGCGTACTCTTCACCGCCTCCAATGTCACTCACCTTACCTGATATAAACCTCAACATGAGGGGCATTTTAAAGCACTGAAGATTGAAACTAGCCCAGGCATCAAAAGGGCAAGACTTTCAGGGCCCTGTTGAATCGGTCTTCTAGGCTATTATTGTGAACATATATTCATTGGAGTGGGATGACTATTTTAATATTTTATGGATAATTAAGTCTTCGTGAAGTTGTCAAACATAGTTTAATCAGGATCATTGTCCTTGGTCGTTTTGACTTTATGCCTCCAATTTCACTCTCTTAAGGATTGATGATATTTTTTATTTTTTTCATTCTTGTGGGGAATTATCACGTTCATCACTAGTTTCTATTATTAGTATGCACCAAGTGCATTCAAGTGATAAGTGGGTATTTTCTTGCCCTCTTACAAAATTTTGAATTGGGAAATTGAATGAGAATTAAGTGTTGTATAATATTGGTAAGATTTTGATGCATAGTAAAGAGTAAATGTCAAGGGTTGAATGACTCAAGAGAGTGACTTGAGGGTGAAAGGTAGAAAAGAGAGGGACTTATTCATTATTTAAGTGATTAATGCAAGCTATTCTTTCTTTACATCTCTCTCAATCATCTCTCTCTTGTATTTTCTTCATTTCTTTCTCTCTATACTTGACCTGACAAGAAAAGAGGGTGAGAGAGAAAGAGAGAGAGAGATAGAGAGAGAGAGAGAGAGAGAGAGAGAGAGAGAGAGAGAGAGAGAGAGAGATAGATAAGGGGGGCTTTTCTCTCTCCTTGTTATTGTTGATTCTTGGAGCACTTAATAGCTTGGATGATGAAAAAATAAGCACGAGTGATACAAAAAATTGAAAATATCATAAATAATATAGCCATTAAATATAAATTAAAATAGATAAAATTGAGTAAAATTTACTCAAGGGTAAAATAGTTAATTATACCTCAAAATATTCATGACCCTTGAAAATACTTGATTATGTTGCAAACATTCTAGGATTATTTACAAAGTTTTAATAAAATTTTAAAAGTACTTTTCTTTGAATATTTTCATCTCTTCTTCATAAACTTGAAAGGAGTTGTTGACCCACCCATGTGTTGATAAAAAAAGAAAGAAAAGGAGTGAAAATGACAATGCTTTGGAACTATTATTCTAGTCATAACAGTTGAGAGACCATTTATCTTACTATTTTTTACTCTTAAAAATCTCTAAAAATAAAGAAAATTTGATCAATTGATATATAAGTAACCTCTTCCTCAAATCTCAAATTGAGAATAAATCATTCAATAATAAAAAGCAAACATTTCTATCTCAAGCTTTCAAGGCTCTCCTCAGACACATGTTTCTTCATCATATTTAAGAGCATTAAATTTCCCTTAATTTATAATAAAGTACTTCAAAGTACTCGAACCAACCCATAAGTTCAGAATTTACTAATTTGGTTAGCCTCTTAAAGCCATGAATTTAAAAGAAGTTAGTTGGATGTGATATGGTTGACTTATTGGCACCATAAATTTGGCACCTACGTTACCATAAACCATGTAGTTTCATTCATTATAGCCATGAAGCATAGTGAGAATTTGTTGAAGCAAAGTTGTACAATATTGATACCACTATGATTTAGTGGAACCCAAGGACATGATTCTTGAAAAATGAGTAACCCAACATGGGCTGAAACATAGTGGATCTGGGTTATGTAATCGATATCATAATGCAATAATTAGGAATTATAACAAAAAAAAAGAACCAATTTAGTTTTTCTTGCAGCATGTTTAAAATCACTAGTTAGGCAAAGTGGGAGGGAATATTTACCAAGTTGACTAAGACGGTCAACTCTAATCCACTAGAGAAGATTTGACCATGCCTTGCCATGATCTCCTAGAAAAGAAAGGAACTTGGGTCGCAGATTGGACCCAATAGAAATCATTCATATCGATGGTTGACCTCCTCCTCTGCAATTGCACACGTGGGGCCCCAATATAGTATCATCAGATAGTGGGTCAGTGTCCATACCATGGCCTAAGTCAACCTGTTGAATGAGTGTGTCAAAAGCCCAACATAGGCAATTTTGGGAGATATTTTTCATATTTATTAATGAGTAACACAATGGGGATATAAACTTATGGTCGTGTCTACTAATACCAAGTGATAAATATTAATTATTTTAATTAATTATAACTAAAATTATAGGCATAAATTTAATTCGGGGTAAATAAGCATTAATTTATTTCGGGGGGTAAATGTGGAAAGTCAGAGGGGAGGGGAGTTGCCGGCCGGGCCGGGCTCGGTGGGTTCGAGGGTGCCTGCTAGGGTTTTGTTCGTCTTCCGTCTCGTTCGCTGTTCCTTCCTCGTCTCGGCCGCAGGACTGGCCGCCGGAACCCTGAAGGGCGACCCCGTGGTGGCCTGAATCCATGGCGCTACACCAGCAGTACGACCTCACCTCGCGCATCGCGGCCCACCTGGACCGCCATCTCGTCTTTCCCCTGCTGGAGTTTCTGCAGGAGCGCCAGCAGTACCCAGACGATGAGATCCTCAAGGCCAAGATTGAGCTCCTAAGCGAGACCAACATGGTCGACTACGCCGGGGACATCCACAAGTCCCTCTACCACACTGAGGAGGTACCCAAGGGTGAGGTTTCTCCATCCTTGACGGTGCCGTTTCACGTGGCTCTGCTGCCAAACGCGACTCTTCCATCGAATCTTTCATTACCTGGTGTGTTGGGTTTCTTTGTGTCACTAATCGACATTTCAGCCACGGAATGCGAGGTAGAGGAGTAACTGGCACTTACTTGTGCTCTTATCGTTAGGCGAAAGAGTTTTTATTCGTCTTTTTTTAATGTCTCCGGCAGTTTGGTTAATTCGATTCGATTAATCGCTAATTCGCGCATTTCTGATTTTCTAATTTACTTGTTTTTTTTCTTTTGGTACCCTGTTTGGTGCGACAGAAATGTTGGACAGGAGAGCGGAGGTCGTCATGAGGTTGAAATCCCTGGAGGACTCAGCCGCCCCTCTTATATCTTTCCTCCAGAACGCATCCCTTGTCCAAGAGCTGAGACCTGACAAACAGTACAACCTGATGATGCTGAATGAGAGATATCAGGTAGCCTTCTCTAGAAAATTTTCTTCTCAGAGATTTGTTTTTGGCGTTTCTCCTCATGATCACCACCTAGTCGGTATATTCTGGTAGTATATATGATGTCATTTTGGTGCATGTTTCCTGAGGTTGGGTGATTCATTTGGAGAAGCACGTAATAAATCATGGAAGAAAGAAGAGAATCAGACAGGGATTGGACATTTTCACCTGCAAATTATATGCAGAAATTCGAGATCTTTGATGCTGTAATTTCTTCTGTGTATAGCATTGAATATATTGGGCCTTGTACAAACATTTGGAAATGAACAGATACAGAAAATATGCACTTGTATGCAGCTAGTGGTGTGCGCTTGACTCGGAAATTTGTGGAAAATGAGTCCTAGGTCGTGCAATTTAATACTGAATTTGAATTTCTGCTTTTTAAAACATGAATTACTATACTGCTAAATACGTGAACGACACTGTTTAAATGCTAGTGCCCTGTTCAGTACGTATTTTAACATACTTACTATGTTGTCCAAACAGATTGGTCCAGACCAAATAGAGGCCTTGTATCAGTATGCGAAGTTCCAATTTGAGTGTGGAAATTATTCGGGTGCTGCAGATTACTTGTACCAGTATCGAGCTTTATGCACAAATAGTGATAGAAGCCTAAGTGCTCTATGGGGTAAGCTTGCAGCAGAAATTCTGATGCAGAACTGGGATACTGCACTTGAGGAGCTTAACCGTTTGAAAGAGATAATCGATTCAAAGGTCTTTTCTCATACAAAAAGAAAAATACTCCTAGAATTTACTTATTTATTCTAGCCTCATTTTTTCTGGTTACGCCTACATTGCAGAATTTTTCCTCTCCACTGAGTCAGTTGCAAAATAGGATATGGTTGATGCATTGGAGCCTTTTCATTTTCTTCAATCATGAAAATGGTAGGAATGGGATTATTGATCTCTTTTTTCAAGACAGGTTGGTTCTGGCTCTAATGTTTTACAGCTTACTTGTTGCTTGCGTTGTCTAATTTAAGCTTAGTCCTCTGGTAATTTCTCCGGACGTAATTTGATGTACCCTTTCACGTGAGTGTGTTTTTGGATTGAGCATGTGCTATCAATCCTCAAAAGGCATTGTGCTATTAAATTTAGAATAAATGTCTGCACATGTGTATGTGAAAAATATATGAGCACTATATCGAGTCAGCATGTTGACGACATAAACTTGTTTTGGTTCTGCTATGTTTTGCTTGTAAATGTATTTTCTTTAACATTTATGACAGATGCTTTGACTCTTGCAGTGATGTGTTTTCGTTCATAAAAATTTTAGAAGGATATGTAGGTTTTGCCTTGCTAATCCATGATTTATAGCTCCTTGTTTTGGTATTTGATCTTGTTACACGCAGGTATAATATCTAGCCTTATTGTATTTGAACCCCGTGTTGTATTTTCTTCGACATTTATGGCGCATACATTGACTCTCACGATGATGTATTTTCATTCAAATAACCTTTTGAAGGATACATGTTGATTTTGCCTTGTTAATTCATGATTTCTGATCCTCGTCTTTGTATTTGAGCTTTTAACATGCCGTTAGAACCTCTAGCATATGTTTTGCAGGTGTCTAGGATGAGAGATGAATGCACTTTGTTTGTCTCATGATGCTGCTTACTTTCCTGTCTTCCATTTGTCTTGTTCTATTCCATTGATTGATTATGCGTTTTAAGTTTCTTACCAATGTTTTCTCAGGTATCTTAATGCTATTCAAACAAATGCACAGCACCTTCTACGCTATGTTGGAACTGCTGTCATTGTCAACAAGAGGAGAAGAAATATGCTCAAAGAGTTGGTCAAAGTTATCCAACAAGAGCAGCACTCTTATAAAGACCCCATTACTGAGTTCTTGGAGTGCTTATATGTTAATTACGACTTTGAGGGTGCACAGCAGAAGCTTCGGGAGTGTGAAATTGTAAGTCCTGACCAATGAAAACAAAGTTTTAAAGTATCACCAATTAAATAACTTTTTTTTTGCGGTGCTGGTCTTGATATCTTACTTTTTTCCTGTCAGATAAGCTTTATTTTTTGTCTATATCATTTAAACTATGTATAGAGTGCTTGGTGAAGGTTTGCCAGCATTCATGGATCATTTATTCGGCTGTACGTGTTGGTTGTCGGTTTGCTTTATTTTTCTACTTTGATTCCTATTTTGGTGATCCGATATTAAACTTTGTTCACTAGACAGAACAACAACGTTTTGAAGCATCATCCTGGTAATTGGAGTCTCCGTATCTAGTTTTCCTTCGTAATATTCATTTTTTAGTCTGTTTCCAGTATGGCCGCAGTCTTATGACATTATTGCATGGATTCCAACATGAGCAGGAGTTGTTTTACCCTGGGTTATATGAACCCCTTTGGAGATGTGTACTGTAGATTCTTGCTCACCCTGTTATCAAATGAAGAATTTAAAGATTTGACATCTGATTGGAGTCGAGTCTCGGTCAACCGGGCATGGACTTGATTGGGGAAAAAAATGTAGGCCGGCCTAAAAAAATGTGGAGAAGACGGGATTGCCTTTTAGGGTCCTGTGGCCTGCTTTGCAGGCATTCTCTTGGGTGTAAAGTCAAATCCTGTGGTTTAGTGTATGGACCTGCGTAGTACCGCTATTGATTTCGACTTTAGATGACCCAATTAGTTAGCATGATGTTTAGCATCTGACATATGCAACATCCCCAAAAGAGAAAGCGGGAAATCTGCCGCTTCAGACCGAATGATTCCAAGCACCATCCTTCGTGTTTTAGTCGCTTCCTCTTAGAAATGTATAATTTGGTGAGAAAACATGTTCCTTGTAACATCTCTTTTTTGGATCATGATAGGATGATGATACGATCAACACAATATGCAATAATCACTATTTTCTCCATATTAGCTATATTCTTCTCCTAGATAATCACTAATACCTAAACCCACTAGTACATAAAAGAAGTAAATCCGGGATTTCCAAAGGGAAAGGTTTGTTAGCCATACACGGAACTCTGACACTAACCTTGATTCGAGTTTCTGCGTTTTCTGTGTATTGAAATTAAATGGATTTTTCGGTCTCTGTTTACCTGTAATGGCGATGCATAAATATACGAGTTTTATGAACCAAGTTAGCTGGAGCAATTTTATGCTTGCTCAATCTTTTATCTTATTGCTTATGAGAAAAAATTAAGAATGGCTTTATGATCTGATTGAAAGTCAGTAATGACCCTTATCCTCTTTCTTTGTATACACAAGTGACTAAGGATTTGATCTCATGACAAGAACCATCTTTATTCTGCACTAAGGTTGCACAGATTTTTTCAATTCAAAAGTTTTTAGCCTTTTATCTTTTGCTTATGAGACAAACATTTCATAATGGTACGATGCTCTGATTGAAAGTCTCATTAATTATGCTTATCCCCTTTCTTTACAACGGGCTCCTCCCCATGGCTTGTCTGATTTTCTTACCGCACATGGTTCGCTGACTCTCATGACAGGTTATATTGAATGATCCATTCCTTGGGAAACGGGTGGAAGATGCTACCTTTTCAACAGTGCCTTTGAGGGACGAATTCCTTGAAAATGCCCGGCTTTTCATTTTTGAGACATATGGCCGTATACATCAGCGTATTTACATCGGGTAGGCCTCTTATTTCTCATGCTTGACTATTAGTTTCATCAATCTTGGTGCCCACATTAGTCTTGGTATCAGAGTCAAATACCTGATGCATATTTTTTTCCAAATAAAAAAACCAAAAGGATTCTTCCATGAAAAGTATTTTGCGCTAAAAATTACAGGGTAGATTCTTCTCGTAGATAATCTCTAATATCTATCCCTTCCGGCGCATAAAACGATTCGAGTTTCTGAGTTGTGGATGCGATTTTGTTCTTCTTCTTTATTTTGCTACATGCAATTAGTGGTCGGTGGGTACTTATTCTTGTGTGTCTCTCTGTTTCCGCCGTGCTCTGCTGCTCTGTGGTTCAACAGAATGCTTGCTGAGAAGCTGAACATGGATGAAGATGAGGCCAAGAGATGGATCATGAACCTCGTCCGGAACTCCAAGCTTGATGCCAGGATCGATTCGGCCTCGTCATCCCTAATCATGGGCACCAATCACCTCAACATGTAACCCTTTCCTTGTGAAAAAAAAACCCTATTTTCAGAATCCGAAGGAGAGAATCCAGTCCCTAATTTTATTTTTAATTTTTATATTGTTATTTTCAGATATGAGCAGATCATCGAGAATGCAAAGAACCTCAGCATGCGGACATCCGTTCTAGCAAAGAACATCCTTGAAAACGTCCAGCCGCAGGGATCCCGGTGAGGCAGGCAGGCTACCACCCACTTGCGTTCAACTACTCTTACTTAGGGTTCGGACATGTTTCTTCTTCTCATCCTTCTCCTTGCAAAATTTTGTAACGGGTTGCGGTCTCTGGGGGGGGTTAATTCATTGCTTTCTCTGTTTATGTGGGGCACCTTCAGACTATCTGGTTTATCAATGTTGAATTCCCTTCCCAAGCATCGACTCTTTGCCTGGCCCTGCATTGGGCTTACCCTTTGCTAATCAAGGTAAATTCACCACGTCAGGAGCATCTCTGAATGCTGATGAACTTCTCCGGAAGAGGTGCGAGGACTTTCCATTCTTTTTTTTTTTTTTTTCCTTGAATGAATATCTCGACTTCTGCCCATGGCTTCCACTGATGATGGTTTTTTTTTTTTTTCTCTGTATGATCTTTTATTTATTTAGTTTTACTAGTTCTGGGGCCTTGCCCAAGTCTTTTCAGCTATAAATAATCATAATATGTATGAATGTGAACCTGGCATGAATAACATGAAGCCACTTTTAGGTGATATTTATAATATTTTTTTTGTGTGATCTTTTATTTATTTATCTTTACTAGTTTTGGGGCCCTGGGGATGAATTTTCAGCTATAAATAATTGTAGTATTTATGAATCTGAACCAGGCCTGAATAACATGGTGGTCGGTGATGTGATTGGCCCAAAGGGATGAGGCAATGATTCTTTCCTCAATTGCTGGCATTTTATATGGGCTGTGAATATTCTTGGATGATTAAATTGCTATAAGAAGTAGAAATCTTGGATTGACTTTGATCCATCCCCTCCAATATACCAAACTCCACCATGTTTTGTGAAATTATCTGAAAATATATATTTCAAATTAAATGTAATAAATGGTAGAATATATATTTTATGATGGATTGTTTTCTCATCTCTCTTCCTAATGTTCCAATTAATATATAAAAAAGGTAGTTTTCTCATGATCTATCTGTGCGATTTTATACATGTGTAACATCAAAAATTACATGTGTATGTTGGTGTGGAATGCATTTCGAGAACTCATTCTCGTAATCCTAAACCCTGAACCGACTGTCTACAGCGCGAGTTGAATAAGTGGACCGGTGTGGAATGACGCCAAACGTGACCGTCCCCCAATCGCAATCAATACTGCTCCGCCTCGTCTTTGCTTCTTATACAAGCAAATCCCATATGATGGTCAGCTGGTATGAAATGACTACGAACATCCCGTGTTGACTGCTGATGGATAGCAAGCCAGCGATGGCTACAGTATATAACCTCCCCACCGGAGACGGCACCTTCGACCAGAGGCCAAGTGATAGAAAGATTGATAGAGAGCGAGAGAGAACAAGAGAGAGAAGAGAGAGAGAGAGAGAGGATGCAGGGTGGAACCTGGGGGCCGTCGGCGGCCGGGGGATTGGGGATGATGGGGTCAACGTTGGGGACGGTGATGTTCCTGTGGATGGTGATCCGGCAGTTCTTCCCCTACTTCTCAGACCTCCATCTGCGCAGGTGGGTGGAGAAGATGGTCGGCTACGTCTACCCCTACGTGCAAATTTCCTTCCCTGAGTTCGTGGGCGAACGTCTCAAGCGCAGCGAAGCCTTCACCGCCATCGAAATCTACCTCTCCGCCAACTGCGGCGGTGCAGCCAGGCGCCTCCGTGCGGAGCTCGGCAAGGACAGCTCCCAGCTGGTCCTCAGCATGGACGAGCACCAAGAAGTAGTCGACGTCTTCGAGGGCGTCTCCTTCTGGTGGAGCTCCTCCGTCTCCATCGTCAAGTCCCCGCAATTTTCCTTTTACCCAACGCCGGAGGGGAAGCGCTCCTACCAGGTGACCTTCCACCGCCGACACCGCGATCTGGTCAACGGCCGTTACCTCGCCGCCATCATGGCGCAGGGGAGGGAGATCTTGGCCCAGCGTCGCCAGCGGAAGCTCTTCACCAACAGCCCCTCTAGAGACTCCGACTACCGCCAACTGCTGTGGAGCCACGTCCCGTTCGAGCACCCGGCAACCTTCGACACCATCGCCATGGATCCCCAGAAGAAGAATGAGCTCATTCAGGACCTGCTCAACTTCCGCGACAGCAAGGACTATTACAGGAAGGTGGGCAAGGCATGGAAGAGAGGGTACCTTCTCTACGGGCCCCCCGGGACCGGAAAGTCCACCATGATCGCCGCCATGGCAAACCTCTTGGAGTACGACGTGTACGACCTGGAGCTCACCGCCGTGAAGGACAACTCCTCCCTCCGCAGGCTTCTGATCGAGACCAGCAGCAAATCCATCATCGTCATCGAGGACATCGACTGCTCTCTGGACCTCACTGGCAGCCGGCGGAAGAAGGCCGCCGCCGCCGCCGCTGGGGAGGAGACGGAGGAGAAGAAGGTGAAGGAGGCGATGAGGGAGAGGGACAACGAGGACAGTAAAGTGACGCTTTCGGGGCTGCTCAACTTCATCGACGGGCTGTGGTCTTCCTGCGGGGGGGAGAGGCTCATCGTCTTCACCACCAACTATGCGGAGAAACTCGATCCTGCGCTGGTGCGGAGGGGCCGGATGGACATGCACATAGAGCTCTCCTACTGCCGGTTCGAGGCCTTCAAGATGCTCGCGAGGAACTACCTGGGTTTGGAGGACCACCGGAGATTCTCCGACGTGCGGCGGATCATTGAGGAGGTGGATATCACGCCGGCCGACATAGCGGAGCTCCTCATGCCGCGGAGTCGCTATGGTGGCGCCGCCGAAGCCGATGCGTGCATGGACGCGCTCGTCAGGGCCCTCGAGGACTCCAAGGCCAAGGCCGCCGCCGCGAGGGCGGCAGAGGCCGCTGAGGCGGCGGCGGGGGTGGTCTCGCTGGAGCCGGAGAAGACGACGGAAAGGGGCAAGGCTGCTGGGAAGGTTGGACCGGAGCCGGAGAAGACGGCGGAGGTGGCCGCTGAGGCGGCGTCGGAGGTTTAGCTGGAGCCAGAGAAGACGACGGAGTAGGCTGCTGAGGCGGTGGCGGGGGTCCTGCCGGAGCCGGAGAAGACGACGGAGAAGGTCGAGGCGGGTGAGGTTGCACATTCAACATAGGGGGCCAATTCATTCCCGGAGGTCTCGCCGGAGCCCGAGGAGATAGAGAATTTAAGATGGTGGCCACTTAGTTCAAGACTGGAAGAGATAAAAGACACCTGTCTGTGAGGAAAATCAACAAGGATGCTAGCGTAGCTAGGGCGGCAGATAGTCAAACCCACCCTAAATATAACAAAACCCAGTTGACCACACGGTATCAATACAGCAGTAGAAGATCAAACAGATCACCTTATACCTTATTTTCAAGGTGGATTTATCAGAGAGAGAAAGCAACACTTGGGTACTTAATTCCTCTCTCTCTCTCTCTCTCTCTCTCTCTCTCTCTCTCTCTCTCTCTCTTCCTCCCCATCCCTACCAAGGAAAATCATGTGCTCATCATGCAATAATAGTTGAAGGCTTGCTAATGCGTATGTCGATGGTATTACATCACCATTGAAGTAGGAGGGAATACTCTATCTAGTAATGTGTATATCCCTCCTCCGAGTAGAAGAGCACCACTGCAAAGAGGGGTTTGACCCCATGCGATCAATTACAAGTGTAATGTTAAAAATAAATAAATAATAATAAATAAATAAACAAAGGATATGGGTGGGGCACCATTGAACGTACCTCACAGGGTTTATCCATGCTGAGTATTTCCGAAATGAGAGCAAACTCTGCAAATAATTACAAAAATAACTAAATAATGTGCCATTATTTTTTGCTGACAAAATTGATATTATTTCACCAACTTAAAAAGAAAACTATTCATGAAGAAAATCCAATCATTTCGGTCCATAATATTTTATTATGTTCATTCTAAAATATCTTCACTATAAAAGGAATTACTATCTACAGGAAAATTTAAATTGCGTTTAACCATCAAAATTGCTGTTTCGAAAATTTTAAATTTATTCATATTTTCTTGTTTTTATTCATTGTAAAAAGAATTACTACTTATAGAAAACTTGATCAATTTCAACCATAACAGTAATCTAAGATCCCAGAAATTTTAAACTATTGATTAAAAGGATTTTAATCATTTTCAGTCGGTGACATTTATGCCTGTGCATCATCAATATAAAAGAAGAATCGTTGAGTAAGAAGAGTTTAAACCACTTTCAATTATGAAATAGATGTGTTTCAAAGAATTTTAAAATAATCTACTGATTTTTAAAATGTTTCAAGCATTTCAGTGTATCATAAAATTGAGGGGCGGCTACGAACCTGCAATGCACCGGCAAAGGAAGCTGCAATGAGAAGGGGAGCAACGTAGCCAGTCGTATATGACAAAAGAAGACTTCCCCCGATGAAAGGATTCTGGTGATGAACCCAACAGAAGGTCAGCCCATACAGTTGGGGAAATGGAAGATCAATGAGTTACCTTGGCCAGAACAATCCAATTAAGATAAATAAAAACAGAGATAAATCCCAATAAGAGAATCAACGAATCCTTGTTGATGACTGGAAAATACAGGAACATTGGGAAAAACTGAAAGTTTCTCTCTAGGGGTTTTACGGCGAAGTATAATATAATTTTATACACGAGGACATAAGAGAAAGAACCATATCGTTCTCTATTGCTATTTTCCTTGACAACTAGATTTTTTCGGCAATTGAACTCAACACATCCAAGGACATCAAGTCCAAGGCACACCAACTCAAAATCAATCGAGAGTAAAAGGAGGCCCATATGTTTTGGATAAAATATTTAATTATCAAACAGACAGACTGGGGACAACCCAACTCAGGATGAACCTTTAAGAAACCGAAATCATGTGAAAGATTTTGAGCTGTCCTACTCAAAATTAAGTGACGAGCAGGGTGCAATTGTCTCATTCAATGGGGATCACTCTAGCAGCCCCAAGGGTCCCACAAGGTATTCACATATTTTTCATCTAGTCTTGAACTTCATTCGCATCCACACAAAATCTATATAGGTTTATGGTAAAATTTGCTCGATTAAGAACCCAGAGCATCAGATATAGAAACTATAAGAAAAAAGGGATACCCTCGTTGATGCCACATATCCAAGGATTGTGGCAAGTACAGGCGTGCTACAAGGGGATGCAGCTAAAGCAAATGTCAGCCCAGCGAGGTATGCTTGCACGCCTAAGCATTCGGCCACAAAAGAAGAGAGTCATATAAGCACGGTCAGCATATGTACTTTGTTATCGGCAATTTGAATAAGAAAAAACAGAGGGAATATAAGAGATGAAGGGAAGAGAATTACTTGAAGGAAGATTTGCTGCAGCAGCACGAGCATCAAAATTATCAAAGAAAGATGGAAGCTGCAATTCAAGTACCTGCCATGTCGGGAAGGAAGGATAAGGCATACAGAACTCCACAAGGCGAGCAGAATAATTTCAAATAAGGATGCATATTAAAGACAGTCTTTTCCTCTAATCAGATAAAACTCATCATCCAACAAGCACAGCGCTGAATCCCAGCACCACATATATGCAAATGAAGAGGATATCCTTCAGCAGATTTCAGAAGAAAAATTATTAAGGCGAAAGAAGAGACCATAACACGATAATAACTGTGGGGGACAGTCGCAAGATGGCCAAAAGACATAATTTGTACCATGCTTTTAAAGCACCTCATGAAATAAGGTTGAAACTCGTGACATCCCTCATTCACATAGCACTGGGATGTCAAGCGCAGGAATTATGTAATCCTGTTGATGAATAACTCATCATAGTGATACTCTCATGAGTCAGGATTGTACTTTTCCTTGAGAAATATGATATATGTATCTTGGTTTTCGCTGTCTATCACACGTGTCCACTCAAGTGGTAAGGTGGGATGCGCAATTCCTTTTTTGGACAATTCAGATCTAATGAAAAACAAACAAATTTGAACAGAGGCAAGTTTGAAAACTTGATATGTTGAATCTGAGGCCTTTTCCGTGGTAGATTGTTGAGGTCATTGGGCAGTGAATTACCTTGCTAACAGAGCATAAATCTATCAAACAGAAACTGACAATGTATGTTATGCATCAAAGAGAGAAGCGTAAGAAGTGGATCACAAGGATGATAATGGTATTTGAACAGGCTGAGGCTTTGATATGCTGGTTTTAAAGGAAAATCAAATAATCCTGCAAGGGAGTTTTTGGGAAAACTTTATTTTCTAAATTTTTTATGGGATAGTTGTCTCTGATCGTTCATAGACTCTGACTTCAAATGCAGAGAGTAAAACATGGTACCATGATTGGCATGTGAAAACAGAAGAGCCTAATTCTGCTTTCAGGGATCTCCCTGTGTTTATTCATGGCTTGTGAATCGTCAGATGATTTGATGTATTGGAAAGCAGCATCTTTATCTACTCCTTTAACTATAGAGTGGAAAAAAGGGACCAGATTCCATTTAAGATTAGCATAACCAAAGCAGACTATTCATCAGTAGAGTTGTTGACCTTACAGATGTTTCATGCTGGACAGAAATCCAGAGTGTTCCAGATAACTTGGGAGATGACGAAGGTTCAAAATGCATGATTGCAGAATCGAATGAGCTCCTTTCTCTCTTTGTACAGATCAAGTTTTCCAGAGGGAAACTATATTAGAAAACCTTCACCATTTTACTTAACTCATGAAATGCCATACCGACAGCTTTTTGTAAAGAGTGTTTCTGCTTTGGGCAGAAAGTCCATAGCATTAAATGGAGACCCAGAAGAGAAAAGAAAGACCTCCTGAGCAAAACAATGCAACTAGACTACAGGACGTAGAATCCCAGATATGTCAATGTTGATCTTGCCGCAGCACGTAGAACCCCAGATATCAATGCTGAAATAATTGACAGCATTGATTTGGAAGGTCATCATGATGGCACGTGCACATTAAAAGGACTATTGATCTGGGAAGATCACTGAGGATCTGTAGATTGGTAGAAGTCTAGTTTGTATTCATACGAAACTAAAATCAGTCATTTCCTATATTTTATGCCAGAAAGTACTCATAAAACTAGATATTGTGTATCCTTCGTCATCATCTTCTTGAAATCCTGACCTAGCTTGGGGACATTATCCTCGGTTGGACTCAAGATATCTCCTAAGTAGCTCAAATCAGTCACCTAAGAAACAAACTTTTTAAGAACAAAACACGATTTCAAGAAGGTCATTCATAATACTCGCTGGGAAAATATTATCTCATTCAATTAACTGAGAATGAAGGAGAAAAATACCTCTAAAAGGTTGAGGCCCATAACAATAGCCAAGCCAGAGGCAGCGATGGGAAGCCCTTGCCCTATCTGTCCATATGCCTTACCAGCAAAAGAAGCAGCGATTCCAAGCATAGCTAATGTTGTTGCTAGTCCCAAAGCAAATGCAAGTGAATCTCCAACAACCTGGAGTGAACAGAAGATCAACCCCTGATGTTAATCTTGATTATAGCTCATGACAAAAGAAAAGTTGATTGTTTCCCTCTTCATATTGTAAACTAGGAGTAAGATGTTAACGCATTGGATAAATCATATTGTAATGTTTATGTTTTTAGTGCACAATGGCCTTCAACTAACATAAAAGCGAAACAAAATAAAGTCTAAATAAGAAAGCACGATGGCAAATAACGGCGAGCCTCCTTCATCAAGAACACTTTTGAATGTAAATTTCTAATTGATTCCTCATTCCAGATGTCTATTTTCTGCATAATCTTTACCTACTGAATTCATTGGAAGCTGCCTACCATTAGTAGCGCGTCCAAATAAGAGACTTAAAATTATGTCTTCCAACTCAAATCCTAAAAGCGAAATTCCCCTCCTGACATCTTTTTTCTCCAAAATTGTCGTGACTCACCTAGAGCCAATAGCTTCTGTTTCAAAGAATTCTACCATCAGTTTGAAACATTTTGTTATCAACCTAAAACTATTTGATCCTCTCCAATAACTAGGCCCTCTGTCACATGTACTTAACATCTGAATAGCAAGGAGGGAAGAGATTCTAAATACACTTTTAATATATATGGTCTCATGTGCAATTAGGTAATCATAAAGGAAAAACATATAAATCTTCTTTCACAAAAATTGAAATATGACAAGAGAAGGCCCAAGTTGCCAACTGTTGACATTCATGTAGAACCACCCCCCCACCACCCCACTTTTACACTATCATGTGAAAGAAAAGAGATTGAAGGAGAAAAACTCTGATCAATCACACTATTGGTCGTGATTGGATAGAGAGCATGACAAGTGTTAGTCATCCAGCCTTTACATACCAGTTTACTTATTTCATCCCTTCTAATTTATTCTTGTAGCCTTGAGTTTCTGCCCCACATTTTGAAGAGGCTTCGCGAATGTGCATATCTCTGGACATGGAAAAATGGATATTTTGGCAATAATCATTCCTGAGTAGCTATTACAGAGAAATTCTCATGGGATGGATCTTAAATTTTCAATGGGCCAAGTATAATGTTAAGTTCACCCCCACACTCCCTGGCTATGACTAGACAATATCAATGCCATGGACCACCCCTTCTTTCAGTCGATAGAATCTTTTCAAAAACTTATCTTAGTGTACCACTTATAAGGAATTAGTTCTTACCACATCACTCATTGTCTTGGGACACTATGTAATTTATCTTAAAGTTGGAAGTGGCAGTAATTTTAGATTGATATGTAATATCTTTTGGGCTAATGACATCATCGCTGTTTTGAAAGTGGAATAACTGCGTCCACAACAAAATGCTTACATACCTCAGAAATCTTCTTTCCACTGCCGTTCAATACCATGACACTTTTCAGACCTTGAGGTGGTTTTCTCATGGTTACCCATCACCATTCTTTGACTCAGATAATCACTCAGCATATAAAGCTTCCTGTATGTGCCAGCGTTAATAGACTTGCGTTCTTCTGGTAGAATATTAGCAAGATGCCCTCGACTTAGTCCCAACATCCTTTCACCTACATCTCCTCCAACCAGTTAGTGAATTACAAGATCATTATCTTCTTGTTAGTGATTTTACTCAACATTAAACTTTCTGCTAATTTTCAGGTTTTGAGACTCCAAGAACGGAACAAATAAGAGCATACCATGATGAGTTATTAAAACCAGACATAATTCGCTGCATTCCATCTCCTCTCTTCTCTTGCACTATTTATGCGGCAGATTTTGGAAGTTCGAATAATTATCGTGATATGATGATTATAAGGCTGGCTTCAAATGATCTGATTTGTTATATACATCAGAATCACCAACATCCACCATGTTCAGGGCAAACAACCCCCAAACCTCACCTAGCTGTGATTCTTTTCAAGGGCCATGCATCACTTACCCCATTCAAACAGATATTAGACAATCTAAAGGGCCACATCAAATATTCCATATATTTCGATTATCCAATCACGTTTTTTCTTTCTCTTATCAATGCATATTTTTTCTTTACTCGCACAACTTAGATCTCGTATTTATCAAAAAAGTGATTCGACTGGAAAGTAACAGAAATTCCTAGAGCCATATATCAGAAAAACTAACTTGACTAATAGGGTAGACATTCTCAACCGGTCGAAGTGAGGAACCATGGGATATATGTTTGGAACAGATTCCATTTTGAGAGTTGGAAACTCACATTCTTTCATTAAGATCTGATTAATAAACTACAAAACCCCTAAATTGTAACAGACCAAATCCATGTGTCCTCAAATTAAGAGTATTCAGAGAAGACCATCCCAGTCAATGTGCTCATTTTGTTTTGTATCACTAACTAAATAAAAATCAGGCAGGTGGGGTTCCATTGCCTAGTAGCTGTTTCTTTCCAATAATTCACCACACCATCATAGATATAGATATATTAATACATATACATATTCACACATATAAATAGATATGCAAACAGAAAGCGAGAAAGAGAGAAAGAGGAGTTTCCTGCATATGACTTTCTATTTATATGTTAATACATACACATATTCACACACTTCCACACATACTTTCTATTTTTTATCCTTCAATTAGGATGAGGGAACGTTTTCATGATTACCAACAGTTGTGTATAAAAATTGAGCTAATGAGGCATTTCTATAGCTTGGCAGATGTCATGAAATCATCTCATCCGAGCATTCTGCGAAAAGAAACTATCAAAAAACCCAACTTACCTCAACTCGGCTCTTTCCCGATCCAAAAGCTCCTGTTCAAATGCCGACCAATCAAATGAGAGACGCCAAAACGATCAGCAGAATAATGCACTAAGATGTATCTACATAGCTTGCAAATAGAATAATTTCCAGAATTCCCCCTTACCAATGTAGCCAAGAGTTAATGGCAGAACACTTAATGTGCAAGGAGACAGACTTGTGACAAGCCCTGCTCCGAATATAACAGCTACACTGCAAGGTGCATCCAAAAACCGAGAGAATGAGACCAAGGAACAAGGAATAAGTAAATTTCACAGGGTTCACCTAAAAATGAAATCAAATCAGCAAGAATACGAAACCTGGAGATGGTTGGGGCTGACAACTGGTCCTGAACAGCTTCATTAGCCTGTTGCCCAGCTGAGTATAAGAAACCACCGAGCCAATCTCCTGCACTCATATCCGCTAATATGGAGAATGTTTGTACTTCCTGGCACCAGATTGGAAAGGAAAACCATAATAAATAAAGCTTGAAATAAAACTTAGAAAAAATGTGTGCTTTCAAAGACTTCCAATTGACAACATGGATTCGACAGCTATTTTCCAAATTGGAGAAGATTTTCAATCACAGGCATTAGATTGTCAGCAATTAAAAAAAAAAAATTAATTTTTAATACTTGGAAAAGGATGTTTAATCTGTTATTTACTTGAATCATCAAAAAAAGGTCGTAAGGACAGCTGATAGTTTCAAGACCCTTTGCATTATCAGTTGTAATGGGTTTAATCTGAGAAGCATCGAAATTCACATTTCATCGAAATACTCATCACTGTAACAGACCCCATCTCAATGCACAATCCCACATCCAGGTTTTCTTAGCAAAAAGCTCAAGTACTCAGATCTAGGCCAGAAGTCATAACACTGACAAGCCACGAATTCAGAGACCAGTAGCAGGAAAATATAGAATAACATTTATTTCTGATCTACTGGGATGACAAACCTTCCATAGACTAGTCCCATTGATTGTTCAGTTTCCTTGATCCTCCTCTATGTTCTCAACCCTTTCTTCTCTTAATGGCCCAAACTGGGGCGGCATACCAGAAAACACAATGAGAAAACGGAAAATAAGGATCATCCTTGCAGCTTTACAACATCAATAGAGCTAGAGTGTGTGTAGTTTGGTTCCCCACTTATGTCAAGCCCATCCGATGCACTACATGACGAATGCTTGCTAATAAGTCTTGTGACTTCTCATTTGCTCATAACGAACAAGATGATAGTTAATAAAATATTCAAAATAATTACTCATCAAAAGAAAATTCACTAATTTAAAAAAAAAAATCTCTCAGAGAACGAGCATGCTGCAAACGGAAGCTTGTATGCAAGAATGAAACGCAAGCAGCCCAAGGAGGACACACCAGAAGATGCTGCAAGGGCGATGCGTCCGCTGCGCCCGCCCCAAGCAAGCTCCCTACTGAAGCCAAACCTACACAGTTTTCAACCAAATACGTATTTCAGAGGACAGAATTAGACTACGCATCGAGAGAGGAGGCTACCTGTGGCCAAGGCCGCACAGCCAGCGACAGAGCGCCTCTCCAGGGCCTTCTTACATGGGATTTCGCGTCCCCTATTAACCCTTGAACCTTCAGGGGAGGAATTAAGCGAGTACAAGAGTTCATGGCATCAGTCGGGGAGTATGGCCGCCCACAAATCAGCAGCATAATCGACAGAATGCTCCAAGAGCGAGCAAGGGAAGAGATTACCGAAGGTGCCAGGAGGCCCCCTCCCGAAGGCTAGAGCTCTGCGATGCCTGGGTACCAGGGGCGTCGTCGTGCCCCATCGACAGCCAACGGCTAGCGACGCCATTGATGTCTCTCACCTTCTCTTCCACTTCGGCTTTTACTGGGCAGGGTGGCGGGGGTTCTCGGAGTGCCGTATCCTCCCGGTGAGGTTAACCGCGTGCAAGTGTCTCCAATAAACCATCGACACAGAGAAGAGAGAGGGACAGAGAGAGGAGGCGTACACGCCAAACAGGAGATTGGGCCCCATCGATCTCGTCAGATATTTCTAGTGGCTATAATGGGCCGTATGGCTAAGCCCTAGAATATCGGCCCATTTTTCCATATTGGGCTGAGCCCATAAATCCAAAACTACAATGGGCCCCCGTCCTCCATCCAGCAAAGACATTTATTTATTCTTAAACCGTCCCCAAGACCATTACTTTCAGAGTCTTCTACATTCAGAGTTATAAACCTTAAGAAGCGTAGAGAAGAGCCCACAGACATGGCCCCTAACCTGGATTGTCTCATCGGGAGAGAGAGAGAGAGAGAGAGAGAGGAGGGGGGAGAGGGAGGGAGAAAGAGAGGGAGAGAGAGGGAGGGAGAAAGAGAGTGAGAGAGTGAGAGAGAGATAGAGAGGGGGGGGAGAGAGAGAGAGATAGACAGACAGACCCCAGAAAATTCCATCAAGTTCGGGGTAAATAAGGGGGAAAATGAGTTGTCACGATAGAAAAGAGAAATGACTATAAGGAACCAACGTTTCTCTCTTCTTAAACAACCTATAGCCTCTATACTTAACCAGCATTTGATAGATCATCCAACCCCGAGCAATCTTAGTTATTGGTGGGGGTTCGGTCCGTTAGCTGGTATAGTCTTATATAATGAACCTTATACGACCCTAAACCCAATGTAGATGAGCTCGATTGCTCATTGTATAAAATGAGATTAACCCCTTTGTGGTCAGATTCATAGGGCAGAAAATTCTGAAAAATGAGGAAAATTAACACATTAAACAGACCGCAGAAACTTTCATGGTTTCTTTATTTTATGACTTCTGTAAGACCCATCAATATCTGTCGTTGAGAGAAGTCAAAATGGGCAAACGGATGAGGGGTTGACTTTCAAAGCAGAGCAAACTTCCTTCTCCAGCTCTCTTCGATGGTGACCCAAGAATCTCCGGGCTGACATCTACTCAGAGAGCTGTGTGGTGGTTGGCAAAAATAAAATAAAATTTCTAAGCAACTGAGATTGACCCAGTCAACGTCGAAACTGTCTGATGATCCGAAAAGCAATGCAAGTCAACTTCCCCAATTGAACACCAAAAGGATTGACCACAGAGCAACTAGTCAGTCCCCAGCACTCTAACAAGTAATTCCCAGCGGCCAAAGCAAGTAGATAAGAAAGAGAATTTCAAGGCAAAAAGGGAAAGGAGCAAGGAGCTCACTCAGACAGGCAGATCAGGTAGAGAAAGCATGTACACCAGCTCCTCAGCATGTTCACCGTCACTCCATCCCTCAGAAGAAAAGAATCACAAGTAGTCTCTCCTCCGGTCATCGGACTGTCCAAAATCTCGTGGGCTGTTGCCCTGATCTTCTCTCTATAATATTCCATCAATGGGCTCTGGTGCGCCGACGTGCTCTTTTTTGCTAAATTGGGCATGACCACCGAAGCCCGCAAGGAAATCATCTCATGGCCCAGGTTTGCCCAGGCCCGCCTGGCCGTCGGTGGCCAACCTGGCCGTGAGTCGAGAGCCATTGAGGCTCAAGAACAGTGAAATGGAATGGTTAACGGCAGGCCCGCCTGTGTGCTTAAATAAAAGCTCACAGTTAATAATATCTCCTTGTCCTGTAATATCCCGTGGATCTCTGGCTGGAGCTTTCATACGACTTGAAAGGATGATCCCCAGAATGCCACCGACTGCTGCTTCTCTCGTAATGGCCAGGGGTATGGTACTGCTGCTGGTGGGTTGTAGAGGCGCCACTACCCTTGAGAGAAGTCCTTATTTCCTCCTCTGTGTCGTACTGCAGGCGCTGCACAGAAGAAGATTTTTTTAAATAAAATAAAATAAAATAAAATAATCGTCAGATTTGCGTGGTGCTGAGCTTGACTGTGCGGATTATTTGCGTGGAAGAAAACACATAACTCTGGGGACTTTCACCAAGTTTTTAAATAGTAATTCATCGATGCCATGGAAAACAAACACCCCTTGAAGAATGGAAGAATCCATTTTTAGTATAGTAAGAACCTTTGAAGACAATTGGCGTTGACGGATGGAATCATTCATAGAGAGAGAGAGAGAGAGAGAGAGAGAGAGAGAGAGAATAACAATAAAAAAATATAGATATATTTCATTACCATCATAAGAAAAACCCCCGTCATCATTTTAAAAATTTAAAACACAGACTAAGCTTCACTGTGAGGGGAGATCGAAGCTTGCTTGCACGTATGACTCAGCTGCTTAAGGCGAGGTGGAGAATTGAATTCATGCTCCTCCAAGAGAAACGTGTCCACAGCAGCCTATCAATGTGGAAAACTACGAGAAAGGATTTGATAAAGATCCCATACATACCTTTGAAGGGTCCGAAAGGACTGCATAAGCCTCTCCAATCATCTTGAACAGCCTGTCAGTATCTCTATGCACCTCATCGGCCACTTCCTTCCAGAGCTTCTCATCGGTGTTCTCACTTCTTACCAAGAGCTGAGAAGCCTGCTCAATGAAATCGCATAACCTCTGGTAAATGAAGTCTAATTCTCAGCTTTAAAATAAAAGTGCAGGCAAGATAAATAACCTTATCTGGATGGTGCCTCAGAGCAGCTTTGCGGTATGCCTTCTTGATTTCTGCTGCATCACTTGATGATTCAATTCCCCTGCGTAAAATATACCCACATTACTCAAAGCAGAATAGATAGATAGATATTTTCTAAATGGAATAAGGGCAAATGCGTGATGAAATCGCTACTGATAAGACAGTAAAGTAGGGCAATGCCATTTTTGGTCATGAAACTGATTCCCTGAAATATCCTAGACTAAAGCTACGATTTCCTAGATTTGGTGGTACGACCAACTTCGAAGTAATGATCATATTCACTCCGCTCCTTCCAATTCCAAGCACTAGAGATGAGTTAAAAAATGCTCGAAGAAAGATTGTACATGCGTACAAAAGATCATCTTTCACACATTGCATTGGCTCCATTAAAGTCTACCTACTTAGAAATTGATCCTCCTTCCATAAATTCTGTCAGACCTCTACTTCACCGCATATGAATATAATGAGGATTATGTTCTTAAATAAGTACTGTGACCATTATGCAAGCACAAAGAATTAAAATCTTCATGCAGACAATGTATAACAGATGCTTATAAATGAAAACAAGGATTAATGGGTACCGTGCAACTACGAAAATCAGCATTTGGAATTATGCGATCCAAAAAATAGAAGAAATATTTCATCAAGAAAAACCAGTCTAAAGCACTAAAAAATCAGCAGCATTGAGTAAGATCATAAAGGCAGTTCTTCATCAGGACAATATTATATTATAGCTGCTACAACATCAACAAAGCATATAACCAAGCTGCAAAATAATGAAGGCATGAAAATTGCTTGAGATGGAAATAGCCAATCCAAAGTGTTCTTGTGAGAGACATACAATATCATGTACATGTCCAGTGGGATTTCTTTCCTGGCCTTCTCCTCGACTTTAGCAAGCCGTAAACGAACCAACTCTGGATCATCCACTGTGGGTCTTCCACCTCCAAGCCTATCCTCCTGCTTTCTTTCAAGAAAAGATATTAATCTGTGCAGATCACCAGCAGCCTGGCCATAATCCCTTATCATCTCATGTAAGGTTGCTCGTCTAGAGATTGCCTATAATTTGCAGAGGAAACAGGAGGAAGGTTAACAATGATAAAGCAGTTGGCCAAGAGATTTAAGCATGTAAAAAATAAAAAATCACTAGAAAAACGGCTTCTCTCATTTCTAGAACTACGTAGTGATCTTAGTGTCTCTTGTTGCGCTCCCTATACTACAATTATTTTATTGATCTCCTATTCGGGAAACCAGACTCGTTCGTGGTCTTAACTGGTTTGAGCCCGTTCTCTCTACTTGAGCAATCCAATTTTTCTTTCTAAGAACAGTCTATGCATTAAAAGGGTGATTTGAATTCTATGTCAGCAACATGAAGCGACCGAAAAGAGTTACAGAAATATTCAAGCAGGAATCTTGATAAATATGACAAACTAATGGCCAAGAAAATCTTGAAAGCATTGTATGAAAAAACGACATTTTTAATTGTGTGATGCGAATTTCTATTACTGCTCCCTCACTCCCAATAGATGGTAGTAGAGCCAGACAACAAACCTTAGGATAATTTGGATCAAGAGCAATTGCTAAACTGCAATCAGATATTGCTTCCGTAATTTGGCCTAACGCCTGATAAGCAGCAGCACGATTACAAAAGCATACTGCCGCAAAAGGACGTGATTCAATATTATATGTCAATGCAGCAGTATAATGTTCTACGGCTTCTGAATGTTGCCCTGACTTGAAAGCCGTATTCCCTGCAACCTGCAACAAAAGCACATATGATCCAACACAGATGAACATTCAAAATTTGAAAAACTTTTATTTGCAGTATGCAGTAATGTTGCTATGCTTCTCATTACCATTAAAACTTTTAAGCTTCTTGCCCCTATGTACAAAAAAGAGAAACTAGAAAAAAAATTAATGCATCTAAATAAAGAATTATGAAGTTTTTTGCAAGGCAGAGTAAACACAATTCAATGTTAACCTATGTAGATAGTGTCAGCTTCTTCTAAACAAAAATCATAGTATGGGGCCTCAACCAAGTACATTGCGTTTGGAGGCTGGGACCCTGGTACTCGCAAACGACCCATGTCTGATCACCCAGGTGCTAGATTAACACCTACAATACTACAGGTGCTTTCAGGCCTTGTTCGAAATAAGACCTGACTATTATATGATGTCAGTTCGTGAATCACACCGCAAACCTTTCACATTTTCTTCCTCTAAATGATCAAATACATAATACATAAAAGCAAATTCACTCTCCCCTTTCCAAATCTTGACCCTGCAGCATTATCACTCTAGATTACCTCAAGGACGTCACGTCATGTCTACACAGCCTTTGGAAAGTCTGCCATTGATATTGATGACAAGATACCCAACAAAGAGGGTATTGGCTGATTCTTATTTTCTGTTAAGAAACAGGCATTATCCGTCTATTAAATTCCATTTAAAGCTTTTACGTCTAACGGAGGGAGGCAGTCCTTTATGGCTACTTTCAGAAGCAAAACAAAACTTCTGACTAAGGTTCACAAGTCACTCAATCCGTTTACAAAAAAAGCATCCGGAAACAGATGATTAACCGTTGCCCAACTGATTCAAGTAAGAGACACTAACAGCTTCCTTTAAATGTAAACAAGGATAAATTTCATTTCCCATTAGAAAATTCACGTACACCCCTATTATCACTTGCGGCTCCCATCCCTTTAACCAACCATAATTTCAAGGTTCTACTCCACATAGAAATGACATTTCTTCACGCTAACGGATAGAACGGGAGACATTGGATCTCTGTGTCAGTCCTGGTGATCTGCCAAAGAACTTATGATGTTCCCATCAACATAGATACTGACAGTAGAAATGCAGTGGAAAACCAAATTTTCTAATGAAGTTTCAGAATCACAAATTAAATGTCTTCACTGTTGAAGTGACAAATGATCAACTGTTACATCACAACCTTACGCACATACATGAGCATGTATGTAAAACTCGGTAGCACAACAGATAAGGCTAATTTTCCTTAAACCTTTCAGTTCCACAGCATCAGAACACAAACTGAATGAATAGCAGCGAATAGCCCATTGGCAATAGTTTTTTCCATCAGACCCTTGAACGGCTGCCCAGAACAACTCCTTAATTGACTCCTAGAAGATCTGCTTGAAGCCTTTCAGCAATAACTAAGATCGGTGTCCTTTGCTAACATAAAAGAGGATCTAAATCTATTTCCAGCAAATTATGAAGGCCACATTGATAGGTCATTTCCATCTTCGGAACCTATATACCTTCTACAAAAAGGTAATGATGAAAAAAATAAATATGTTTTTTTATTTTTCTTATCAGTGACCTGTCACGAGTCTAACACTACCAAAACTTTACAACAATTTTGGAAAACCAACTACAGTCTGAAACGTAGAATCATTATCACTTTCCTTCGGCCACTGTTCTTTGTCTCTATGCTTCAATTTTATGCATCCACTATCAGAGTATTCCCTGTACGCCTTCTGTTTACTGATTAGAATTCTGTATTCTAAAGTTGATAACCCACATTTAACCTTTTCCAGTTTCATCCATTTTACCAGGTCTCCTTTGGCCAAAAAATAACTCTATTCCGCCTATTCATACAGTTTCAGGCATGGAGCACTGGATCGTCATATCTACCCACACTAATTCATACAATGCATTCTGCTAGATCTGGTCCACGAAAGGAACACGATCTGACGCAGGTTCTGAGAGACAGACCTGATCAGAAAAATTTCGGATGTTCCGTCAAAGAAAGGGAATCCTGTTAAGTTAGCATTATATTGTTTTTTTCCACGTATAGCTCCAGGCGAATCATCTACTTTGGAGATGTCCCTTCTATCAAACTAATCAAATTTCACACCCTTCAGATTTCCTAAGTCTTTTCGATCTCTGTTTTCCTTTCGACAGCTATATGTATTCTCTCCTTCGATCATGTAAAATTATCTCTTTTGATAATTAAATATATGAGAAACAGAAAGTCTATGTAGGACAAGGAATTCCAAGGAATTCCAAGAAAAAACATTCATCAATCCACTTCAAAATTCGACACCACTTATACCAACAGTTGCAAATGCACACCCAAGAAGTCAGCAAATCTGAAACTACCAATGTTTTTTAATCTCAAGTATACACGGCTTATTCTAACGTGGATGATGTGATGCCAGGCATTGGTGGCCTGAAACCCGAGTGTTTCATCCCAGACCTATAATGTTAGTTCCCCTTGTATTCATCCTTTAGTCTATTGCACCCAAGATACCTAATCCCATGTTTATTCGTGATAAAGAGAATTTGATTTCTCTTTTGCATCTGTAGAGGTTTCACTTATCTTAGTATGAAGATGGCATTCCAAATGCAATAATGAACTCAATAAAAAACGAAAGACGGCTTATAATCAAGAAAAGTTGAAAAGTACAGAGTATCATAGAGGACCAAATTAGAGTGCCATAATTCGGTCAGAGCATCGTTAGATCAATGACACAGGAAGACAGCTCCCCACTGAGCAATAAAACAAGAACGGACACCAAATGTAAAACCTAACGGACATGTTTACCAGTCCATTTGGTTCTTTCTATTAAATTCAGTATAACATCATCCATGCGACTTACATCATAAAAAATACATTCCATGTCTTGAGTCTCGAAATCAAGTCATCTTACTTTTTTCATCTAGCCCAAAACTCCTTAAATGATGATTACAGTTAACTGTCTCCCATGTTACAGACAACATCTCACTATTTCTGCCTTTCCCACCCACTAAAATCTCTTTTTCCAAACGGTGTATTTCTTTTCGTCATGCTTATCAAATATGCGCAGGTTTTACTGCCTCCCTTGGCAGAAACGATAAAAATATATTTGTAAAAATAACTTGAATGCAAAAGCATAATATCCTCACTAAAGGAACAAAAGAAAAGCTAATTAGGATTCACCCATTCGGTTCCCCAACGTCCCCATTAAATGCAACCTGTAAACCAGAAAATTTGTAACAAGCTTTACCACTTGCACTGAAATAAAGGAAAATGGGACACAAGTGTCCATTTGACTGGATGTCTGATGGCTTCCACTGGAAGAGAAACATCTGTATAGTGCCGGTCAGAATACACCCTTTTTAATCCATTGATATGACAAGTCTTACTTTTAAAAGAGATAATTAAATGCCACCAAATAACTATAGCAAGCAGTAACAGTTATCAGATGTTTCCTATGAAAATGAGTAAGCAGCTACTAAACAGTAAGCATAGTAAAATGCAATAAACTGAATAATGACTAGATTATTCTTCCGTTTTAACTAATTGATACCCTTCTGATTTATGTATCAAGGAAACTAAATGCCATTCTTGACTTAGAATTAAGAAAATGCAGACCCATGCTTCAGCACCAATAAATGCCACAGAACTTTATAACAGTTTTCGGAAACTCACTAAATAATATGGTTACCTATAGCAAAAATCTTTCACTCGTGATTATAACATAAAGATAACTACAAACACACAGGATGTAATTTTTTTTTGCAAAGGAATATACAAAACTTGAATTGAGGACTTACTTTGAGACGTAGTAATTCACTCACAGTGACAGACAATAACGCCCATGAGTCAGACTTGCTCCTGGACATAGCGGGTTAAAATTATCAGATGCAGTTTAAGAAGTTTTTGCTATAATATGAATGACTCGCTATTCACTCGGTTGTTGATCATAAAAAAAAGAGATGCCAAAGAAATAAGGAGAATGGTACGCAATATTAGAGATACAGACAGCAATACCTGTCAGTGACGGCCTCCACTTGTTCATTTCCTTTTAGTAAGGCAAGAGCTTCCTCAAGTCTTCCTAAACAAAAATAAGCTCTTGACTTCAGGTATGAGCGCCAAGCCTTTGCACGCGTTGGAATACTTCTAGAATAATCCCAATCTTTGAACTGATCACTAGTACTAAGTATAGTAGAATTCTTTTCGGCAGTGTCTAGGGTCTGATCCAAGAGCTGAATGAGCTCACCATAGTGGCGCAGCTGTGAACAATAAAACCCAGGTCAAGATAAAATTGTCATATAATTTGATGAAAACAAAAAAAAAAACAAAAAAACAAAAAATATGAGCAAAGCGATCACAAAGGAGTACTAAAAATTTGTTCGGAAGGTCACTTTTAAAAGTATTTCATAAAGAAAGTAAGTAACAGTGCAGGCTAACTTACCATCAAAAGAGCCTCTGCCTTTATTTCAATTAGGCTTTCTGAATATGGGCTCAATGACAATGCATCTGAAATTATTTTTAATACTAATGTAGCATCATCTGTTGTTCCTTTCTGTAGAAGTGATGCAGCACGCTCCATGCAATCTGCAACTAGCTGTCAAGGAAACCACATTCAAACTGTGAAAAGTGCAGAACGCAAAATTCATATAAAGATATAATTTTACTAATCTTTATCAGAAAGGAAATCATACAAGACAACATTAGCATAGTAAATCATATTTCTAGCAATGACATTCCTCAATTGAAATAATAGAATCCTAAGGACTCCCCAATAGCTTTATGTATCTGATGGTTTTCAGGTGGTTCTCTTGATCTATGCTTACCTTCTAAAAGCTTAATATGAGCTTTGCAATCAATTTTCACTCGTTTAACTTCACCTTGGACAAACATGATAATGAACTGACCCGGAATCAAAAAGAGGTTCAACAAATCCTCAAACCCACAGGAGAGAATTACTTTTTATGGCATTTCCAGCACCGATTACTTCAGAAAAAACAATTCTGCATTGCACATGATCCACCTGTCACGATCGTTTCTTCCTCACACCTTTCCATCCCTTCTATCCTCCCCCATAACTACATCTAGTCCATGATCTCGTACCTAGCTACAAGGCTCTAAAGAACAATGAACAATTCCAAATGACCAATCAAGGTTAATAATATTTATTCGAATTCTCACCATTTCTCAAAATTTTTAGCCTCGAGTAACAACTAAAGGCAGGTAAATAAAGATAAATAAATGTACCTGAAATGAATCCACGCATCACCTGTGCTATCCTCATTAATGAATTCAAGTTCCACAATAAAAGAACAGTAGAAGCAATATTATAATGCAATAAATGTTTCAAGAAAAATAAAAAAATAGATGCACATATAGTCATGCATTATGTAATTGCTTCATGCGCTAAATTAGAAAAATACAATGACTATTTTTACCATAACAGGAGAAAAACCTCTAGAATGTTTCGCTATATCTTGAACTTCTTCAAAGATGTTATACCTTGACCTTCTGCAGACCGTCAGAAGCTTCGAAAACAAATTTCTGATCTAGAGATGAAGCACATCCTCCTGGCAAGCATTTCTTGAAACGATTGCACGCTTCTTCAGTCTCCCCAAGTAACAGATGACAACTGAAATGAACATGGCATCAAATCAAAGCATATTTCTAGACAAGTCAGTTGTTTGTCATGCAAATACATTATTGTGGTAGAAATTCATTTACCAGGATAAAGATCTAAATAAAGCATAAAGACAAAAAATTATCAGGCAGAAGACAAATGGATCTCTATTGGGATTTTAGACAATTTAAGATAATGAAAATGGCATGGATACCCCTTCCAATCTACAAAAGGAAATACCACAAGAAATTTCAAATAACAAAAGTCCTCAACAATAAAGATGGACCACCACAGTCTCATCACAAAAACATGAGAGTAGGGTAGATTTTTCGGATAGAGTCTACAAGGATTTTGATACGATTTCATCAGGGCTGCTCATGATTGAAATCAGGTCATGATGAAGGTCATACATGAGAATTTTTAAAGAAGGTTCAAATGGCATGAAGAGATACACCCCACCCCCCACCCACCGATACAAGGTAAGAAGGCATTGGTTTACAGCCAACAATTTAACTAGGTCAAGGGAAAAGATACGATGCTTCTGAATGACATGCTGTGGAAGAGGTAGGCGCTTCTGAAAATATAAGAGTAGGATTTGGATAGTGTATTGAGACGACATATAACTATGGTAAGCTGAAATTTGTGCACCATACAGCAAACACGACACGTAATTATGATGGTTAATTAATAGGCACTACGGCCAAGCGGGTGCCTTTATCAAGTACTACCTATCTAATGGCCTCCACACATACAATGCCCCAATGTAATTAACTTTCTCCTTTAATAGAGTTCGAAAACAATTTTTGAATAATGATCTATGATACTAATACAAATCAGAATGCACAGACAGTCAGCCAAATGATCATTTCCCATCAACCCAGTTCATAGTTCTTCAAAACAATACCTATCATAACAAGTAAATAAAAAGCATGCTGACTCAAACAAATTTCTATTATCAAAAGTGAAGATAAATATTTCTAACTTAGGAGAAAGTTTAAGATGAAAAATGAACCATCTCTGGATCATAATATCACAATAGCAACATCCATGGCAAGATCTAGCCACATGGAAAATAAAGGGGGAAAAATAACAAGCTTTTCATTTCACTGTGGAGCTCAAATGCGAGGAAGCTGACATGGAAACTAACCTTGCAGCTCTAAGCTGAGCCCTAAGAAAACCTGGATCAATGTCAGTGGCCATCATACAGTCAAAAAGTGCTTCTCTAATTCTTCCAATAGACATCCGGGCAGCAGCACGGTTGCTATAGCAGAGCATTAAAGTCTTGCTGCAATCCCTAGACGTTTCATTAGGAGAAACAGACTTCACTCCCTGTGTGTAATATTCCTCAGCTTTACACAGATCGCCATTTGCATAAGCTTGGTTTCCCCTGATCAACAACAGAAAATAGAACCAATTACAACACTAAAAGGAACTGGCACTTCAGAAGCAACATTTCCAATGAACAAAGATATTTCCAAGCCACAATGTTAACAGTTCAAATAGTCACGCCAAGAGATAATATCAAGAGGAAAACTAATGATTCACAAACTTTCAAGAAAAAAAGAGGAAAGACTAGACAGAGAAGTTACATAAGTCGCCATTTTTCACAAGCTTCTTGACCAGTAGTTGCCGAAGCAGCCATGGAAATGCCCTCCTGCTTGACATGTGATGTTTTGTTTGTCTCTGATCCCTTCCTCTGAAAAGCAGATGGCACTTCTGTTTGGGCTCCTGTGTCATCCAAGTGTGAAGAACTACTGAGATTAGGTAATAGCTGAGCGTTCGGATCTGAGATGGAGGCATAAGCATCCCGTCCAACTTTTGTTCTATATTTCCTTCTGTGACTATGTTTCGATGCCGAAATGGAACCTTGGGTAGAAGATGATGCAGCAAATGTGAAACTTGAGTCAGTGAAACCACTAGAACCAGAAGCCAAAGGAAACCCACTTCCACCATCAGCTTCTTTCACAAATTCTGAGCTTGAGGACTTCATTGTTGCATTAGCTAAATCTTCAGCTGACCCATAAGCGGAAAATGAATTTTTTATGTTAGTTGAGAAGTGACAAGAATCACTGGGCGTGGACTCCTCTGACGCTACTGAATCTTCTCTAGAATACTCATCACCAACTGAACTCTCAAGATGGCAAGGGGAAAAATCCATGGGTGAGTAGCCTTCTTGAGAATCCAGATCAGGTTTTTCTTGAGAACTCTTTTCCCTTGAAAACGCTCCTGTACCGCCTCTTTGAAAAAGTGTTGCAGAGTCCTTCAATTTCCCCCTCCTTTTCCGAACCCTGGTATGGCTTCTTAACCCTTTTTTTGCACTAAATGCGCTATTTTGGAAAGATGCTACAACAGAGCTATCCACAGAAGGATCCTGGTTTGTTGATTCATTCACATGTGGTGTTCCTTGCCCACAATAGTCAGTGAAGGTTGAATTATATCCAGAGGATTGAAAAATAGGGCCAAGTGATACTGAAAAAGATGATGCAGTTGTCTCTGTTTTTGGCTTACAAGACTCCATTACGGGTATGGGATAAGAAGCACCAGCAACTGAATTAGCGTCCTGATTGCACGGATGTGATGATGATCCTAAAGAAGTTGTACTTCCAGTGAAACGATCACTGCCAAATGCAGCATATTTGTTTTTACTAGAGTTGGAAACAAAAACACCACTCTCATCCACCAAAGGCTCAAAATCCCGCCCTTCAGCCTTTCCATAGTGATCATCTGCCCCAGAGCACCCAATATTCAACCTCTGTATTTCATCTGGGAGTCTATCACTTCGGTCAAACCAAAAAGATCTGCTTTGATCATAAGCTTTATTTCTATTTGAAGAGCTCCCAAACACGAAAACACCAGAAGAGGAATTATTTTCACCAGAGGAAGCAGAAAAACACTTTCCAGTTCCACTAGTGAAAGAACTTTTACCCGAGACATGACCACTAGCTTTAGTTTTCCAAGAATTATTGTCGCTGTCAACAGCACCAGCAGAACAACTTGTACCTGGCATTGTCCTGCTTTCAGAAGTGAAACATTCTTCAAAGCTAGTTCCACCATAAGAGCCAGAAACATTTCCATTACTTTCAGGAGCGAAAGTACCAGTATTGTAGGACCCAAAGCTTTTAGCAGAAACACCAGAAGCACTTAAATCAGGATCAAAACCCTTTGGCTTGCTTCCAAACACAAAGACACCTTCTGTGCGATCTTTTTCACTAAAAGAATCAGAAACACTTTTTGAAGACGCATAGACAAAACCTCCACTATTGGCCTCCAAAATGCTGTCTCCAAAACTAGCTTTCCCTATAGTATCATCATTCTCAGGGTCCCTAATATTCAATTTCTGAATTTCTTCGGGTAGTTTTCCTCCAGCACTCTCATCAAAACCATCAGCAGCTCTTTGACCAGGATCTTCACTCTTCTCATAGAAGTTTCTAAGTGCAAAACCACTTGTACTCTTAGGGATGCCTTCGTCTTTACTATCTTCAGGTTGACCTATGGTAATATTCCAAGAATTCACTGTTTCCATCCCCTCAGGCGGCTTATCTACAGAAGTCTCATGAGAACCGATCCCCATATTACACCCAAACATGAATGTTTTCTTCTCATCAACTTGAGAACTATTGCAAGGTCCTTGTGTTTCGCTCAAACTACTGACACTGTTGGGCACTTCAATATTCAACTTCCTCATTTCATCAGGAAGCACAGATTCCACATTTTCTTTGACATAGAAATGACTTTTTATTGCTTCAGAATTGAACGTGCTGTCATCAGGAATCATCTTTCCCTCAGAAACATGGCTTCCAGTAGTTGAAAACTTGAGGTTGGCGCTCCCTGTATCCCCAGGTATGTTTTTCAAGGTTGAATCTTTAATCTTCAATTCCCGTAAATAATCTGGGAGCTTTTCTACGGAGCTTCTATCAGAGCCACCAGAGGAACTTAGATCAGGAATGCTGTTCTTCCTTGAGCTGCTTCCGAAGACGAAGGCACCTTGTGTGCAGTTATGTTCACCAAACGAACCAGATACATTTTTACTACTACTAAACACAAATGCACCACCGTCTCTGGAACCTAAACTATGATCCCCAGCTTCTGATTTCCGTATATTATCTGCAGTCCCCGAGCACTTAATGTTCAACGTCTGCAACTCCTCTGGGAGTTTCCCAACAGCACTTTTGTCAAATCCACGAGTTGCACTTCGATGAGAAGTTGCACTTTCCTCTGAACTGCTTCCAAACATAAAAACATTTGCAGTAGAACGGATGCATTCTTCATTGCTGCTTGTGAATTGACCCGCAGTGCCTCTTACCGTTTCAAACTTCGAGCTGGCACCCCCTACATCTCGATATGTACAATCTTTCAAATATGAACTGTCGGTGGTACCGGTAGTGTGACGAGCAGCAGACACAAAATTCGCGCCCTCGGTCGTTCCAGGCTGAAAACCACCAGTATTACGATCGATGCTAGATGAGAATAAACCGTCGCTCGCAGGTGCAACAGCACCATCTCTCTGAAAGCAACTTGAATTATTCCCAAACACAAAGTTTGCACCCTCAGTCCTCACAGAGTCAGAGCTCGAACAACTAATCCCGAAAGAAACTTGACCAGAAAAACCCGCAGCAGGATATGGATCCCGCAGGAACGGGTTTAGCCCCTGCTCCCCAACGCCTTCGAAGTCAGCCGGAACCACCAGACCCGGCCTCACCCTGGACAATGGAAAATGCCGCCTCACCTTCACCATCCGGGGCCTCGAGAGACCCGAAGACGATGCCACCGGGGCCTTGTCGACGTTCGGCGACTGGAACAGCATCGAGAAGACGCCTTCAAGATTCGGCTCCCGCGGGTTCCCACGCGGAGGCGCTCCACGCTCCACGCTCTGGGGATCCATGGCATCTGCGGCTACCCAAAACCCCTCTGAGGCGAAGGGTATCGTAAACGGTGCGATCCCCGCTAGGGTTTCCCCGGACCTAGGGTTCCAGAGAGGAGGATTCTGCTTTGGCGCCGTACGGGGCGAGACGACGGCGGCGGCGGCAGCGGCGGCGGCGGTGCCGGAGCTTACCATCGCCGGCGGCATCGCCGGAGATCAACCATCAGCTGCCGCTCGATCGCCGGCCACCGGAGATGATCACCCCCCGCCGACGGCGATGGCGAGATGATCTTCTTCGACATCCTTCCTAAAAGAGCGCAGCGTCACCGACTTGCGATGTGTCTTCGCTGGGACCAGTTTTTGAAAATGTATCTTTCAATTTTACACTTATTTTATTTATAATTACTTTCATACCCAAATGATCACCGTTTGTATACATATTAATAACAAAATAATCAAGGCCCGACAAGCATCCATCTGGGCCGAGCCAGGCCCGAACCTATCTCCAGGGAACGTGGAGCATCTCCCAGACACGTGGCATCGCCCTCTACCATAGCCACGTGTCTCCTTGTGCTTGTCATCGGGCCCACGAGGTGTCCGGGCTTTTCCATCTAGGCTCGGCCCGTTGATACCTGGCCTGTCCTTTATAGGGGTTTTCAAGCAATAATTTTAATTCTTACGGTTGAATGTATAAAAGCTGAAAAGGAACGCGGTTTCAGACCAGGGATGGGAACGGCCTTTTGAAGAGAAGTTACTGGACAGAAAATCATTTCCAAACACCAACAATAATAGTGAGTATAAGAATCGATTATAAAGGAGAAGAGGGGTGATGTAGACACATGAGAGTGAGGAGGGTAAATTATAAGAGAGAGAAATGGAGCTAATATTATTTCTACCCTACTTTTTTACTGTAATAATACATATTTCACTATTCAACCATCTCTCAACAAAGTACTCTTACTTGACCAATGGGATTCATTCTAACAAGTGCCCATCAAATGACGAAGGTTGGTCAAGGGGGGGGAAAAAAAAAGAAGGAAGTTGCCCACTCATGCCTAATTGGGAGTGGAATTCATTGATTTCATTTAATCTTCAAAAGGATATGCTAGTAGTGCTATGTTATACTTTCATCTAATCTCAACATTACTACATTCCTTAAGAAAAAAACAAGAAGTTGCCCACTCGTGCCCTATTGGGAGTGGAATTCATTGATTTTATTTAAAGTCAATGATATGCCAATAGTACTTCATTATTCTCTCATCTAATCTCTTACTACAATCCTAAGGATTTTTCTTATGAACCCCACTTGGTCATCATGGCCTTATTTGTCTCATCATTTGAGCACTTTCAATAGCTCTACAAAATTTATGAGAGTGGAACAAATTTTAAAACAATTATTGATTGATTCTTTTAGTTCTCACTTTTGATTGATAATGGTATGCTTTAAAAAGGTTAGTTGTGGTCTATAATCTAGTAAATGCTCATATTCTCAAATGGATATGCTAATATGTGAATGAAATGATGATTAACTATATAATCTACGTAGTCATTATTGTTGGTCCCAAATGTGTGTTAGATAGAATACCATGATGAGGGATGAAATGATTCTTCAAATGTTTTTTACATTTTTATGTGTTTTCAAGTTTATTTTTCCTAGTTATGTATTTATTATGTTGACATAGTTTGATTTCATCCTATAGAGACAAGCTCATGTTAACACAAATAAGGTTGAGTTGACATAGATAAGTTTGGGTCAACACATTGGGCTAATATAAATTAAGTTGACTAACTCATCAACAAACAATTCATCCATTTATCAATGGTTTCACACTTGAGAAAGTTTTGATAAAGTTGCTCCTAGAACAATAATTTGAAAAGTAATTTCAAAAAGTGTGGGGTGATCTGACCTTGAAGGCTTTAACAAGCCTTAGATATTTGGAGATGATTATATGCATGGAAGTGTATTTTAGTACCTTCACATCTAGTAGAATTATTTAATCAATACATTTGATTGTCAAATGTTAAGGCTCCACTACTCTAAGTGCAATGGTAGAAAAGTTATTATTTGGGTACAAACTTAATAAGTTCTCTTAAGGATAAAATAGGTATCATCTAATGTATGAGCCTTAAAAATTTGATTTTATGCATTAATCAGTGTCACTTATATAGGGACATAGTCATTGAATATTTATTTAGAAGAGGAGTGTAATGCAACAAACCAGTCAACAAAATTACAAGGTATTTACTTGATATTTAATGTGTTTTTTAGAATTTAAAAATACAAGCATTTGATGTGACACTTTTACAGCCCTAGTAAACTCTTTATCTAAAGTGAGGCTTATTCTCAAGCCTAGAACAAGAGTGGAAAATGAAGAAGAACAAAAAAGAGTTCCACCATTAATCTTGAGTAAACTTCAACATCTATCTTGCACTAAGTAGTTGCATCTTTGATTACTTGAAAACTTTGTTCCACCTAGTGTGCTCAAAACCAAAAAGACTCGAGCTTTTCCCATGTCAATTAAGGGGAAAAGACTTTCCAAAAGCAAAGTGTTGAACATCTAAGAATGGCACCACACTTTACCTTGTGTTTAAATTATGTTTGCACTAGTGACTAATATAGGGCCTTAATCTGAAGGACACTAAGTAGCTAATTTTCATTGGCCACCTGGAGTTGTTAATTTGGATAAGGGGCATGCATCTCTTCTATTTAGCCATCTAGAGTTATGAATTTAGAAGATATTTTCCATGTGGATTACTAAGTTGACTAAAGATATAGTATCTAGTATGGAAGACTGCTAAAACCCACAACTCAACATGTATTTCAATAAGGTATTAGTGGAAAACATGGAAGCAACACAAAAATATCAAGCACTTGATAAGTGTAGTAGGTCTCTTGATAGAATCACTATAAAATCAATATGTGAAGTATCCTTATAGTAGCTTAGACTTTGGGAACCAAAGAAAGTACAAAGTTGGAGTAGATAGGAATGCAGAAAAAATTAAGAACTTATTAATTCACTACACTCCTGATAAGTCTTCATTATCATGAGTTAATAATTCATAAATAATATAATTTAGTCTTAACTCAAGATAAATAGACTTATATTTATGTTAATTTATGAAAAATAATTTTTAATTAATTAATATTTTTTTAGTTAATTATGTGATTTTATATAAATTTATATAATTTTTATAATCTTATTTTTGAGATTAAAAAAAAGAGTAAAAAGATAGAAAATGATAAGGGGCACTAGTCAATTAGACCTGTGATGTGACTTAGTTATTGTATAGTAAATCATACAAATTTAAATTTTATAAAACTAGAAAATACTAATTTTTAGATATTTAAAAGTATTTCTAAATAAATATATTGATTATAATTTAATATTTTTTTAAAAAAATAGTGGCAATTTTCTAAGTCAATCAAAAAGATGTAATATAATATTAGGTATTTTGTCATAATTTTTCTCAAAGAATATAATTTTTTCTATTTTTTATATTAAGAAATGAAAATAAAATATATTTAAAATTTATGAAAAAGGAAAATAAGGGTGCAGATGTCAAGATGATGTCAGCACATGACGAATGCAAATCAAGCAGAAATAGAGTTCCACCTAATGATTTTTTACCTAAGTAATTACAAATAATTTAATTTATTAAATTAAAATATGTAAAAATTGAAAGAATTATAGTTAAATGAAGTATAATTTGGTAAATTTAAATCACACAAATTATCACTAAATGAAATAGAAATTACGTTGAAAGTATGAAAATAGAGTGCTGATGTCACAATGATAATATGTCAGCGATGCATCAAAATCCTGAGCATTTAAAGGATTGTCGTGTAGTGTCTACGGCCTTGAAGACTCTTTGGACAAGGATGACATAGGTAATATCTAGATCTCCTTACAAATCTAAAGATCAATGAAATGAGTCATTGAATCATCTCTAATGGTTGTCATCCGACGGAGTAGAAACATAGTGACATTTCAAGTTTCTAGTAGCTATTATTTGTCGAAGAAGAGTTGGATGGAGATGAGGTGTATGTCAAAGAGCTTCATCCTCAGGTCCACGTAGTAAGAAAAGGCTCTTCATCACATCCGATATGCTATCTAGAGGTAGCGACATATATCTCAGTGGATCGTTCTATTCTCGATGACGGCTTGTTCATTGATCAATTAGAGATGATTTACTTGATAGATTCGTGATCTTTTTATCATGAATCGTTCAGTAATTTTAGTAATAATACTCCGCGAATTGCATTGATGAGATTTTTGCCGATGATTTAGCGATTCTAATGACTTAATCTTTCACTGGCGATCTATAAAAAAGTCACGATAATCAAAAAAAAAAATGAGTTTTGGCTCTAGAAGATTTAAATTCGTGCCGATTACTTACTTAACAGAGGTTAAAATAAGTACTATAATATCCTTATTAAGTGACATCATCATGATATATCTTTATTATAACAAAGTTATAGTTTAGATATTAAAATCTTCAAAGTCTTTTGAGAGAAAGTGTGATGCGGGTTTAGTCCCACATTATTTGTGCGCTGAAGTTTTGGGTAAATATATAGTAATATCACATTTATAAGTAATAAATCTCTCTCTTATATGTATAATCACTCTTTGCCCCATAGTTGACTGGCCACTAATGACATGGAATGGGAGTGGTACACACATACCTCCATTAGTCTTAGTTGCTCAAGTTCCTATTCGCGGCTCCTTCTGATTGTGCTTCTAACTCACTTGTGGGCTCGACTAGTCAACAAGTTTCTCCCTTTTGTTATATTTTTATTTTAATTTTCTTTTCTTTATTATCTCAAAAATAGGATTATAAAAATCATATAAATTTATAAAAATATACATAATTATAAAAATTAATATTAATCAATTAAAAAATATTTTCCATAATTTAACACAAATATAAGTCTATTTATTATGAGTTAAGGCTAAAATTATATTATTTACTAATTATTAACTTATGATAATGAAGACTTGTCACTCGCAAGTAAATTGAAAGCTCAATCGAGATGAAGCAATAAGTAGAGGTTTGAGTGACTATAGATCAAATGGAGGCATGTGTGCATCACTCTCTTTCCATGTCACTGATGATCAACCAAGTGGGGGCAAGAGTGATTGTACACATATAAGAAAAAGATGCATTGATTTTCAAATCTTGTATTACTATATATCTATTCAAAAATT